GGGTTCTCTCTACTATTCTAATCACAACCTAAAACTCTCTAAGAGATATTGTGGGAGTTACCTATGTCGATGATGATGATGACCACCCACTCTTCAATTGTCCCACATAATTTGAGGGTCCATTGATGAACGCAATTGAGAAGTTAGATATGTCATTGCGATGCAACCAAGTTCATGTAAATAATATTTATAAAATCTCACTCTTTTGTTTAAGATAAGGGTCGATCTTCAAGGAACGTGGATATTGAGAGTAAGAATTTTATTTATTTATTTTATTATATATATATAGATATACTTGAGATTGTGAAGGATTGAATTAAATCTAAAAAGGGTGAAGACAAGAGAAATAAAAAGTGTGATAAAGGAAAGAGAATAGATCTAACATAATGAAATGATAGAATAAATGATAAAGTTAGTTTGAACTAAGAGTTAATCTATTCATAGAGAAGATTACAAGGACGTCCCAAATCTAGATCTTACATATTCCGCATTGTGTCCTAATCTTATGCCAAGTGGTGCTTGATCCACGACGATCTTGATGCGTTCTATGTAATCTCTTCTCCATGATAATCTTAAGCATAAGAATATCACTGAATGGGTCTTAAGTTTCTTCTTTTTTCTTTTAACTAGCCACTACTAGAGAGAGAGTCAAAAAGCGTCCTCCAAGAGAAAGGGTGAGATGTCTTAAACCTCTAGAAAATTAGGCCCTTCTAGTAGACAGTTATGATTAATAGTCAACTCTCTTGGTAGATGGCCTAGATTCTTCCATGAGGGCAACGCTCTAATCTTCTTCTTAATCTCATCTTAAGGTATCTATAGATGTGCAGCCTAGATATCATCTCTTGATAACTCTTTTAAGTCTAAACGGGTTAAGCCAAGGTGATGCCCTCTCTTGGGCCCATAAACATATTAGGTCAACCCCTCTCTATAAGACGGGTTTTTCTTTGAACTGAAGACTTAGATTTATTTCATTACTTACAACTCATAATAAGAGCTCGCCTAAGTCCTTACAATTAAATAATTATCAAAAAAATGTGAGAAAATCAACACTTGACTTCATGAAAGTCAAGTGAGATTAGTCTCATAATATACATAAAATAATATGCATTAAGACTTAAATAATAAAATATTATGAATATCATAATGAGTCAATAACACATGTATAATTATATTCTATACTCATTAATTAACATTTATATATAAGATATTAATATATAGATATAACTACTAATTTATAATTATCACCCATGTGGAAAAGTCTTTGACTAGAGAGTTGAGTGAGACCACTAAGTTAGTTAATCTATCTTCCTCCGCAAATGGTATCACATGATCTATGTGCAACATCTTGTGTGCATCTGTTTGGATTTTTGACGAAGTAAGTTGTATTCTTTTGCACCTTCTTGCTATTGGTACCTTCATAAAAGATCACACATGATCTGTCTCCATTGGAGTTGTCATCTGAATCCCCTGACCTCATGATATCTTCATCATCATAGGTTGTGATCTGATCCAATAATTGTGGAATATTTGTTCTCATAGGTTTTGCTTGGTACATTGAGATCATTGACGGCCAAATATTTCATTTTCTGTGGTGCACATGATGGCCTTAAGGCTAACGGGCTTGAAGACGGATACTTTTGCCTAAATCTCCTTGTGTAACCCTTTCTGGAGAGTATTCCCCATAATATACCCAATCATGCCTTTGATTTTGGCCGCCAACAACTTAATTTACTTGTACCGCACAAGGACTTCTTATAAGCTGAGGGTAGCAATGTTGAGTTTGTCCCTGGATGAGAGCCTGCACAGAGCCTGCACATTGAAAAGTAGAATTCCACTCAAAAGACTCGTCCTTCTAGATCGTGGAAGTCAAATAACGGCATCCCTAATTTCCAATCACCTTACCATAGTTCTCCATAGGGCGGTTAAGGTTAGATGGTGGCACATCCCAACGTATTCTGATTGGCCTGAGGATCATATGTCCAATCGTTAGGGGCCCAATCTCCTCCATTAACCTTTTTGCGACTTGTTTTGGTCGGAGCCCAGTCATTAGGTTGGTCAACGTGGGCCGACACATATATTCGAGGCTTTGGATTAGGTATCCAGCTGATGTTTGATCACTGACATCTCCCAGCGAGACTCCTTATCATTTATCAAGAGTGCGACGACATCCTTCTTAAGGGCAGGAAGATCTAGACTGTGTTCCTCCTACTACATCTTTGCTCAAACCAGGCATTGTTAGTTTTGGGTGGCATGGTTGAGACTGATACCGATTTGATGGATCCGCTCCTGATCCCAAGCAAGCGATGACGCTCTTGCAAGATCGTTCGTCAAGACTTATATGAAAAGGGATTTGACTAAGGAGGCCGAAGGCCGAACGAGACACAAGGAAGCCTCTAATAGGGAGATAGGATGACAGTGGAGAGAGGGAGAGTACTGGGGTTGGGAGGGATAACAGTAATGAGAGAGAGAGAGAGGTGGGGAAGGATACCTGAATACAGACCGCTTTGAGGTGGTCAACCTCCAATTATTCTACACGTAGAAAATAACTCTTGATACCCTCTTTGGTTGGCCCTCGCCCCTCTTTATCTCACACATCTACGATCTGTATCCTCCTTTGATACTCATGAGCGACTTCTTTTCTATGCGAGGTTCTCCTCTTTGCTACCAGTGAATCTCTTCTCCTCTCATGGACCAGATAAGGGTTTGGTTATTTTGTAATTATGACAAATGCCAAATGACTGCAAGCACCCAATGTCGAATACAGGAATTAATAGAAAAGGTCAAACTATCTAACCGAACCTAGGGCCAAATGTTAAAGTGTTAAAAACATATATGGAGCATTAAAAAATAAAACATATGTTACAAGATATTTAACTACATAAGTTCAATATAATGTAGCACTATTTTTTGCGTTATAACAGCAGAACTAATGTGAAGAAGATTGCAAAAGTGAGAAGGGAAACGTTCCTATGGTTCAATCCATTCCCCGGAGACCCTTTTCCAACCAATAAGATGCATAATTTCGACAGCATCCTTACTTGCCCCTAATAAAGCTTGGATCCATATTTTTTTCACGGCAAAAACGCTGAAACGTCTGCCGGTATTTTATCATAAGAAGAAGAGATTCGATTATCAAAAGCACAAGTCTGTCGCGATGACCAACAGATCAAGGATTGCAGCTAAGTGAGAGCAGCGAAGTAGAAGACAGGCGAGAAGAAGCAGGGATCAATCAAACGGGACCTGCAGGATGCTGTCCAAGTAAGGGCCCGCTGCAACCTCGCCGGAGATCACGACAACGAAAGTTTTCCCACGGTGCCCCCTTATGCGCGGCCAAGATTGCCTGAACCAGCCGGCAAACTGATCATTCTCCCTCCCAGCATGCCCGCTAGGTTCTCTGGCGACTCCCCCCGACACCGTATTCCCCGTTGCAGAAGCAACTGGATGCGACAGTTCGCCCCCAATTCGCGACACGCACAGGCTTGCGGCCTAGATTCCCTGAGGCCTTGGAGCTGCGGGTTCGCTCCAACGGACCCCTGATCCCCCGACAGACGGCGCGAGAAAACTGCGAACGGCACAACGCCGCCGCCATGGAGCGACATAGGGAGCGGTAGCAGCCAGCAGGAAGCGGTAATGAGGCCGCGAAGCGAACAAAGCGGTGAAGAGGATACGCGGCGAACGGGACGAACTCGATCAACACTGGGCAGGCCAATTTGGCGGGTAAAGTGGACTGCGAGATCCCGCTGAATAGGAGGAATTCAACGGCCAGGATAAGCATGATCCCTGATGATGGACTGTGGATCCCATGGGCCAGCACTTCCGCCTATTTACGTTATTGATACGAGATTGGTTGACACACGGTGCTTAGCCACGTCACCATTGTGTGAGTGTCCCGCAATACGTCCACGTCGCATAATCATTGTCCCGTCCCATCATTCATCGGGCCCGGTAAGTGAATCAGAAAAGGATACCCATGTTGGGCCGTGTGAGACCGGGCCAGCCCGGAAGGACATACCGTGAGGGCCGAAAGAGAGAGGAGGCGGAGTGAGAGACTCTTTGACTGACGCGTGTCAACGAAAAGAGTTTCTAGCGCCGAGTTTTGGAGTATTGACACCGTCAATTAAATTACATGAATATGTTTTCCCGCAAAAAAATTAATATATATTCCTATTTTTTTATTCGATATTAAAAAATTGAAATATTGCTTTATATAGCTCACTCCAAGCTGGAGATTTTCATAGTCTCGATGAACCTTATAAGTTTGTAATTTCTCACCATTTTTTTTGTACTTTGTCATCACATGGGCAGACGGATCTTATGAGTATTACCTATTTATAATCATCAACAATAACAACAATTATTGACTCTAATTAGAAAATTCCGGTAATAACTTCGACAGTCTCCAAGCACGCACATACAAGATGTTAGAAATGGCCACGTATATTACCATAAAATTCAATTATGACGCAAGAATGCTTCACATATAAAAAAAATAGCGGGCAGGGGGGAGGATATGCGTTTAATCAGCAGAAGTGGAAGCGTGGCACAGAAGCCAGCGACGAGTCGATCTCTCTCACACATGGCGGCCTACGACGTGGGCACCCCGTCTCGTTCATCAGGAGTGGCGGTTGCTTAAAGGCGTCCCGCACCCCGGGGCACAGGCACCTGGGTAGCTTTAACTTCACCTGCTTCGGCACAACGTCACCGCCGCTTTCGCCACGCCAGCCCGAGAGGATTTGCAGCTGATGATCCCACGGAGCTTTATCCCTTGCTTCGTGTTGAAACAGCCCACAAAAAGGAAAAAACTCGACTTTGCCCCCAACTGGGGGATTTGTTGGGAGGGGGGGGTGTTGAATATTATCGGCGTTTTGCTGGTCCACGTGAATGTCAAGTTCTGGTCCAGTCTGCGGGCGGCCGACCAGTCGCTCGAGGGGCTCCACTTCGGCGGACGTAGGCAGCTGAGCCAGGCAGACCGCGAGGCTCTCCGATATGTGTAGGCTCGCATGCGGCCGGGCCCGCCGCGTGTTGGGCAGCCACTCGGCGGCGCAGCCGATGGGATAAATATGCCGTGGCCTTGCGGCGGGAGCCCCCTGTGGCGCGGCCGGAGACGCATGCAGGCCGGCGGCGCATGAGGGGAGGTGTTACGGCGACTGGGTTTGGTGAAGAGGAGGAAAGAGAAGGTCCTATCCTATCACATTCCAGGGGGGGGGGGAGGGGACGCTCCCGCAATCCGCCAGCGGGGCCTCATGTGAGTCCACGCGTCTCATCTGCTTGCATAAGCCTTCTACACGTACCAGGCGTGCTACACGTGCCGAGGCCGGGGGCTTTGCCGTCGCCGGTGGTGCTGCCCTTCCGCCATTGGCGGCCCTCCCGGCCATTCCTAGCTTAAAATCGACCACCCACCCACACGCCGAACGCCCTCCTCCCCCTTCTCTGCACCGCTCTCCCACCCAGCTCCTTTCTCCTTTCCCGCTAGCGACCCTTCTCTAAGAGAGAGACAGAACGATGATGCACTCCATCGACATAGCCAGAACGCACGAGATCCTGGCGAGATACAGGCCCATCGCGCCGAGGCCGGCGCCGCCGCCCCAGAGCGGGGTGGAAAGCCCGTCGTCCGCTCCGCCGGGGAAGCTGACCGCTGCGGGGCTGCACCACCTGCAGACCACCCGCCCTGTAAGGTCTAAGAAGAGGGGCCGAGCGGGCTGCTCCTGCGTCGCCTCCAAGAAGCGGGCGAAGACCTATGTCCCGCTCTTGCCGTCCCCCGAGGTCTCCCTCCCTCTCCTGGCCACCAAAACTTCCAAGCTTGGCCTCTCCGGCCAGGGCTTCCCGGTGCTGCCCATGGCCTGCTCTACTTTCCAGGGGAAAGGGGAGAAGCCGGTTGGGAACTGCGCTGACCTGCTCACGCTCTCCCTTCTTCCTTTCTCGTCCGCCGCCTCTTCATTTGCCGGGGCAATCGCGCCACCGGAAGCAAAGAAGAAGGCGAAGGAAACGACTACCTTGGACCTGAACTCCGACCCGGAGGCCTGCGCCACCGCGGATGACCCACTGGCGCCGGCGAAGCCGCAGATCATCGTGCCGCAGCCGGTTAGGCCGATCGGCTCGAGTATCAGCGTCGGGTACATCAGCGAGGACAAGGGCGATGTCCCCGCGGTGCCGGCGTCCAAGAAGCCCGAGGAGGTGGAGGAGGAAGTCGAGTCGGAGGCCCTGCCGGCGGTAGTCTCAGACTCGAACAACCGAATCCGGCTGGCCAACTCCGCGTACAAGAAGATGGTGGGTCAGCCCGAGTGCTCCTGGCTCGATTTCATGGTCCGTAACGGCGGCGCGGGCTCGAACAGGATCAACGGCGAAGTGATGCTGGACCTGTCGGGCTCCGCCGTGCCGACCTCTTCCAACGGGTTCTCTTGCAGTGTGACGATAGAATGGGCATGCAACGGCCGGAGGACCTTCGTCAGAGCTCCCTGCGACGTGAACAAGCTCTTCTGTGAATCTAAGAACTACCTCTTCGCGTGGAGGTTCCACACCGAGGTTTCCGATGTAAACTGTCAAGCATGAGCCCTCCTCTCCTTGACCCCGTCTCCTCTGTGCTCGTTTCCTGTACATAAACAGAGCATGTGCATGGCGAAATTACGACGGGGCAAAGAATCATCCACCTCATCCGATTCATAACAGAGTCTTCTTCTCGTTTTCTATTCTTCATCTGCCTGAAATCATCGCGCGATAAGCTGCTTTTTTAATCATAATGCGGAAAGATGAAACAAGTCCATGTGATGTTCGGTGTTTGAATTATTTTCAGAAGCTCGAAAGATGAAGTGAATGCTTATTTCGGATCAATTCAGTGCCGTCACAAAACAACATTAGGAGGTGGACGAAAGTGACCGCCGCAGGGTCCCCATAGTTTTGTCCCCAGGCAAGGTCTTCTACACAATCACTGTTCATCGGATTTTGGGGGGCCCTTCCACTTGAAGTTGTCTGCATAAGCCTTGGCCTGTCCGAAACAGGAATTCCAACTTATTAGCCAAAAAGATGACAGCAACAGACGCCAGAGGATTCAAGGACCTAACGCACATAAACGAGAAAAGAACTGCTAATTGTGCCCACAAGAGTAGGGTATTTGTACTTATATTAAGAGGTTTTGGATGTGTATGTCCGTGTTGTAGACAGGAGACCAAAAAATCATTGGGATAAAACTTTAATCTTACGAGCATAATCGCATTTTACAACAGAGCAATTATTCAAGCAATTACAAGAGAAAATTTTACATGAAATGGAGTCTTTTTAATCCCTCTATGTCTAGACAAGGCAGAAACTTCACAAAAAACGGGGCGATGGTTTCTGACAAATTTGACTCGCATTAAGTGAGCTGTCACAAATTCACATGCTGCAATACAACAGGCTTCCTAGTATCACATCGTTTCCTACGCCCCCACATGTGAAGGTGGACGAATAAAACTTGAAGGTCAAGTGTCTAGATTTAATAGATGGTATATGCAACTGCAGAACTACAAGTAAAAATCCTAGAACATGGTAATCAATGCAGAAGATAGAAAACAAAACTGGCAAGATATAAAAGCGTGAGTCAAACAGAAAGATCATGAACTTAGGATAATGGAAAACAAGATCCGCAGCATTTTGATGAGTGAAGCTTAATAAAAAAAAGAACAGAAAAATATTTAATGTAAATAGAACAGAGACTTACCTTCAACATAGGTGTATGGCGTTTCTTTACCTGCACAGTAGTTTCAAAGAGTCAAGAGAAGGATCTGTAATCATGCACTTAAGTAAAAATCAGACGCACAAATTTAGAAGAAACAACCGTGTAGAAAAATAATAAGAAATCCGAGAGATGTGATGCGCTGATGGCAACAAAAGGGAAGCAACAATAATGCTTAGATAGCTCTATACATGCCCCATGGCAATAGCCGACCATTCGAAACATTAAATGCACAAGCTTAAAAGAAATGTATTTACATACCACGTAGTCCCACCCGTGCTTCTCAGCAAATGCCTTAGCTGCTTCATCGCTGTCAAAGCTGAGCCCTGCATCACCTACATTGGCGTACGGGTCCCCAGTGGAAGTCCAACCCATCAAAGGATTCTCCCATCTGCAATGGGAAACGTTCATTAAAAGCATCTACGAGGGATGAATGAACGGAGGGCACGGATTTACACGCGTTTCAACTATCATTATAAAGCACACATCAATGGCTACGTAAAAGAAACGAAGACCAGAAGAGATTAAAACGAATGAGCAATGAATAGTAGTTCCAGTCACATGTATAAAGAAACGGTAAACTTTTTAATATACTAACTGTGATGAAATTCATTACTTTCTTTCCTATTTTAAGTAGCATAAAAACCATTTCTACTTTACATCATCAGATACGGCTCCATGAGATCAACTGCATATGCTTCACGGTAGTTCAAGCACAGAGAACACAGCACCCGCACCCAATAAAAACGATGCATGTTCATCACTTTGGTATCAAAAACACGACAATTTTACTGTTTCTCTCCTCAGAATTAGAGTTCGACGTAAAGTCGTCAGTCAAACAATATTTTCTTCCAGATAATTTTTTTTTTATTTTGCTGAGAAATCTTTTTGGCAGTCCTTCAAGGAAAAGTTAAATCCTCTTTTATAGATTAAAAAAGGCATTTCCGACCTAGACCTGAACGCATGCATTTACAGGTGGTGTAGAGAATGAGAAACAAAAGAATTGACAAGGGAATCATAATTTTCTCGTATACTATATTTGCACGGATGTTCCCTAGGGAAATCATAATTTCAAAAGAATTGACAAGGGACATGGAATGATAAAGGGTGGGTCCAGCATCCATTGGCAAATAAACCCGCAGTATCAGTCTCTTATAGAAATCAAGTGCGGCATTCCAGTTACATTGATTATATAATTTTCTAGTCAAACTTTGGAACATCTTTTCTTGCCCTAAACACATCAAATATTTGCATCCCATGCATAATTGGCAGATGTGATTTCAAAGGGGGGAATAACGATACTCCTTGAAATATTTATATTTGTTAAAGCAAAATAAACTCTAGAAATCGGGTCATTTTACTTTGATTGGTTTTTAGCAGGATCAGCTCTACTAGAGAGAATTAGAAGAACACACATGCAACTCACTAAGAGGAGAGAAGAAAGAAGAAGAGAGACTGATGATGACGAAAAAGAAAAGACTCGTAAAAAAAGCTTGACCCCTTTTTCTGACGCAGATTATCATCATTTCTACCCCAAAACTTTCTGCCTTGTGCCACACACACACACACACACTCATGAGAATGAGACATTAGGTTCAGGGGAACGACGTTTACAACAGTTTTTTATCAGCAAGACCGATTTTGAAAACTGCTGCCATCATATTGATAAGATACAGCCAAATTGTATTTACTAAGTTGAAACAAAATCTGTCTTCATTTTATAACCCGAATGATGTTATCTCCCCTAACTGGCTGACCCGTCTAAGACGGACTTCATTGGAATCAGATCACCACGGTTCAACCCGGGGACGAGGTCTAATCTTATGTACTGTTACGATAAAGTCATCATATTGATAAGATATAGCCAAATGAAAATGAAGGTGATAATAATGATAGAGGACGAACAAATAACAACAGCTCTGATTACATTTAACATTTCTGAAACCAATGGACAGATGAAAGATATTGTAATGAAGGCCATGTTATAGACATGAGAACAACTGCCGAGCAAATTACAGCTCATCACACAGTATGGATATAATTCAGTAGGTCACATGACTTTTTTTTTCCTTAAAGGCGACCATTTTTACTATGCCGTTGAATTCTTCCAAAATATAATGCTAGCTCCTAGCTTCTTAGCCCCACAGGTCGCCTGATCTAGCAGCTTGCCTGATCTTTTTCTTTAAAAGCGAGTGTACGTTTGCATGATCACAGCTGACGCAGTAAATAACAAGTTTATCTTATATTGTGTAATCGTCTTCCAATAATAACATTTCACAGGCTGAAAACCAAGCGTCACTCTTTTCTACAGATATGTCGCAGGATGATTCCCACCAGACACTATACTGTAGATATTGAATACCACCTGTTACTAGGTATGTTATGTACGAACGCACATGAAAATTGGTTACGCACTTATTGCTGATATTTTCCAACCACGTTTCAGATAAACATCTACAGTGCAGAAACTTAAATATACACAGATTCCCAAATTAGCAAAGAAAGTGATGATCGTTATTACTTCTGTGTTGACATAAAGTTAATCTTCCACTTTCCAACTTTTCCAGAACCTTGTTGTGTTGCAGTTCGTGCAGGTGAATATATGATAACCTGCCAAATACAAAATCTGTGAGATGGAGAAAGGGACAGTTCCCACAAAGGTACAAAATAAAAGGAATTCTTTTTCAACCGTAAATTATCTCTAAAAGCAGAACTACTGAAGAAAGAGTATGATAAGATATGAAATAAAGAAAAAACACAGAACCCGAAGCCATAACAACATGAGAAGAATAGGGAGATCATGGTCTCTCTTTCTCTTCCTATGCACAAGTAGTCTAGACCTGTTTACACGCATGGAGTCCATGAAAACAATTTAATATTTTCTAGCGAAAAGAAGAATAAACAAAATACTTTTAACTCACAGCTTCTCATGAACATGAATAGACCAAAGGCAAAAGTCCTTATAGAATTAAAACTTCAAGCAAATATATAAACTAAAAAGGGACACGAAAGACCATGAGTAGTGTTATCAGATTCCGGAAGAACTTTTGCTGGGAATATGAACACAACCATCATATTTCTCTTCCGATCAAGCACTGTATGTTCATTGGCAGTTCTAAGTTCCTCTTCTCTTTTATCCATAAAGGTCAAAAAAGTTGATAGTTGAGGTTCAAAACAAAAGCACATGAAAGTTGAAGTTAAATTGTACTCTCTTCAATGTAACTGGAAAAGAGATTCATAGTTCTTCCTCCACAGGGTATAGGACTCTTCTCATTCTTCTTCTTTCCTGCTTTTTCCTTGTCCCTCCTCTTAATCCGATCGGAAACAGCTGCCGCAGCCAGAATCAACTGTCCATGCTCAAAAGAGTGTGCCAGTGTTTGCTGCTAGTCAGCTCCCCTCTCACCATCTCAAATTTTCTTGTGTACGTGATATTATCGCTTGAAAAGGGCACTTAGAAGTCCTGAACTGGATGGTAACAGACTGATTTCTTCATTTCAATAGCATGTGAATAGGTCAATTCTAATTTTGATAGTGAGCTGCTGGATCTTCAGGCCTTGTACAAGTGTATTTTCCATGATTTGCGTTCTTTCCTGAACAAGGAACGCAAATAATACACCAAAGGATTTCTAGGTACGGAGGATACATTATCAACCCCAGCAGGCTGACATGATGTCCTCCCTGTCAGGAAGGATTGTACCGGCGAGATAAGAATTCGCAACGATCATTTGAGTGATGATATCACAGATAATAGTGTTTCATACTTTTTCAGGCATGACAGAAAGTGATAAAGTCCTTTTTTATCAACTTACAGCACACTTTTGGACTCACGGATGCCATAACTTCTTTGGTGAAAAAGGTTTACTAAGATTCACTGTATCCTCACAATGGCCAGTTTACTCATATTTTTTACGACGACTGAAGGCTAAAGTTAAGAAAAATAATAAAAGGATCAGATGAACAAGAGGAATAAACATTGAATTAGTGTTAGGAGCAGTTTAGATTCCCCGTGGAGTAAATTTTCCTTTTTATTTTTTGTTCTTGTTTGACCCCACTTGTTTAACAGGTTTCAGTTAAAATGACGACCAAAGTGGCAGCACAACTTTCCCAAAAAAATGCTCTAGTACCAAAAAAGGAAGGGAAACAAATGATGTTAGATAGACGTCTCTGTTATCTTAAGTTTTCTGTCACAATTCTCGGGAGAATCGTGTTCTGTATTCTCATCTTCCCTGAAAAAAAAATCCTATAATTAAGAAAAGGATAGGATGAGCTGCAGAATGAGTGATTCTGCGGCTTAGTAAAACTTTTCGTGCATAGGGTCTAGGTTAAGCAGATGTCATCTCTGGTATAAACCACGGCTGCGAATTTGGAAATGAAGGGATGGCGTCCCCAAAGACGCACAAAACTGTCTCATCATTCACACGAATAAGACGAGAATGCGGTTCTCCTTTCTTCCTACTTAGGTGAACAATATTACATGAGTGATCTTCTGGGTGTGTAGAAACTTTCAAGCACTCTTCGCACGGCTTCCATTGAGTATATGGGATCTTTGGTACGCATCACTTACAAATTAAATTCAATACTTGAGCAGCATTGTTTTCACAGGACAGAGATAGAGAGTCTAATCGTGCTCATATTCAAAATCCAGTTCGCAGGACAAAGAGTTCTCAATCATTGAGGTGAACAATGAAAATACGCAATTCAGTCTTTTCTTAACAGAGAATAGCATTGTTAAGATCTGAAAGGTTTCATCGGCACTTACGGTTAGTCGAAGCAAACTTGACACCGACAACATCATTTTACAGACACAAATGGCGTTTATGAGGACTAGGAATTAAGTGATGTATGTGCCTCTACCATAGTGAATAGACCTGAGGTACCCAGGTGAAATCAATTGGAAGGATACGTATTTTCGTCGAAATCGGCCAAACCCATAGATGCCTTTCACTCTTGGATCTAATTTATCCAGACAGGAAAATCCACGTGAAGATAGCTAATTACAAGTCACACTTTCGTGATCAATGACCCCCATTAGTCGACGACATTGTCGTGGACGTACATCAATTCGATGACTCACGGGCCTAAGGTGGCATCCAGATTGCGATTCCAATTTTACAGAGCGTACCTTCCGTCGGAGGTGCTCGTGAGGAATCCCCGACACCATTCCGATCTCGCCTGGCTGGAGCTCCGCGAGAGCATCACTTGAGAGCCCCCTCGATCCCCCGATTTTAGAGAAAACAAGTCGTCGAAGGAGAGGGTTGGAGAAGGTTCGCCGCTGCAGGTGGCTCGCCATATGTATCAGCAGCGGAGACGAGGGCTCACCGTCGAGATTGTCCTTATTGGCTCGGGCCGTCCGACCTAGGAAACTATAAGAATCATGTTCTCCAGCATTTTTCTCGTAATTTCTCGAAATATAATTTCCCTAAATATTTCATTTTTCTGGGATTATTACAATTCTGAAAATTTTCTCGTCTCTTTTATATTCCCCTTTAACGTCGTTTAATTTTAACCTTAAGTCAGCATATAAAATAATTATTACCCCTCATTAACTATTAGGAAATTAAATACTCCCCTTTATTAAATTGAGATGTACTATTAAGTTCAGTATTATGAATAATGTAATAATGACGAGGGATAACAAGGTTTTTTAAAAGATATTCGATTAAAAACATAATAGGAGATGACTTCCGTCATGGTAAATGTGGCTGAATCCGCCGGAGCAAATAGGGTACCGATTAGCTTCATCCGATGTTTGGATCGGTTTACGGATTAATTATTTAGTTAATCTAATATGAGTTGGGCCGAAAAAAAATCGGAATCGGTTTTTAGCCGACCCGATTACGGTCACCGAATGTTTGTCTCGATGGCACGTGTGGAGAGCCCAACGAGGACATCCATAACTTACCCACGTCGGTAGTCTTCTCCTTCAGAAGGCGCATCCCACTCCCACCCGGGCTCTCTTTCTTTTGATGGTCTGCTTGGTCTAGCGTGGGTGATGGAGTCGCCAGAGTCATCGCCGTCTCCGATGACCTTTTGTGATTTCCCGGAAGACGTGCAGCTGGCCGTTCTATCATTTCTTCGTCCAGCTGAGATCGCTGCCTTCGCCTGCACCTCTAGGCGCTTCGCCTCCCTGTGTGCACAGGACAGGCTCTGGTTCGCCATGTGTGATCGGCGATGGGGTTCGAAGACTCGGATCCGGAGCTGGATCAGAGGGGGGAGCCGCAGCATCATCCCCTTCGCCCTCCTCTACAGGTCTCTAAACCGCTGGGAAAAGCTAATTGGCTTCTGGCGGCGAATCGCGAGGGAGTGGGGGGCCTCCTCTCTCGTTTTCTTTGAGTGGGGACCCTGCTTCATCACCGGGTCCTTCGTCGCTGAGTCGCCGGAAGCTGGGAGCTACGGGGTGCTTAAAGTGCCCTTCCTCTGGATAGGGCTCTCACCACGGGGGGAGCTGCTGTGTTTCCTCCACCGTACTGACCGGTTCGACTCTTCCCGGAATGTTGAAGCATCGGCATCGTATTCCGGTCTGTCAGATGTAGATTTTCTCCCGTCAACCATTGGTTTCATTGGTGAGAACCATTTCGTCGTGGAGAATAACACAGATGTTCGTGGAGGAGCAGACTCTTGGAGTTCCGACGATTTATCTAACTCAGAGGAATCAGCCTATGTCGAGGAATTCTTGTCAGACATATATCAGTGCCTCGGCAACCGGACTACCTCATTTGGGAACAAGGTCATTGGGAAGGTGGAAAATAGCGTAAGGAATCATTGGGTGACCGAGCACTTCGTGAAGATCACCAATTGTTATCCGACTCCAGAGCGGCCTCTTCAAGGCCTGTGGAAGGTATTGTTTACTTCCTGCTCTGCGCTCTGTTCTTGTTATTATTACCTCGTCAATTCAGTTGTTCAGTTTAAAAATTCCCGGAAGGCATCTAAATGCACGGTTCTTAGTCTGTCCTCTGACTTGCAAAGTCGTTAGCCCTATGCAACTTTCCCGTCTGCAGTTTTTTTTCTGCCTCTACAAGCGAGAGGGTAGAACCTTGGTACCATCCAGATGTCACGCCACCATGATTCCATTCACCAGAATCTCCAAAAATAATTGCTTCCCGATAACCTCTCACACTTTTCCATAGTTCCCAATAATATTAGCCTTTTTAGCACCATTTTTTCTCTTCTCCCCAATTTTTTGTGCTCTCCAAAATTTCTCCCTAAAATTCCCCTTCAGAATACAGAGGTCACAAATTTTTGTGAGGAAAGCGTCTAGAAGGCGTTACTTTCTTAATTCAACATTATGTTAATACATTAGTATCTAATTTATAGATATTATATCCTCTGTAGAAAAGAATGCATATCTTTTGTCGATAGGGCTTCTTCATAAATGAGCATCGAAGTAGCTTATCTTTCCACAGCTTCATTTTACATGCATTAGTTAGAGACCATATTTTCAGTATTAAAATTTCATAAAACATAGTCAAACAACAAGTACCGATGCCACAAAAGAATGATATCGTTTGAATTTGTGGTTGGAACCGTAAGGCCTGTTAGTCCACCAAAAATGCCACAGATTATATTTTCTTCTTTGAGAAATTCTCTTTCCACCGTTGCTAAACTGTTGTCATTTTATGTGGCATTTTTATTTTTTCGGGGAACAACAAAATGCGACTCTGGTAGCATACGTTTGTGTACTCGTAATTTTTTTATTACATCAGAAAATGACAGAGTTATGTCACCAGCTTGGTACCATCTACTTTTCATCATGTTCTTCCTTCATAACCAGATTTCATCCACCATCTTTGTGTTCACCTGCACTCTTCTTTCACTATACATTCATCGTCATCACCTGGTGGCCTTTCTGCAGCCTCTTTATACTGTAAATTGGATTACTTTGGATGCTTAATTCGATCAAGAACTAACGTGCCCTTGGGATCTTCAAACCAAAATAGCATTCAAGCTTTATGATCTCGATTATTGAATTTCATTATTGCCTGTACTAGATTTTCAATCTCACAGCGATAATTTTATGTAGGGGATTGGTGAAAGCATGAGATTGGCCTTCTACATCGTCACATATGATAGCATGGGAACTATATCATGTCGAAGGGTTGGTGATGTTTCTGAACCTCTCTCTGGCTATTTACCCATCTTTTGGACTTCAAATACATCATTCCTTGAATACCCATTCTCTAGAAAAGAAGATGATATATTCTGTAGCCGAGAACATATCGGGCCACCCAGTCTGCATTCCATTGGAATGAAAAAAGTTGTCTCAGGCATCTTCTATACAAACTCTAGCTATGATTTAGTTAGTGTGGATTCATCTGGATCAACTGTAGACTACCAAAATGTGGAGGGTAGGATATGGCTCTATAATACAGGTACTTTTGGATTTGGTTTTCTTCGGAACAATTATATTGTGGACTTGACTCACATTGCATTGAATGGATGCCTCCTTGATACTGTGGAACCCTCGTCTGAGTCGTGTTAATAGGACGTTCCTAAAGTTGCCGATGTACTGGAGCTATTGAATGCCTTGTCTCTTTGTAAATTATAGTCCTGTCGAACACAATCATTTCATTTGTAAATTATCATCCTGATAGTCAGTCCATGGTCACTATGTGAAGTTTCTTCTAGGTTATTTTCCGTATATTGCTAAAAAAATCAGTTGGATGCAAATAGAGTACTGTATAATTCCACTATCTTATACTTGGGTTTATCATTGAATCACATTAATGTTACATTTACCTTTCTCATTCATATATTTATATTTTTTTGCCATTTATATCCAAATATTCCTGTCCTCTTCACCCAACCCACGTAATTCTGTTTTCTATTATCATATGAAGAGTTCTCCCATGGTTCTACTGACTGTATTTTAGAAGTCTTAAATCCATAAGTCAACCGATGAGATTATTTGGTGTCGTTGTTTCTGATCAACTGTAGACTATATTTCTCACTCGATTAAAGAGCTAATTTCTTCAGGATAAAGAAGAAACTGAATAAAAACCCTATTGAATTCTAAATAATTTGGAGGATGGATGATGGAAGAGAATCTGTAGAATTGCGGCGGCTTCTCGGATTTTAGTAAATGTGCCAATGGGTTCTCCTCTCTCGTTGACTTTGCAACCGTTGATGCCAGCCGTCGTGAAACCGGGGGTCACATCAGTGTACCAATTTGAAGATAATCTAAAAGACCATTTACGCAGGTTTCCCCGGAAGATCGATTCAACCATTCCCAGATTATGGCCGAGTGAAACTTCGATGAGGTACTGGAGTTCTCTCCGGCTTGCGTTGACTGCGACCTTCAAGAAAGATACAGAAAGAATGCGCCGCCGTGGGGCCTCTTACGTGGTCGCATTAGGCCTTTTTCTCCGCACCGATTACTCGCCTCTGCTCGCCAATGATGTTCTGCGGGCTGGGAGCATCTCTCATGGAGTAGGAGAGCACCCCGCTGACTTTGGCTCCGGCGTTCTCATGAGGTCGTCGTCGACTGTCAACTCCCAATTCCGCGGGTTTCTTCGTCTTTAAATGGCCAAGAAAACTTAAGTCTCATCCAGGGACGTCACGTCCGGGGACGGCAAACACCGGAGACGACTACGGCTACGCTCGTCGGCCAAAATTGTCAGTGAATACGTTCACGTTGGCCGGTTGCGATGGCGTCTCCGCAACGGGCGCCCACGCCGAGCCTTGCGGCAGGGAAAGGCGCGTGAGTATAGCAGCGCATGCCAGGGAGGAGAGTGGGGACAAGAAAGATAGGAGAAAGGTGATCGACCTGTTCCTTCGTATCTCCGGGGTCGGCGATCGAAAAGCGGGCCCAGCCAATAGCAGATGTCGTGATGTAGAAAGGTGCGAATCCTTGGGGGGAAAGTCAAGGCTCGTAGGGTCGCGCATCCCGCGATTTCGAAGGTGTGAAGAAACAACCTCCCCGGGGGGGGGGGGAAACGACGGCCATCGGCTCGGAGCAGGAGGAAGATGGGCTTCTGCGATTGCTGCTTTGGGGTCTCGAGGGAGCAGCGCCAGGAGGAGGACCGCCTCGCCTCCGAGGAAGCCCGTTCCAGAGCCGCCGAAGCCGCTCAGAGAAGGCAACCACATCATCTCTCTGCACCTTCCCCCTTCTTCCCTTCGTTGCTTAGACAACAATGTTATTCATCCAGACGGCTTGATTAATTAAGGAGAGGAGTGACCTTCCGCGTGTTACCTCTTAAGAGCGCTTCTTCTTGGAGCCTTGGTGCCCTCCTCGGTCATATAGGTGGTGGGTTCTCTCTAACGACGGATTTGCTCTGTAGGCAGGAGCAATTTGACAATTCCGCGGCGGGGAGAGCAGCACGCGCACAAATGGCTGCGATCAAAAAGCAGTCTGATAGCGCCTCCGGAGGTGAACCAGTTCTAAGGGTATGCCTATACCTGTGCCGTTCTCGGCCAATCCTTGCCTTTTGATAAATGGGACCGCTGATGAAGGCCTATCCATCGTAGCACCCATCTTCTTGTTCTTACAGAGTTTCACTATTGACCCTTTCATCGTTCTGGTTGCGGTTGCAGTGGCAGATGGGGTGACACTTGGGGCCGTGGGTTCATCAGCGGCAAGCATGTATGTCCGCAACCTTTCGATGTGCAATCCAAGCAGTATGATAGAGATTGAATCTTTGTTTTCGTGTTTGTGTTTCCATCTTGCTTATGGAAATCCTCCTGGTGGGTGGTCTTATCGCTTTGTTGAAGACCAGAATGTCTGTATGCCCCTCCATTGTTCTTTCATGTTTGATTCACAGTCTCAGCCAGAAAATGGTGAACTTCATCTCATCGGCCAAGATTCATCGGGGAATGATGCATGATCTTACCTCGACACTATCTGTACAAAACGATATGAAAATACGCTCAGACAATATAACCAGATAATCCAGACCAAAGAGCAGGGTATCAGTATCCTCTAGCACTCTCTTTTCCATGAAGGCGTATGTCACATTGACAGGATGAAGAACCCAGAAGGAGGACGAGTGACAAGCACGGCACAATCTGATTAGCAATGGGTTTTCATATCCAAAAATATATATGTAACAGATTGGTGAGGAAGATTTTTAAGAACTGCATCACTTTCAGGATAAAATACTCACTCAGAGAAATGGCTCTCCCCCGATCCATAGAATATTTGTCAGGCCTACATTCAAGTGACAGGTTATTCTCAAGTGATAGTTCAAGCATGAATCTGCTCGTGTTCAATAAGAATTTCTGACACGATTACCTACGCGCTGAATTAGTGTTGACTGAACGCAGAAGAGATCTGCATCCTATTGATCACGTTGTTCTGACATCTGGAACTATGAATAGTGTCTAGAAGCTAAAGGAATTGGCCACAATTTTTCTGTGCCCTGACAATAAAAGTGTTGTACATTTTATTAAGATTTTCTTTTTTTGTTTGATCATGTTAAACCTGGGTTGGGTACACCATAAACTCGTTACAGCTTTACCTACATTTGTAAAAAAAATTGCGGTATCCTGAAATATTTTTTTTTACAGACTGATCAAGAATGTAGCACAACTCAGAACATTCAAATCAATGAATAACGGGAAGGCTGCAAGACCCCTTTTTACTTATGTACAGTATTGGAGGCATCACGAGAGCATGGTTACTTCTGTATAATTCTGGACTTCATTTACTGCATGGTTTCTCCGGATTCTACATCTCACAAAACGGGATCTACGTTCATATTATGATGTTTTCTGTCGTGGATATTGGACTCCTATGGTACCTATTTTTTCTGCGTGTTCTTTGATATGATCCATCTGTTTATGCATTGTCATGTTGCTAGACTATTAATGGCGACGTTTTCGTTTCCTTGTCAATTTCCATGAATTTGCCATTCTGTTCTTGGCTATTATTTGCAATCTCTAAAAGGCTCTCCTCTTTTTCCTCACGAATTACTCAGATACAGAAACACTGATGAAATTTATTTTTCTGATACACAAATGCCATGTGAGAAATAAATGACAGAACATCTCTTATAGTGTTCATCGCATAGTTTTTGAAAGAGATCACTCAAGTTTGAACAAATTGATCCTTCCCCAAGTTACCAAGATCTTTGATCCACGGATAACTGTTGCATTAGCTGGCTTCAACTGCGGAGGATTAAGTGTCTGAGTTTTCACATCAAGCATTAAGATGGCCAATTTAGTTCATCAAGGCCGTCCTGTCATGAATGATTGGGATGGGCGTACGCATTTATCCAATGTGTTTCTATATTTTTTAGAGAAAGAATTGGAAAATTGGCATTGCTCCAGGTGATGCATCAAGATTGAGCGCCTGTCTTTCCAAAATTGATACAATTATGCTACATAAATATAAACATGTATTAGAATCAAAGCTGGAATTTGGGGAAGACACCATCCTTCATCCTCTTCTCCCTCCAGACTTCCAGTATCTGGGATGCAGATGGCAGTCCAGGATTAGAAGAAAAATCAACGTCCTCAGTTAGCAAATCGAGTGCTGTCTCTGTTGCAGAAGCCTCCGAGTCGTCATAAAACACAGGTCTCCCACTAGGGGCGTCATCAGTAGAGAAGTCAGAAGCCAGCTTAGCACCACGTTCTTCCAAATTTAGGGAGACATCAACAATTCCACCAATGAGGGATTCCCCATCAGGTTTCTCAAAGGCATCCTTTGTCATTCCATTATTATCCTCAATATAATTCTCATCTGAAGCAGATGTCTCTGCTTCCAAGTCACCGTATCGGCTTTCTCTGGACGTATTGAGCAATGGCTTCGGTCGGCATAGAAGCTGCAGTGAGTTTAATAAATTGGGCACAGGAGCCTCTGCAACGACAGTGCTAGCGTCAAGGGTTTGAAGAAATCTGTGCAGATTATGCTGACTTATCCGATTCCCGCTTCGATTGAAAAGTTCTGTCCACTGCTTCTCGCTGAAATTAATGGACGCATATGCCATGCTATTGACAATCGCGACTGCCTGCACATAATTTTCTCGAACAACGTTCTGGATTATCATTTCAGTAAAAAGGGACACATGAGGTATATCGCCTCCTTCCAAGATCGCATCAAAGGCGTGCTCCAACAGATGCCACTGCGGAGGAGCAACAGAGAAAAGCAGGACATCAGTAGAATGGCACTATCATGGGATTGTTTAACGTATCCTGAAATTTAAAAGATACTTCTGAAGACATTGGCATAAATAAATGGAGGACTTAGACATGGGTTTTCGAATTTAATAGTGCCATGGATCTTGACAGTGCAAACTTAATTGCCACAAGATAACAGTTCCCCCAATGGCAGAAGTACAGGTGCCCAGAATATCAGGGATGCCACACAGAAACCAAGAGAATTTTGCTAGATTATAATCCAAATTTGAATTTTTTTACGCTTAATAGCAAATTATTCAAGCTTAAATCCTTTTGAATAAAAATATTCCAAAACACGAAATATGCTACATATACCACATCAACTGATGAGGTCGTAGGTTATGATATCATGTTTTACTACAATAATGCTCTTAGAAGCCCGATTATCATTGAAAGGTGTACTATAGAAGGTTACCTTTCCAACTCTTGATGCTTCAAGAAGTAGCCACGCATGCACGCCCTGATCTATAGTGTAACCACAGAGAGTCATCTCCCGGTACAGATACTCGAAGTACTCCCACTGATGGGCATTAGCAGAGGCGTCAAGCATTATCCGATAAGAGTAGGAATCCGGAATGAGAGAGCCAACGTCTTTCTGCTTGATGGCTTCAAACAAGTCTCTAGCTTTTGCAAACATATCATTGCGGCCGTAGACTTTCAACATGGCATTAATTGTTCCAATGTTAGGAGCACAATGATCTTTCATGTACTCAAAAATAGAGATACAGTCACAGAAATGTCCTCCATCCATTGCAGACTGGATAATGCCTGTGAACGCTACTTCCAATGACTTGCTGAGAGGAAGTCTTTTCATTTTTTCAACCTATAACAATTTTGACAGGATTCTTATGATCAGCAAGATGCAGAAAAACATGTCGACGTGAGATTATAATAATATAATTGATGATGATAAAACATGGACAATTGGAAATATGCATAAGATTGTGTAAACTCATGAAAGAGGAAAGTCATAAAGAAGTAACGATTGAGAAAACCAGTACGCCATTTCAATCTGCTTTCAATCTGCAAAAAAGAATTCTATACATTTCTCGGGAGATGATCCCCAAAAACCGCTTTAAATAGAATTGGGGGCAACCGAAAGCTAGTTGTCCCAGCGACTAGACCCTTCGTAAAATTGGGGGCAAGCAAATGAACAGGAAGAACCAGAGACTAGACCCTTCAACCCAGCGATAAAAACTAGTTGTGCCCGCTTATCTCAGAGTGAAAATAATTTATACAGTGAACTCTGAAAGTATACACAATTGTTCGTGGATTAGTCCTCAAGTTCCGATCAATGGCTTTGGTACCCTAAAAACAATATAGATGGAAACTTTCGACATCAGCCACCCTTGCCCCCCAAAAAAGAAGGAAAACTCATTTTGATTTGGTCAGAAAAAAGAGGGAAATTCATTAGCATGAGAATCAAACAAAACGGCTGGCATCAGGATGCAAGAGCACAACTTTATAGCAGAAAAACATATCATCGTAAACTTGACAATGGCTGAAATCGATCAGGATCAGCTCAGATAACGGTTATTAGGGTGGGTCCTTTGAAATGCTAAAGAAGGTCAAACCAAAGTGAATAGCCAAAAAGAGTAAAAACTGGCCAATTCGTGCTCTATCAGATATCTAAATGACAAAAAGGAATTTTCAAGGCCCATTCAAGTCGGGGGATATTTCCAATGCCACGGCTGGAATGGAACACATGTCATAATTTTAAAGCAACCACTTTTTCTGTACAAGATATCACTAATGAAGAAGGGATAGAAATATGTATTTTTTGTTAAGAAGGAAAATAAAATATGACATTGAAAAATATCTACTTAAATGTGTTGCACCTATGTGCAACAAATATGTGTAGGAAGGAATGATAAGCCGCCGGGATAAAATGCATATGTAGAAGATAATGTCACAAATCCATCTGATGAGGACCAATGGGCCACTGCAAGTCAATCTAAATGCAAACCAGTAACCATCAATCCAATCTGCCCAAAGAATGGCCTTCCAATAGAGTGCTGTCCTAGCAGATAACCCTGTCATTGCTTGAAACAGTTGCTTCATAAGCCAAAGAGATAATCAATTCAACAAGATTGCAGAGAGCATATTCAAACTACTGTTGATATTTTTTAAACCACAGGAATACTTAAAAGGAAAAAAAGCCACAAATGAACCAGAACTCCAAGTCATTGGATGTACTAGACCAACCAAGGTACAATAAAAATAATGAACACACCTCTAGCATAGCTTCCTTCCATCTCCCATTACTGCAAAGGCCACATGCTAATTCATAGTAGACACCACCGTTTCCAACAACACCTCTTTGTTCCATACTCCTCACTGCGTCAATGGCTTCATCAATTTTACCTTCTTTCCAAAATGTTCTAACAAGAACTGTAACAATGCAGAATACAAGCCCGTGAAATAATAAAATGTACGATGCCAAATATGAATTAAAAATATACAGGCTGTTTTCTCGTAATTCAGTACCTGAATTAACATAGGTACCAACCTTTATAAGTTAATGCCTTCAGAGCTAGCCCGCTTTTTTGCATCTTTTCAAAAAACTTGTGCACATATTCGTATTTACCTGATTCCAGCATTACCTTTCAACAAGAGCACCTGTAAGACTAAAATTGCCACCACAACTTGAAGGAAATAATATAAAAAATGAGACAGCATATACTGCCTGTATTTTGTTTTCTTTTAGAGAAATGCCTACTTTTGCTTTTGATTTCTGACTGTGAGACCTTTTTCGACTAAGCTAGAGCGCCTACACTAGTGATTTGAAGGAGACAAATAACTCATTGAAAATAAACATTAAAAACCCATCAAAGATATTGGGAGCCCTAGTTAAAGAAAAATGACAAAAAAATATCGTATTAATCACTGTCTGCCAAACGTGGGATTGATATATAAATTTTTAAATTTTTTAGACCTCAGAAGTTATGTTATGTGAAGTCACTCGCACAAGAATGCCTAAAGGTGCAGCGAAAACCACTGATCACAAGTTCCTGCAATAAATATAACTGTAAATGCATTGAGTAATATGATTTCCTGCCTTCAGCAGACCCAATGTTTTCCAAGATGGTATGGCAAGTTTTTTGACGATCAAAAGGGCGTCTAATAAAGGTACATACACAAATACAATGAGTAACGTTTCTATTAATTCAAACGTAGACGTGATAACCCAGTTAGGAAAATATCTTGGAACTATGCATCTGCATATGAAATTTTGATTGAAATAACCAAATAAAAGAGGAAAGCTTGTAAGATTATTTCAGTAAATGGCAAGAGTCAACAGGCCTAGGAAGATATTTTGGAAATGACCAACACTTAGAAGACATGGATTGCAAAGTGGAAAATAAGTTTTAAGTTCTAGTTCCGCATGAGATTGTGACTGGCTTCTAAAGGTTCTGATTTGTCAAGTTACCACGTCAGAACCAAGTTGGCAAGTGTTAAAAAGGATTAACTTCACCTGACTGAAAGATGATAGAGGAGATAATTTTAGCAATGCCCGATGTTGATGAACCATGATTCCTATTAGAAGAAAGTCAAATGACACAAGTGATTTAAAACATCCAAGGTTTTTAGGTCAAATCAATAATTTTGATTTAAAACACTTGTTCATTAAGACAAAATTATACGCCGATGGTAGAAGAAGAGGCCGGGACCAAAATGCTCAGGGAGTTCATGAGTTACTCTTAAACTTTTGCGAAGACTTAATACTCCGCCTACCCAAATCTTAGATGGAATTAAGGCCACTGATATGAAGACAGTCATCATACAAGGCCTCCTTTATGTCCCCAGATATTTAAATAAACAACTAAAATCCTGAGGGTTTCTTAATGGTGAGTAAATTGATAAAAGAAGTGGAAGTTGGCAGAAAAAGGACAGACAAAGAATGCAATGTCTGCATCGAATAAATACCAAAAGAGGTACAGGCTGCAGAAGAGAGCAAATTGTAATAATTTAAGGTGAATACCTCCATTGCAAGACCATAAGTTGCTCCATTGGGTTTCAATCTGCTCGACCTTATCTTCTCAAAAACCCAAAATACTCCTTTCCACTGATGAGAGGCCACACAAGCATTCAGCACCTAGAAATAAAATCAGGATGTGTGATATAAAAGTGTATAATACTCCAAATGCCGAGAAAACTAGATTCCAAATAAATATTCATTACAGCATTGTATATGACCACATCAGGCTGCAAGCATGGATCCCAATCCCTACGCCACAAGTTCTTTGGCCTTTTGGATGGCTTCATCTTCATACTGTCCATGACATTTATCAGTTCCTTCAAAAATCCAGCCTGACCAAGGGTAACAGCAATGCTGTGGTACGCTGCCATGTCAGGATATAACTGGCAGTCTTCCTGCTCATGATGGCTCATTAGGATCTCACGAGCTAACTAATAACATGAAAGATTTAACTACAAAACTTGGTAAGACCAATTCGTCATTACTTGCATCAGGGTAAATATGCGAAGGGCTTCAGAGGGTTTCCTTGACTTCCCGAGAATTGATAAGAGTTTTGTGTATACAAACCTAAAGAAAAGTGCATGTCAAAAGTCACAGCCGAAAAATCCTAGATAAACGGTTAGGAAAAACTGACCTGCTTTTATGGTGTTTGTAGTCCTTTTTATTGTACACCCACTCCACAACATCCAACGCTTGTCTCCAATTGCCAAGAGCCCCTAGTTCGTCAACTATCCTCAGTAAATTCCTCTCAGTGAAGAGCAAACCCGATAGTTTCATGAATCTTGAGAATTTCCAATCCTGGATGGTAAGGTTCTTACTGCTTAATCTGAGAAAGTAACCATCAGAGGTAAGGAGTGGTGCTCTTTGTTAAGAAAATCAAAAAACAGACAAATACAATATTTTCCAGTTAGATTCAATTCAAAGTAAATGGTCTCTCCAAATAATCTAATTGATTATTGAGTAGCCCTGAATATGTTTTCAGAACCTCTATGCAGGACATAGGATACAGAACTGGCATTCAGTTTGTATTTAACAGAGAGAGAGAAAACCCTGGCTATTATTTATTCACAGTAAGAAAATTCACGATATACCGCGGAAAGAATGCTTCTTGTATAGTTTCCGCCAACATAGTCCCTAGGTAATATTCAAGCTGTTTTATCAAACAGAACCATAACAAGGTAGGGTATTTTTATTGAAATAATAAATTAAAAACATTCTTCACGTTCATACTTTAACTATGTCACCATTATTCTCATGAGATGCATCCCACAAGTCTATGATTAAAAAGATCCAACGAAATACCCAAAGCATAAGAATCTTTGCTAAATTTTCTAGATGGAGATGGACAAACATTACCATGGGCTACAATGAGGTTGAACTAAAGTTGAATATCAGGGACAAGTTTGTCTGGTTGTAACGAATATAACGGGAGTTATTTTCCTACGTATGTGATTGATGTTATTTTCTGCTTAAAGTAGCAAGTTTTTACGGGAGAAATAGGACCAATGTGAATGACATATAGAACGAGAAGCACACACAATTGTTTCCCAATTCTCGACATAAATTAAATAGCGCGAGTACAGCCATGATAATCTAAGATGGGTGAAGAAAGATAAAAAGTCCCGCGAAATCAATTGATAAGTGGGCGGAAACCACTAGTTCGGACGTCTACTTCAAGTATTTTTAAGAGGCCAGAAAAAAGGGGCAAGTTCAAGGCAAACATTTGCGAAATAGAATATTGAAACACATGCAAAAAAATATAACAGGCCAAAAAACATTTGAATGATGCCTCTGTTACATCTGGTATCTCTTAGGCTTTAAACATATAGCATTTTCGCTGGAAATCTTAATCATAAAGATGCTATCATAGCATTAGAAAACGGGGAAAAAAGCTTGAATTGAGCGGACAGATTGCGAAACCCGACCTGTTTACGAGAAAACGGATTTGATCTTCCTCTCCGTTCAATCTATTTGGAAGAAACATTTTTCCCTTTTCCTCCACAGATAATTCCTCCACGTCGTCGTCCAAGAGCAAGTGGATATCCCCACTGTTCCGCTCGCGGAGCATCTCCACCAACTCGGCCAAGTGCTCACTTTTCAGCCTCCGCCCAACGTGCTCCACGCTAGCGCCCGCGAGCCTCGTCGGGTCGACACCTCTCGACCTCTCCCACGGCGTACCCACGACCGGTGAGGCAGGAGTCTCTGCATTTCTCTTCCGGTGCTCCTCCTTCACCGCTCTGTACTCAGTCGATATGGTTCGGAAGAGGGCCTCTCCCTCCACGAGTTGTCTCTGGGCTTCGGATAGCGGCGGATTCTCGTCATCGCGGACTTGCTTCTTCGACCTCCGTACAGCCTTCTGAATCTCCTTCTTCCGCAGCGTGCGTATGATCTTCGGGGTCGGGAAGACGCCCCTTCGAAGGAGCCTCTGCTTGAGCGCCTCTGTGTTCGGCTCGAATGACCTTCCGTCGGCCCGAGGAAGGACGACGGCGAATTTCACAGATGTGGCCGCCATGGAAGCATCCATGGTAGGAGCAGGAAGTAGCGAGCAACGATCAGGCTAAGATAGAAGCGAGCTACGGGTTCGATATTCCAAACAGTTCCTGCGCGACCTCCAGACTGAAGACATACGGGTCCATTCACTTTAATGGGCCGATCCATTTAAATGGTATTCGATTGATTCGTGGGCTGGGCTTCGGCCTAAATACAGCTACATGGGCTCGGAACTGATGGGTATAAAAACCCGCGGACGTGACCTAGGGCAGTCTCTCTCCCACATCTACGCTTGCGGTAATCACCACGCGCCGAAACCCTTCGGAGCGGCCGCAGCGCCAGTAGGAGCAGCCATGGCTGTAGGGTAAGAGCTTGTTCGGCTTGTTCGGCACTCTTCTGTTTCATTCTATCCTTCCGTTCTTTGTGGAATTCTGCGGCATCATGATCTCTGATGTTGCCTCCCTATTTATTTCTTCAGGAAGAACAAGAGGATCTCCAAGGGGAAGAAAGGAGGCAAGAAGAAAGCGTATGTCGACATCATCGGTCTACCGCTTCCCGCAGTTTTTTGGTTGTCGAAGTACGCTCCTTTCATGTTCTGCGTCTCACCGCATTCTCCTAATTCCTCCTAGGGCTGATCCCTTTGCGAAGAAGGATTGGTACGACATCAAGGCTCCCTCAGTTTTCAGCGTGAGGAACGTTGGGAAAACCCTCGTCTCCAGGACTCAGGGTACCAGGGTTAGTGCTTGCATTTTATCAATTGATTTTCCTAGATAAATTTTTATGGTGCCCGAGCTTGAAATATTAAATTGCCTTCTTAATGCAATGTAATAATAGAAACGGTCTAGGAAGAAGAACTCGATGCTACTTAATCACGTAGATCGCACATATGTAAGCTCTATGTCATGTGGGTAGAATAACTTCATATTTGATGTTTTGATATAAAATTATATCCATTTACTGTCAATGAAGAAAAATTAGTGTTATTTACTGGAAAACGTTTTTAGCCATGAATCAAACGGATATATGAAAGATGAGAAGAGGAATGTTGATCATAAATATGCTTAGCATCATGCTCGTAGTTTGAAACAAGGATTTCTCCTTTGGAGGGAAAATATTTTTTCAAACATGGCCACATTATTTAGGTTGTGCAAAAAGTTGTGACCTGATCGAGTCATGAATGAAGAAATAATTTTGACGATGTGACTTTTTTTCAGTAAGATCAGGAAATGGAGTTACTATAATTTCGTATTTTGTTGTTGTATTTGGAAAACATATCTACATGTTAGTGCGTTATCATGAAGTTATAAACACCTTTGCCTTCAACCCTTGATTGCCAGAGCTTGCCGATCATTTCTTTAAGGAATCTTCCCTTATCTGTCTACTTTTCTAGATTGAGCTCTCATTCTGTTTTATATACAAATGTATTAACTGTTTACTCTTTTCTTCGTAGTCAAGACAATTTTTCTCGAGTATCCAACATAAATTTGCTCTTGACGAAGTTGGACGCGAGTCCTCCTTGAACCCCGTCAAGGGCAAATTTTAAGTTTTACGTGTCCAACTTGGGAACTCGCCGAGTTGTTCATAAATTTTGTCATCTTACATAATTCTATGCACGATACATCTTGTTGCAGACTGCATCTGATGGTCTAAAGCACAGAGTATTTGAGGTCTGCTTAGCTGACCTTCAGAATGACGAAGATCAGCACTACAGAAAGATTCGCCTTCGTGCAGAGGACATCCAAGGGAAAAATGTTCTTACGAACTTTTGGGTAAATAACCCACCGATTCTTTTTCTTTTCAGGGAAAATGTAGAAATCCTCCAAATCACTGTTAGCAATTTTATTTCAGGGAATGAACTTCACTACAGATAAACTTCGCTCATTGGTTCGAAAGTGGCAGACATTAATTGAGGCCCATGTTGATGTGAAGACAACTGACAACTATACTCTGAGAATGTTCTGTATTGGCTTTACAAAGAGACGTCCTAATCAGGTCAAGCGCACGTGTTATGCCCAATCCAGCCAGATAAGACAGGTATATTATAACTTTTTCAAAGCGCGAATATTTTTTACTATTATTGTGATGTTGATAAACTTGTATTCCTCTGAACATTTCAGATTCGTCGGAAGATGACAGAGATTATGATCAATCAAGCAGCATCATGTGATCTGAAGGAGCTCGTACAGAAATTCATTCCCGAAGTTATTGGGAAAGAGATCGAGAAAGCAACCTCGAGCATATACCCTCTTCAAAATGTCTTTATTCGCAAGGTTAAGATATTGAAGGCACCCAAGTTTGATCTTGGCAAACTAATGGAGGTATTCTGGCTTTATCGTTGTTGAGTTACCACAAATTCATTCAATGTGTATCACTCAGTATGTGTTTTGTCGTTACAACCTATCCATGTCTTGAGCAGGTTCACGGAGATTACTCGGAGGATTTGGGTATGAAAGTTGAGAGACCGGCAGAAGATGTTCCTGCAGAGGAGACTGAGGTTGTTGGGGCTTAGGAAAGGGGTTATCCCCTAGAATTCTGCAGAAGTTGGTCTTTTATCTGCAATTTTGTCAGCGCTCTGGTTGAGAATTCATTGCTAATCAGGATATAGATTACTTACTGTTTTGTCCGTTATTATTTTTATCTTTTGGTCTGCTTTACTTCTCGAGCTTTGGACTCTGCACCAATATTCTCTATTGTGTTCGATGGTTCTGTGGGAGCGCAGTTGTCTTTTATTTTCTCCGGAATTGCAAGGTAATTACGCGCTATACGAGGCTTTCCGTAGCTTTCTCACTTTCTGGGCATTTATTGACACCCGTACTCTTTCCTAGAATTGGCTAAGATCCATGTTCAGGGATAACACTTACCAATCCCTGAGGATGACCTTCTCTGCACTGTAGTTCCCGCCATAGAGGGGAGTCTAAGTTTTGGCGCTGTGTGAAGATAGATGAAATCATTGATAGATTTTTTATTCCATCACAAGAATCCAGCCCGTGATCTTCCCAGTGATAGTTGATTTAATCAGCCACGGGTTTATTAACTTCCAAGGACCACAGGTTATGCTGCTTCCATTGAGGTCTGCTTCATGGTCCTCTTTTCCATTTAGACTTCCACGGTCATTTACTGACTTCTGTGTTCATGTCTTTTTTCTTCTGTCTCCCATACTCTCATCTCAGTCTGGATGTTGGGCTTTGTGTTGACTTTATAGAGTCAACTGATGTAGATGTATGTGTATATCTCGTTAACCCATAGGTTTGCTGCATCCGAGACATGTTATATCGAGGATTTCTTAGGTTGTGTGACATCACCTCCTGCAGAAGGTTAATTAATGAGCCATTTAGCTATTGGCCAGTGACTGTTTTGAGTGAGACTGGAGAATTAGCAACGGAGAGAGTTTGCAGTGATAGCAAGCCATCTCTTACAATATCCGCTATACTGTCTGACAATGTTCAAGTAATTGGTCAGTGTAATAAGATTATTCCTAAATATTTTTTATAATCTTGGCCTAGATTTGAGACAACATATTACCTATTCATTGTCACGCGTATATTAATTAATTATAACCCAAATGCATTCTTCCTTGTCTTGGTCTTCATGAATTTAACTTATTTTGTTAGGTCAACCATGGGATGGTAGTGCTCGGTTATTCAAGTAAAAAAAAATATATATTTATTCCGTTTAATAGTTCATTTTTTACGCGATTGTCAGAGTTCTTTAATAATTTAGTTTAGATAAATCATGCGATGCTAACGCAGTGAACTGTCATTCGTCTACGACTGTGATTCTCTATATCTAGTACAAAATTAGTGCCGGGTACTTTCTAGCCAAATGCAGCTTAGCTCAGTAGTTACGCTTGAGATCTTACGTGCTTCGTAGAATCTACGAGGGTCGGACCCAGCGCACGCGCCTCTCTGCGTCGTGCACCTCAGATGCGTTGTGGTCCGGCCAAAAGGGGAGGCGGGGAGGCCACCGGTAGTGCAAGAGGGACCATCACAGGCCCGCGATAGAATGTGGTTAAGATGGGCAGAAAAGCCGAGGGGGACAACAGAGGAGCGGACTCACGGTTCTGGCTGTTATCTGCTGAATCCGTCTGGCGGCAGGCACGAGGAAGGTTCCCACCTTATTGTCGATGGGAACATTGGCCTGTTGCTCGGGTTAAACCCCCTCGGTGAAGAACGGTGGGGGAGAGGAGAAGGGATCATCTCCTCCGGTATGAACACTTCCCCTTCTGGGTTATTGGAGGCCAGCTTTCTACTAATTACCTGAACCTATTGTACGCAGGTACTAACATTAAGAGAGAGAGAGAGGGGGGGGGGGGTTAAAAATAGGTCCCCCCCCCCTCCTCCCGTTTGACAATTTACGGAAGATGGCAGAGTGAGCACATGGAGTAAAAGGCAGACATCAGCGGGCTCGCTTTACGTTAGTGGACCTACAGGTCGGGCTGGGGCTCCGCGCTCTTTCTTTCTGTGTGGGACGAGTCTCACTGAATTGGAAGCCCACTGGGGGGTTCCCTGTTCAAAATCTCATTGGTGCAAGATCCCCGCTGCCGCGAGCAGAGCAGGACGGCCAGGTGTTAACCTCGCCGGTTCACAACGCTGAATCCTGCTCATCTTCTTGTCAAAGGGCCCTCGGGCGTCTAACCCGGCGTATCGCCGTCCCTTTGCTCTGCCGCGAGTCGCAGGTTTTCATTTTCAGGAGATGTGCGGTCCCAGCAGAATATATCACCCGAATTAAGTTCCCGATAAATCATTGCCCTCCGTTATTCCGGACGCAAAAACGGCCTTCTTGGATTCTGCGTTCCCTGATCGTCCATCGTCATCATTGTGTTCCCCTCTCCGAGGGAGCCGCAATGTTATTATAGACGGAAGGGCCAGAAGACGTACCCCGAAAGTCACGAGAAGGAGACGAGAGGCGCCCCAAAGAAGAGCGCACGCTCCACCCCCAGGAGAGTGGGGCAGAGGGTTTTCGTCTCCTCCTCATGTCACGTACCTGATCTGGAGCTATCTACGGAGGAAGGAGTCAGATTCCGAGAGACGGACAAGAGCTGCGCGATGATGGAGGGGGGGTTCCTCGGCTCGTCATCATCTGAAAGAACAAAGGAAGTTAGAACAAAACAGAGATGGGAGTAAGAAAGAGCGGGCTTGTCCTGGCTCAGGGTCGCCGTCAGCTAGACAACAAATCCCGGTGAAACCGTTCGCCCCACATCTGGGGAGGGCATCTGTAGAAAGCTGGTGATTGGACTACCGGACGACGGAGCGACCACAGAAGGAAGCTTCATGGCGAGGAGATCCACCTCGTGCCCAACAGTGTGCACCATAGTTGGTGGTGACAACGGGGCGGCGGTGGCACCGGGCGAAGTTTCCTCTTCTGGCGTTTGCTTTGGCCGCCTCTCCTCGGCCTTCTTTCGAGGACGAGGAGTGCATGGTACGGCGAAACTCCTTCCGGCCATGGGAGCCGCCATTCTCCTTTGCAGAGATCCTCCCCTCAGCAGACATTTTGCACCAGGTGGACGGCATGGACGAGAGAGTGATGGCGGTGGGGGAAGGTTCCTCGGGCTCGAGCTTTGTCCCTCTCTGCATGGCCTCTTCGGAGGACGAAGAGCACGTGGCAGAGTGGGATCTCCTCCGCCATATCCCTCTCCGGTGGTCTACATTCTTCCCCAGAATCCCATGCCATGGACCAGGCGTAAATCTGGGCAGCACCAGTCCAGCAGTTGACGGACGAAGTTCATGCCCGGGCTGACGTTTCCACCAGTGGGGTTGCATGGAAATATGCACGTTTGCCATACTTGTCCACGCGTGGATCCAGAGAATAATATAATAAACCCCTTCCGATATTTCTGCCGTGTAAATTATAGAATGGAATATGAATGAATAGCTTGGTTTCTTCCATGGGGAAGGATCCTGGTCTGGAAGGGTTACAGTGGGCTTTCTTTTTTTACGGTTTTGATCTGACGAGAATAAAAATACTCTCCGGGGCCAACAGCGGCGTACGAGCTTACCATGGAGAAGAGGATGAGAAGAGCACCGCAAAGCTCCCCCTCCTTCCTGCAGCGCATGGAGGGATAAAGCGGGGAAGGGGACTTCTTTTCCCCCTTTTCCAGCGCGAGGCCTCCCCATTCCCCGGCACGTTCCTGTGCCGGCCGAAAGCCCTACCTTTCCGCAGATGCGGTGGGGAGGGAGGGAATGTGAGAGAGAGAAGATAAAGGGGAAAAGAGCGCTAGAGCCATCGAGCGAGGGGGACGTGAAGTCTACTCAGAGCCCACCATCGCCGGCGGCTGCGCCGCTGCCCCTCCGGGCCACCCTCTGGTGGATTCTCCATTTCCCTTCCTACCGCTGCCTCATGAGATTCGATTCGATCTCCTACCGCTCACAGCTCACCCGACAACGACCCTTCGGCAATTCTATACCGCCTCCTCCTTCCGGGAAGCCTCCGCCCTGATATCACCTACCGGGTCACCTAACAGACCCATCGTTGCCCAGCCTCCCGCCGAGGAAAGCCCCGTCTCCACGGCAGCGCCACTCCCTTTCCCTTTTTCTCTTAACATCCCCTCTTCTTCAACATGCGCATAACGGGTCGCATCGCCGGACGCTTTACATATATACACAGCGAGAGAGAGAGAGATGTTGCTGCTAGCAGAACGGAACAAGGAAAATAGAGCATAAAATAACGAAAGAAAACAGAGAAAAATATTTTAGTAAGACCTCAGAGTTCCCACCGGCCACATTGAGGGCCGCGTAAACTGCAACTCCCCCCAGACTCCCTCCTTCCACGTGCGCTTCCACTCCGACTCTCGCTCTACGGCTTCCACGCAGAGGCCCAGACCACTGGCTGCTCCTTCCATGACAGGAAGACCCCCGCCGCCGACGGGTCCCCCTCGCTCGACGCCGCCATTGACCAGCCTTCGCGATACCTCCTCAGCAGCGCCCTAACATCATCCGCCACATCGTCGCTGAGAGAGACCGGGGAGAACCCAGCGGTGCGCATCCGCGTGGACCAGCTCGCCGCTGTCTCCCGCCGCTCGGTGGATTCCTCAGTCCCGCAGGCCACCAGGTCTACGATACCCTTTCCGGCGGCGCGTTCCAGAGACAGCCGCTCGTTGCTCGTCTTCGGGAAGCTCTCGTCGAGCGAGTCGAAGTAGGCGGAGAAGAACCGCAGGGTCTCCCCGAAAGCCCTCACGTAGTCTCCGTCGTCATCCGGTCGTATGTCGGCCTCCTCCTCAACGATCGTCATGATCTTGGGCCGCAGCCTCCTCAGCGCGGCCGCCACCGAGTCCCGGAGGGAGCCGGACCCCACCCCATGCAGTGCGTTGACGCAGTTGATGGCAAGAACCTCGTCGCCATCTGCGGGGGCTCCCAGCGAGTCGAAGTCAAGGCCCGATAGGTCTCCGGTGTGGTGGATGGCCTGGAACTTGAAGGGCACGCCCATGAGCCGGGCGAACTTCTCCATGCGCGCCCCGATCTCCTTCATGACTCTCTGTACGCTCGAAGTGCTCGAGGACGACTCCACGCCGCTGCCACCGCCGCCCCCCCCCCCGCCGGGAGTGGTGATGACGGTGGTCAGGCGGAGGTGCGGGGTGTCGTCGGATCGCGTTGCCAGGGCCTCCAGCAGCGTCGGCCACTGGGTGCAGAAGGTGTTGCTGAGGTCGAGAATGTGGACGCGGGACTCGCCGTCGAACGCCTCGAGGATCGCTCCGTTGGAAGCCACGTGGCCGAAGGTCGACCAGGGGCTGACCTCTTGGAACCGCAGCGCCGTCTTGCGAGTGGAGTCGAAGGAGCAGTTGCGTTCGTAGGCGGCGGCTAGCGTGCGGAGGGTTCGGGGGCCGGAGGAGGTCATCCGCGCGAGCAGCGCCTGGAGGAAGTAGGCGGAAAGCTTCTGGTTGGCATCGCCGTAGGGGGAGGAGAGCTCGTTGAGCATCCACATGAGCTGCTGCACACGCGCGGTGTCGCCGCCGGAGACGGCTCGAGCGCAGTCGAGGAGCACCTCCGACGCCCATTTCCCCGACGATGTGAAGTCGACGTCTGCGTCGAGGTTGAACCCCTGCGGATAGGAGAATTCCGCCGGCTCAAATGTCTGGTGCTGCGGCTGAGAGCTCGGCGGGGTGTTGTAGGAGGTGGTCGGCGTGGCCGCCGTGATCGTGGTTGTTGCGCTGGCGGGCGGCTGGTGCTGGTGGGCGTAGGGGTAGTAGTATTGCTTGGACGAGGAAGAGGAGGAGAAGTCGTCTTCATCCATGTAGACGTTGTCGCTGTTGTTGTTGGCGTCGTTGTGGTTGCAGCATTCTTCGTCGTCCTCCTCCGTCGTATACTGGTTGTGGTAGAGAGGGTGGTTGGCCTGCTTGGAGGACCTGGAGCTGCTGGAGGTCCTGCTTGAATTGAAGGACTGCTGGTCTGGCTGGAAGGAAACTAGCCTGAAGAGGGTATCCATTTAACCGGAAGCCAGACTCCGGCGCATCAGCTAGGCATGTTACTATGGAGAACTGAGAAAGAAGCGAGGGGGGGAGGGGGGGAGGGGGGCTGTTAGCGAGAGTGGGCTGTCTAGTGCAGGAAGGGGAGAAGGATAATTGCTCTCTCTCTTGCTCTCTTTCTCGCCTCCTCTTTTCTCCGATGTTGCGGTCGGTCCTCTACGTTTTAAGTTTTTGAGAGCGTGGAGAGAGATAAAGAGGGGCTCTCAGTGTTGGCTGGTAGCGAGGACGGCCTAGTGTGAGAGAGAGGGAGGCGAATAGTGGGGAATCTAATCTTACGAGGAGCGCATGTAGGTCCTCTCTCTCTCTCTCTCTCTCCTCCCGTCTTTCCCTTTTACCGTCTTTTTTTCTATTCAATGGGTGAGGAGAGGGCTCCCTCGCCCCTGCTTCGGGGGGGGCTTTTGGTGCAATCGATGAGAGGAATGAGTGGGGGGGCTCGCCCTTCTCGTTGCTTTACTACCCCTTTTCTGCTGGTTGTAGTTATTTTTTACTCCTCTGGCGTGGCCCTTTGCGTGAACTTTAGAAGTGCGACAGCCGGCTGCCTGGTTTTTCGAAAAGGAATTTTCCTGACACCCTCATGAGCATTAGCTGCTCCTAATGGGTCTCGCACAGAGAGAGAGAGAGAGAGAGAGAGAGATAGAGAATATCAACGGAGGGAGGTGCAGAGAGAGGACGTTGTGGAGGGAGGGGGAGCCTTCGAGAAAGCTGTCGAGCGTGCATCTTCCATCATCATCATCAAAACCTCCGCCTCCCGAGACATTATACACAGGCTCTCCTCCCGCCGTTCCTCTGCGACTGATTCTATGATTATTATTATATTAGCCGCGCCCATACGGCCTCTCCGAGCCCTCCACCTCGTCGATTGTCGGCCGTCGGCAAGCACATGATCACGCCCGACACACTCTCCAATCCAGCGAACTGGCCTGGCTGATAATCTCCTCCCTGTCTTCGGCTGCGCCGAGTTCTTCCCTCCGGCGTCACCGCCGTGCAGCTCACCACGCCCGTCTTCGGCGTGTCAGATTTGATAGAATATGTGTTCCGAAGGGCAAAAGCAAAGCGTCTGGTGCCCGCTGCCGCTGCCGCCCCCGCGTCCCGTCGTCAGCGCCTCACGCTGCGGCCGGCACCGGCAGGCACGGAGCACCCATCGGTCAAATCAGATGCCTTCCAAGGCGACCAGCCTCCCCACTTTCCAATGCTAGCTAGCACCGGCCGGTTCTCCTCGCATGCCGTGGTCTCTCTCTCTCTCTCTCTCTAGAGCTATGGGTTCTTCAACTCAACGGATACGGGTTTGGATGATCCACGCTTGAGGGTTGGAAAGCCCAACTAGACAGCTTAAAAACTCAGGCGGATTTTGTCCCGTCCTTCCTCCACCAACAACACTGTCACGAGAGATACTCCTCTAAAACCCATGACGACCCAACTCCACCACCTGACGTGCACAGATATCATATGTTAAAGAAGACCCAAAGCCACGGCTTTGACGTCTTTTTAAGCGGTAGTCAAAGGTACGGTCCAGCGACCGGCTGGAGCGTGGGCTTTGCGTTGCCATATTATATGCCGTCGACGATGGGCTTGGATTGGAGAGATCCATTAGGCAGCCGGGCGGCGGCCGGAGCGGGTGAGTCTCCGCCGGTTTCAACAGGAAACCCGTCGACCAGATTCCGAGTCGCTGAGGGTGTACGTAGGTCGGGGGCTAGTCGACCGTCCTGAATCGTTTACTCGCCGGCGGACGAACTCGCACCGTCAAACAGCAGAATTCAGACAGGACGTTCTCGGAGCACGGTCGGCAGCAGTCCGGCCCCCGCTCGTCCTCCACTAGGCGTTCTCTATAAACACCTACCTCTCAGAAATCCCCCGATGTCTGGAATCCGAGCAAATTAACGCAACCAAGCAAACAAACACAGCCGGAAAATAAAGCATTTTGATCGGTCCTTGTCGATCGGGTTCGAACTACGCAAGAAATGCCCAAATAGGATCCACCCCATATCGTCCAATCCGACTGTGATTCAGATTGTATATTTATACATATCTATACTGAACATGCGGAGACACAATTTCTGATCGGACCCATTTCAACCAATAAGACTAAAAATTCAGATCGTGTGATGATTGAATATTCCACTATGCTATATGGTTGTCTTTTCGACTGTTCTATTCATATGTAGGTCTAGTACAGAGATGAGAACTAGGTGACGTTCCGTTATATAGATCGCTCTCCGCTGGTAGCCGTGAGACGGCCTGTGCCCCCAGCGCTCAGCCCCGAGTCTCTTCTGCTCTCGTACAGGACCCCACGAGAAATTGCTCGACAACGGATGGACACGTAGACTTCTTCAGATACCTCCTTATCCGCTGATCCGTTGGAGATAAAGCCCGGGGTATTATTTTCTTCAGAATCGAAGAGGACAAGGACAACTGGAAGGGGGCCAGGGGAGGAAACCCACGTAAAATGGTAACTGGGGGTTTACTGTGTCCTACTCTCCTCGTGGCTCAGGGGGGACAGAACGAAATATCGAATGGAGACGCCGCGACTGTATCCCCTCCCCTGTCGTCTCCTCGTGTCGCAAAGGAATCCCTGTGCATGGATGGCCTTCCGGCCTGACGGTCAGAACCCCTGCGCCGCCAGGGACGAGCTGGTTAACGCGACGGATTCCCAGGATATGACAAGCTCCGCCCTAGCCATTCCATCACCGCCTCCTCCATGATTCCTGCTTTGGATGCGCAGCCAAAAAATTTCAACGCCCTAGCCACCCGTATGTAGGGGGTCCCCCCGGAGCCGGACCTTCGACGTCCAACGGCTAGGTCTCCGATCACAAGCCCGAGCTTCTTCATGCAGACGTCCATCTCTCCTCCCCCGAGCTTCATGCATCTGGACATGAGAACGGAGACTCCGAGCTTATCCGCTGACGATGGAATGAAGGTTGGTTTCTACGTGATAGTAAACGTGCCCTTCTACTCTCGGATAGTAACCGACCTCCGTCTTCCAACCTCCTGCGCTGCTTCGGACGAAGTAAACACGTGGGCCAAAATTTTCTCGAATATCCAGGCCAGATCTGGAGAAGAAGACATACGTAAAACGGTAACTAGGGACTTACTGCAGTTGGACAGAAATGACGCAGAGGCTTTGTGATCGTCTTCCCCCCTCCCCCTGCCCTTTCTTCCCCACAGTTGCCTGCCGGCTCGTCCAGCGAAGGCATTCCGTCTCTGCCGATCAGAAGCGGCTGCGAAGCCGCCGGCAAATTAGTTAATGCATAAGGCGGATCTTCAGGTCCCCGCCAAGCGCCCCAGTGAATGCCTCGGAGTTGGCAACTTTTCTTCTTGTTGGCTTCCCTTGGGACCTGCGGCTGCAGTGAATGCCCTGTCGGGGCCCCCCCTTCGATGTTCCAACGATCAGATAGGATGCTCAGATACAGCATTAAAGCTTTCATGCGGACTCCGGTTGATCGTGAAGTATCTCTTCTTCTGCCGGTGCCCTCCTCTATCCACTATCTTCCCAGTCTCCTGTTGGTATCGCCCTCAGTGTAGATATTAACGCCCTCGACCTGGTGGGTCAAGCTCACCCCGAGCGAGAGAGAGAGAGATAGATACGATCTAGATCTTTTTTTCTTTTAGAATTTTTTTCGAGACACAGGTTTGTAGCAGATCTAGCTGAACCAAATCCAGGCTTCCTCGGGCTCGTGAGTTAATGGAGTTGGGCCAGACATGTGTCCTTAAAACCCAGTCCAAGCGCACCACTTATTAGAAAAAAAAGAAAAAAAAATGTAAAATGAACTACGCGCTAGTTAATTATTTTATAAATATTTATTTTTATTTTTTTAATCTCAATATTGATGTCATTATCAGGGTTTTTAATTTTAAAAATGTTTTTTTTTGTTTTTTGACGTTTGTGGTATTTCTCTACGATAACACAAATAAATATTACATTATAGAAAGTGACACATTTCAACTAAGGAAAAACTAATTTTATAAATAAAATCGTTTAATTTCACCATTAAAACACATATTTACTCCGCCAAATTTGAACCATTGCGTTGCATATTTACTTCATTAATTAAAGTAAAAAAACCTCCTTCTTCAAAATTGTTAGGATCACGTATTCCATCACACTTCGCTGCATTTATTGAAAAATAAAATAAAAATGAGAAAATTATCGGTAAATAAAGAGTTTATTCGGGAATTATTAATAAATATCCCGAAAAAGTTTTAGAGCACTTTTCTCTATCCCCCATTTGAATGGCTGGCCGAGGCAGCGTTTCGGGTTTAAGGGGTCTTCTTTCTGGCCCAATAGAAGTAAGGCTGGCAACCGTAATAAGTCGCCGGCCCATATTTTGAATCCCTGAGAAGCCGCACTTCCAACCCTGTGGCGGCGGGGAGCGGGGAGCGGCGAACGGCCGGACTGATGGGCGCGGACAGTTCCAGCAGTAGTGGCGAAGAGGACGGAGATGCCGTGTGGAGGGCGGCGATTGATTCTGTCGCGGCTGTGGACTTTCGTTCCTCTTCCGCCGAAGGACGCTCAAGATCATGCGATTCCGCCGACAGCGACGGCGACTCTGAGCTGGATGACGAGGAGCAGATGGCGCCGAAGGCGGAGCCCCGTGCCCTGAAGCTTTACCAAATCAAGGTACCCGCCACCATCTCCGATTCCTTCATCTCGGTGTTGCAATTGGAGACTCACTTCTCCTCATCCCCCGAACAGGAAACCGATGACGCTAATCTTATTCCTATTCATAGCCTCCCCGATGTTTCTTAGATCTCTACTTACCTACTCAGGGGCATCAATCTCAGTAGATTCTATTATTAATCCAAAGTCCACGGTGGCCTGAGGGTTTGCGGTTGCTGAAATTTCTTCTTCCAGCACGTCCAGAAATATTGCACGTCAGTGATGAATGTGCAGGAATACCAGATATGGCTGAAAGGTTCAATTAGGATTATTTTTTCACCAGCTTCTAAGGAATTAATACTCTTTTTATTTAAATTTTTTACCAGTGAGAATCGTAAAAAAATTATAGAAAAAAAGGGTATTATATTCTATCAGTTGCAGGGAAAAAAGTGGTCCGCTTGATTTCTTCTAGATTATATTTGTTCAATTACGCAAGAAAATCAAGAAAAAAACGGTTCAAGAATTATCATATGAATGCCATATTGCGATATTGTCCTATGTGCCGTCATGACTCCCCAGAGATCAATCATCAGCTTCCCTGTTCGATCAGAAACAACACTGATTTTCTTTAAAAATTAAGAACAGAGCTTTCAATCTCAACCCCCTTTTTTTTTTTTTGTTTTTTGCATTTTTTTATCTCATGGCAGGCACAGAAGCTGATAGATGACATCCTAGACAGGAGCCTGGTGATGGTGAGAGATCCTACACCCACCCCGAGTGAAAGTCTGCAGATGATTGAAGGTGGCGTCAGACTGTTCACGAAATCTAGCCGAGGCATAGTACTGCATTCCATTGGTATGCATTGATGGCCATCTACTAGCCACTAGAAAATAACAGAGGGGTCGTGGTACTCTGGACACTCAGACTCGAAGCCTTTCCTCATGAACTCTCACTATCGTCCATGATTATTTAATCTACATGTTGAGCTCATGGGATTTTGACCTCCGGATCATATTCGATCCTTAAAAAAAAAAAGAAGAAGAGAGGAGATGCTCCCATGTTGATTTGTTTTGTTGGCATCTGCCTTGGAAAACACTGAAGATCTGGAGGTCTTTCTTGCTAGATCGGCATCCGCAACTCAGGGAAAGGCCACGGATTACTCCAGGAGAGGAAATTGATGAAAAATCGAAGAAGGTTTGTGCTTGAATCGGCCTTCGGACAGCTTATTTTGTCATCATTCACCGCTCAGTACCGGATTCTACTTTGACTGTGACCACAGTTTAAGCGTCGTGTTCATTCTGCCTCTGTTGATGGCAACGGCATCATAGCTTCTGCAAGCAGCGCACATCAGCAGGCGTTGGTTAGATCTGAAGCCAGAGATGCTGCAAGAAGGGCGGCAAACCTATGCGAGGAGGAGAGAGTGGCGAAACTAAAGAAGCTTAGGGGCGAGAAGTGGTTGCCGTCGCTTGCTCGCGAGATGAAGGTCAACCGTCAATCCCCCACTTTCTCTATGGTACCTCAATGGAACAATCCTTGAGCCCATGAAACAAATGAATAACACACTCCACGTGGAGATTTCTACCTCAACTACCCCATCTCATGGTTGCAGGCCAAGGCATTGAGGCGGGAGACAACGGCCTCGGGCAACAGGAGCAAGGTCTCACACAGGTGGACTGGAATTATCTTGTGATGATGCATTTCTCTTTTCCTCATAATGTTCACTTGGATCTCTCTTGGTATGCCATCCGTTCCTCTCTCTTTCGTTTCCTATTAGAAATTATATGTTTTGATTGGTGATTTAGCGGCCTTCTGATCATGATCACAGCATATGAAGGGTAGTTAGTTCATTTAATGAAGTACGGGTTTGTATATCTCTAGGTGAGTTTAAGAGGATACAATAATTCCGGGAGATAGATTTGAATACCATCAAATAAATAACACTGAAATATTCTTGTATTCTATCTGGGTTTATCTGAAGTTAAAGGATTTAAAAATAAGACGTGATAGATCTAGGTGTTGGGCTTGAATCTGTGGTGTATTGGGTCACTTAGAGTCGTATGCGAATATGGTGAAACCTAAGACATTATACTCATAAAATAAATGTAGGTCAGACGTGAATATGATAATAACTATTTATTGAAGAATTATCGAGCATGAAGTACATAATTTTAAAATAAAAAGGATAAATTCACCTTCTCTCTTCCTTGGGCAGACCCTCGTCGACCCAGAGCGGCATTCGCTTCCACCCTTTACTAACTAGTATCTTAGCTCATGGAGAGACGAATGCCGCTCTGTATTCTCTCCCCCTCGGAAGGGTCTCCGAGGGTCTCCGAGGATACGTATTCTGTGGGAGTTGCGACGCCGGGAGGAGGCTAGTGGCGCGGCGTGGTGCGGACAGGGCGACGCGGGCGAGTGGACGAAGCGTCATTTTAGCGCCTACGGTGGTATACCTACCCATTATAATCTGTATTTGCATGGGTACCCTTAACTTTTTGAAACTTTCCTTATGTTTGTTTCACTCGTAGGAAACATATACTTTAATGTGTATTTCATATTAATTTATTTCACAGGGATATGAGCATAAAGTTACGTGACTTCTTCGAACCCTCCCCAAGTCACGGCCTATTCACTTCCAATCGTTTTGCCCGTTCCCCCGCTTTTCCTTCTTGGGGTCTTGGCCGCCTGGTGTCTGGAGTGGCTATGGGGTTGCTTCTGGGGATGGTCGACTGCCTGAGGTTCTGCGCTTCCACTCTTTGGGCTCTTCAAGAGAAGAGATTCTCCACGGTCTTCAACACGGTGAGCTCTGCCGTCAGATATCTCACGATTCCCTGGATCCTGTTTATTTCGGTCGCCAGAACGGAAACTGGAAGGTAGCGATCGCCGAAATTTGTCGCCACGAATCGTCGATTCAAGAGATCTTCTCCTCCTAGATGTCTCGTATCCTTGTGCAATTTCTCGGCGAGCTCCGTGGTCATCTCTCTCACGACTCCCTTAATCCTGTTGATCTTTTGAAACTAGAAGGTAGCGATTGCCGAACCGTTTTCCACGTCGTCAGTCTCAGGAATCTCCTCTTTGACGTCTCGGAAGCCGGTGAGATGGGAGTTTCCGTCTGCTACCCTAACTTTGTTCTGGATTTTCGCCTCTTTTGGAGTTCCATAAATGGAACGAGAATCAGATGAAGGGAAGGCGGCGGCGTTCCCTCTATGCCAAGGGAGAACGGCTTGTCTCGGCAGCTCGATTCTCCATGGTCGACACAACAATGAATAGCGCAATTTCGACAGTGCTCTGAATTCAATCAAAATCTTCCCAATGTGCCAAAATCTCGGGTTAATCTGTTCTATTGCAAATAAACCCGCCATTAGTTCGATGTTCACAAAACAAGCATCTGAATATTAATGAACTATGCGGCAAGACTGAAGGGCCATAAGCTCAGCTCGTGTGTATCGTGGGCCCTGTACTTGTATAAGCTCTAAAGGGTAGCCGCTATGGCTCATCATCTCGAAGCTCTATTAGTCTGATTTCTGCTGTCGAAGACGCAGAGGGCGACGCACCGTGGATGGAGACTCCGCCAGACCCGCCGGAGGCGCAGGAGGAGCTTGATGGAGAGCCCTCGTCCTCCCAACTCGTCTACACCATCGCCGGAATCCTGTCCAGCCATACCTCCTCATCTCCTGCGCTTCGCCAAACTCTAGCGCCCTTCCTCCCTCGGCTCGTGCCCACCCTAGTCCCCTCCATTCTCTCCGTCGCCGCCGCCTCTCCTTCGTTCTCAAATCCGGCTCCTCTCATTTCATTTTACGAATGGTGGTCCGATTACTCCGATCGCCTGCCTGGTGTCGTCGACCGAGCTGCCGTCCTCCTCCCCTCCTTTCTCACTCTCCTTCCCGTTCTCTTCCGCTTCAATAAGTTCGCCGACGCCAAGTCTCTTCTCGTGTCGTTCATCCGCTCTGACTCCTCCCTTCATCTCCACCGCTACCTCCTCCACCCAGGAGGCCGTTTCCCTCCTCTGACCAAAGCAATTTTGGACACATCCATCAACGCCTACGTTCATCTCAACCGCCCTCAGCAGGCTCTCCAGGTCTTTAAGGCCATGAAACGCCGCCGATGCCGTCCCAGCATTTTCACTTCCAACATGCTTCTAACTTCCCTCGTTCGTTCCTCTTATCCTCCCTCCATCCCCCTTGAGTTATACCGGGACATGATAAACTTGGGTCTGTCACCAACGGTGATCACGTTCAACATACTCATTTCCGGCTACTGTTCTCGCTCAATGTTCAAGGAAGCTCTCGATCTCATCCCCAACATGGACAACTTCGGCTTACTCCCCGACAATGTGACATACAACACTATCTTGGACGGATATGGCCAGAAGGGCATGCTCAAGGAGATGAGGAATCTGCTCCAGGACATGAAACACAAAGGCTTAACCCCTGATAGGAGCACCTACAACATCCTCGTCTCCACATACTGCCGTTTAGGCTGGTTGAAGGAGGCGTCTCAGACAATAGAATTGATGGCGAAGTGCAAGTTTCAACCTGATGTTCAGACCTGTAACATGCTAATTGGCGGATTGTGCAAGGAGGGCCGGCTGGATGAGGCATTCCAGTTGAGAGGTGAAATGGAGAAGCTCAAGATTTCTCCTGACACGGTCACCTACAACACTTTGATCAATGGGTGCTTTCAGTGGAGAACTAGTTCAGAGGCTTTCCAGCTCCTGGAGGAGATGGTTCAAAAAGGTGTGATTAGGAGTGCCGTCACACATAATATCATGGTTAAAGGTTTATGTAAGGCAGGGAAGATGAACGAGGCTGTCAAGGCTATGCGGAAGATGGAAGAGGAAAATATATCGCCAGATGTTGTCACATATAACACAATGATCGATGGATTTTGTAAAGTTGGGGACACAGGTGAAGCATACAGATTGATGGATGAAATGGTGCAGAGAGGTTTAAAGATGGACACTTTTACTCTAAATTGTGTCATTTACAATCTATGCAAGGAGAATAGGCTAGAGGAGGCACACAAGCTGATCCGTGGTCCTCCAAAGAGAGGGCTTGTGGCTGATGAGATCAGTTATGGTATAGTGATGACTGCGTACTTTAGAGATGATGACATGAAGAATGCAATGAAGCTTTGGAACGAGATGGTAAGTAGAAAAATTCAGCCCAGTGTTTCAACCTACAATTCGGTAATCAATGGGCTTTGTAGGTGTGGCAAAATGAAGGAGGCAGAGAATAAATTGAATGAGCTCTTGGGGAGGGGATTGGTGCCAGATGAAACTACCTACAACACACTCATTCACGCATACTGTAAAGAAGATCTGGAAAAGGCATTCCAGTTCCACAATGAGATGCTCGAACATTCATTTAAACCTGACGTCATCACATGCAATATTCTTCTGCATGGCCTATGCAATGACGGGAAGGTAGACAAGGCGCTGAAGCTGTTTGATTCATGGGCGTCCAAGGGGAAAGTCGTTGATGTTGTGTCCTATAACACATTGATCAGAGGTCTCTGCAGAGATGGGCGAATTGATACCGCATTGGAGTTTCTTGTAGATATGGATCTAAAGAAATTAGAACCTGATGCTTATACTTACAGTGCCCTTTTATCATCCCTATCTCAAGCTGGAAGGTCTCAAGAAGCACGTGGGCTGTTTTTCAGGATGATTGATGCTGGAAAATCGCCTGAAACATCGGGTTTCCCTGAGTTGCAGAAAGTGCTAGCTGATATTGGAGTGGATACAAGTGTAGAAAGAACGCCAAATGAAAATCGTCAAAATGGTCCGTTGTCTAGTGGTTCTCAGACCTATGAAGAACAGATAGCCAAGCTATGCAGTGCTGGTCAATTCAAAGAAGCAAGATGTCTTTTGGAAGAAATGGAGCAAAGGGCTATTTCAGTAAATAAATCTACTTACATCACCTTGATGGATGGATTTATTAAGCGACAGAAAAGAATGACGAAAGGGCCTCAGTAGAAACTGTCCTTTTGCTGATATGCTCCCATTGATATGGGACAAAGTTAAAAGAGAAGTACCAAGTGGTGTTTTTCTATCTATAGAATCACAGTTTAGATGACATAATTTTCTCTGTGCAGCGTTGTCGGGCATGTGCCTTTTTCTGCAAAAGAGTAGGTTTTATGGGTTTCACATTGAACATATGATTCACCATTTGTCCTTGCTTAATGAAGGAAGGCTTGATTTTGTTACAAATAGATTTTCTCTCCCTATACACGTGAACATATAGATCTCCTTGCTTCAGTGACACCTGGTTGAAGCTTGGAGCTGAAGGCAATACTGTGATTCGGGGAATCATTCTTCAAATCCCGCTTGTCGTTGTCTCCATAACTCTAAGACAACTCCCATTTATGTTCGAAATGGTGTAAGGATTGTGGAGACTTCCATCAATGGAGATATATGCTCATTCCATTAGCCTTCCTCCACGGAGATCTTCTGGCGATTGCCTACTTTGAAGAAGGATGAACGGATGATTATTTCGGCTGTATCCACTGTAGATATTTTGAATGGCAGGCCAACATCAAGACTGGAAAGCTGCAGACTCCGTACTTGTAGTTGTAATGATTTCTCCATGACAGATCTCTTCAACTTCTGTTTTACCCACCCATTTGGCCTGTGGAACTGCGATTGTCCTAGAGTGGGGACTTCGTCTGATTCTAAGGGATTTATACTCACTGAGTAGATGGGCTTAATTTGTGATCAGCTCCCTCTCCAAAAATCACCTCCTCCTTAGTATTTAATTTTTCTTCTGTGTTCTAGGCTCCGGAAATGTGCTGGTGATAATTGGACTAGCTGGATGAGATTGGTTCGGATAAATATTTTCACCTATTAAAACCAATCTAGTCTTTAAACCAAATGATATCTTACTTCAAATTTTGATGATTCAGCTCCAACCTTTGGATCTAACTTAGTAGCTCCGACTATTTTATTTGTTTGAGTTACTAGCCATCTTATTTATGTCTTAAGTCATGACCTCGTAAGATCAATTAGGAGACAGTTTATAACTGGAAAAAATCAGGAAGCTGTAGACGTGGCGTAGGCCATAGAAGAGCTATGACAAGTAAATGACAGGCCTGGACTGCATTACCGAGAAGAAACAAGAATGAATATAGTCTATTTCTTTTATACAAAGATAACTTTGTGATGACAACAATCCCTCCACCACCATTGATATTTCTTTCTACAAAAAAGAATCAAATATGTCTGGTCAAATGGCATTTCAAGATCTTCACTCACCTATAAACCGAAGAACATGGAACACTAGGACAAGAAAATATGACCTTCTTGAAAAAAATGAGTATTTCTGAATGAACTGATTTGAGCTACTTCATATGATGGGCGAACTTTGAGAGTGGTGTAGCTTCCTGTCAGGAAGGCAGAGGCTTAAAGGCTTGCTGCTGTCGTCGAATTCCAATGGTTGATATATCCTCGCAGAAAAAAGAAGAAGAAAAATCCAGGATCCAGAATCTAGAAAACTGTTCATCTTCCTTGTCGACGTCTCAGTTAAAATTCTTGCTTTTTTCTACATTTTCCCCCTTTTATTTTTTTAAGCCATCGATATATTACTTTTTAACTCACCTTCGAATAGCATGACCTGTTCTTCGTGCTTTCGCAGAATTTCAATGTCACTGGATGTGCACATGTTTCTGCGAATCCGCGTGTGATGTTCCTTCACGGATTGCGCGGCTCTTGGTGGGGGTGCTCTTTTATGTTTATGCTAACAACATACATGCTACATAAAATGGGTTAAAATCTCTGAGAGGTACCTCGATCCATAGCATTCTCCTTCACAAAGTCTTGCTGTTTTTCTAAGAAGACAGATCGGAAGGGGACCTAGAAAGCCTACTCTGACCACTCAGCCCGGCGGATTGAGCAGTACAGCGCTAGCTTCTTGTCTTCATTCACATAGGATGCGAAACACATGGCATTGAAGAAGCAGATGGTGGAAGCGCCGGCATGATACAACTGCTTGTAGATGCACGGCGAAGTTTGTATCTAATGCCCATAATAGATTTGCCAGGATTCATGATGGATGCATGCATGCCGAAATCTGTTTCTTATGCCCAGTAGCTGATACCCGTGATACATCTGCTAGCATTCATGATGGATGCATGCCTGATTTTGTATCCTATGCCCAGCTGCTAACATCTATGATTCATATGCGAGCATTCATGGAGGACTGTTTTCGGCTATGCATGGGAGAGATGATGCGCCGATCAAATGGTGGCCGGGGGCGCCGCTGAGAAGAATCCCTCACTGTTTTGTCATCAAGGTTATTGTACCTGCTTCAAATGGTGGCTGGGGATGCCCGGGCTGTTCGTTGGTCTGAGACTGGGTAGTGTCGGGCCCACTTTCCGGGCTTTTCTACGGGCTGGGCTTCTCAAGGCCTGGCCTGGTGTTCATATATAGACTCTGGCGTAGGACGCTAAAGTCTTGTTTATGGCAGTTCTCTTCCCCTGCGGCGATGGGTGCGACCTCGGACGGGGATCGGCCGTGGGAGTCGTACCAGACGGTGTACACCAATGCCAAAGCAGGTATCGTAGAGATAGTCGCGCCCGTTCTCCACTTCCTACCGGTTCCGTATGCGACGGCTTTTGGATGGCAACTCCTTTTTCGTCCTCGTTCCTTGTGGAATTTCGAACGGCGCAGCATCTAGGTATTTCGCTTCCAGGCAGGCGAGGCGTTCTCTCGCCTGGGAGGTGTAGTTATCGGTTCAACAGGATTGCGTGCATTTTATAAGGCTATGAAACGGCCTTACCGATTGATGTACATTTCCTGGTAGATCGTTTTACATTATTCGTTGAAGCCGTTCGAATTGTGTCAAGAATAAATTCTGATAAAACAAAAACGAGGGACTGATTTTGTTAGTAATGGTACGCATCTGAGGGTGACCTTTAGCATTGTTAAAACGTAGTGCAGTTAAGAATGACTCCAGTTCCATGTGAAAGCAGGGAGCTATTTTACTTAGGTGCACATGTCCGGAGGAGATATAAAGCCTTCTCAAATTTCCCCATTGGAATTTGTTGTTACTTGACACACCGGGTTTAAATACATGCTTTCAAACATATTCATATTGGTATCGTCGTTATTTATCCGTATTTCATCATGAGCACGAGTCCAGACCTTAGTTTGGAATCACAGGAATGGATGGAGTCGACAAGGAAAAAGTTCAGCGAGTAATTTATGAAATGAGCAAGGGATCGAAGTATTTTGAGAATGAGCAACGCAAAGAGGCAATTGTAAAACAGAGAATTGAAAGAATGCGAGCTCAGTGTGCAAAGCTTACAGCAAAGGACATTGCTCAATTTCAAATGGTATGCCTGCTGAAAAATTCCATCTTGTTTCATTTCCTGCCTCTTGTTTCAATTTTATCGAGAGTTAACCATTAAATCATACCTGATTTTTCTCATTTGATATATGATTTTTCATGGATCCATGGATTCCGGATTGGCTGTCTAAAGACATCTCACAGACTTCAGATCTCAGGAACCTTGCCTCTTTTTCGCTATTCTTTCAACAAACATGCTGCTGATTTTTCAAGTTATAAGAATAACATAAAATCTCCTTTTCTTCTGGGAAGATTGGCAAAGGTAATTTATTCGTTTTCTGATTGCCTACGTAATAGACAAAATATCCTGACTAATTTGGAGTGATAGTTGCCCTGATCTTTAAGGCACAGACTATTGGGTAAGAATAAATGTGTATGTATTCTCGCGGGCCCTTTTAATGGTATACTTGAAATCAATTAAAGCCTTCCGAGATCAATGGATTTGATTATTTATTTCAAAAAATATTTCAAGTCTTTTGAACTAGAAACCTCCAAAAAACTGGGTGCAACATGCACGTTGTTTGGGAGGTCTAGACCGGATCCCATGAACTCAAGTATATCTTTTCACATACCCACTTAAAAATAAAAATAAAACAAAAGGTTGGGCCTGATGGGTACCCAGGTTCATTGGGGCCCTCTGGACATCCATGCTCTTTTTTTTTTCTCTTTCGGAATGCAAAAACTTGTTTAAGCGGTTCTTTTTCTATTTTTCTCGATTGCTTACACAGGCATGGTTATAACACTACTTACAGTCATGAATACTTTGTAAATTCATATCAGCCATACTGCTGTTATGAACTAGACATACAGCTGTAAGTTCATAACAATTTTTTTCTTGTTCCAATTTCCAGATTGCTGATAAAAGAATCTTGGAGTTGGAATCTTCTCGTGACCTATCAAAGATTTGGGTGCATTCTGACATGGATGCCTTCTATGCTGCTGTTGAGACGTTAGAAAATCCTTCATTGAAGGGAAAACCATTGGCTGTTGGTGGCAAATCTATGATTTGTACCGCTAATTATGAGGTCTGTTTTCCAATCTGATTATTGATTTAATATGGACGATTCTCATGTATGACTTACGTGTCATGATTCTTGCATATTTGAATACCTCACTTCATGTTGAGGATTATGTTTTTGACAAGAGGAACCGTGCTGAATGATCTAGGCACGGAAATTTGGTGTTCGTGCTGCTATGCCTGGATTTATTGCCCTCAAATTATGTCCAAACTTAGTTTTTGTCCCAACAAACTTTGACAAGTATATGAACTATAGTGAGAAGACCAGGAAAGGTGAATTGGATGCTCAAATTTTAGACCACATTTAATTTTCATAATCTCTGTTATCGGTTTTTTCTAATAATTTAATATCTTCCAGTTTTTAGAGGATATGATCCCAACTTTATTGCAACAAGTTTAGATGAAGCATATCTCAACATAACTACCATATGCAAAGATCGCTGTGTTAGCAGTCAAGAAGTAAGTTTGAATATGGTTGATTAATTGTCTATGCATAAGTGGATGTGTTGGTCAATGTCTAATTAACCCTTATTAAGTTGAACATCTTATTCTTTGTAAAGGTTGCTGAAGAACTGCGAAATGCTATTTATGAGGAGACTGGTCTTACATGTAGTGTAGGGGTGGCACCAAACCGCCTGCTGGCAAAGGTAAGTTTGTCCAAATTCTACTGTTTACGACCTAATCTGATACGAATTCCAACAACACCATGAAACCCAAATGAATGCAAGAAGTAGTAGAAGATAAAATGGGAATGGATAGCAACTGTAGAAGCAAATGGCCGTCAACTCTCCAATTCTCCCTTTCCTCATGCGATGCCCAGCCTCTCCACAGGCCTACCCTAACACTCTTGAGGATGGGCAAGTTACAAACTTGCCCCTTCTTTCTTACTCGGGCTGAGCCACGGGCCGGCCCTTTTGGGCTGGTCTTTTTCACCTTCTGAAGTAAATAACTGGGGTCATATCAGAATTTGTTCCATTCTTTTTCATATGATTTTTTTTTCAAATTAAAACTTAAGTTCATGCTATGAACAGCGAGCCAATAAAAAAGTTATCACCTCAGAAAAAGTTATCACTGGCAAGATCTTTTAAAGAAAGAGGTTATCACCTTGTATCTGTAGAAGCAGAAACTTAAACACCACTGATGTATGCTAATGCAATCTTGATGTGGGACAAAGGTGCCAAAATAGATCTTCTTAATAAAAGAGTTACACAAGGGATGGGGACTTAATATCTAGATGATCCTGCGATTTTAGGAGAATTATGATCATTAATTACTTATTGGGTTATCTAATTCAAATAAGTAAATAAGACTTCTCAACCAGGGTTTGGAACACCAATCTTTCACACAAGGGTGGCCTATGAATCTCACAAATTTTAAGAACAAGGATTTAAAAACAATGACCAACTTCACAAGAAATTTAATAATCAACACACATTTGTAATGATGAAAAGAAAATAAAAGGTGGAGAGAGAAAAGGGGTGAAATGAGAATGTCGGCAGGAGAGAGAAAAGAGGGGTTTTGTGGCGATAGCAAGAGAGAGAAAGGAGAGGGTTTGCAACAGCGAGGAGGTGAAATGACGGTGATGAGGAGGACAGCAAGGAGACGGAATGGTGGCGACGGAGCGGATGGTGAGGAGATAAAACGGCGGCAATGGGGGAGATGGTGAGGAGGCGGAGCGGTGGTGACAGGTCAGGCGGTGAAGAGGCGGAACGGCGGTGACAGTGGGAGAGGAAAGAAAGGTGGGCTTGGTGACAAGGCGGATGGCTATAAGGTGGAACAACAGTGACGAGGCGGATGGCTGTGGTGGCAGGAGAGGAAAGGGAGGGCTGGCGACGAGATAGAACGAAGACGACGTGGGGGAAGAGAAAGAGAGAGAGAGAGAGGTCCCCCTAATCCAAGAGGGCGACAAGAAGAAGATACCCCTAATCTAAGAGGCGACGAAAGAGAATAGGAACCCCTAATGCAAGAGGCGAATGACGAAGAAGGAACCTCTAATCTAAAAGGCGAGAGGGATAACAAGAATCTTCTTGATTTTAAATTCAACTTCAACTTTTCAAGTATTCGTGAGTTTCAGTGTTTATAGGAAAGAGAGGAAGGTAGTTAGAGGCGTCCCCTCCCAAAGGATGCCAAGTGGTGTCTCTTGGAGGGAGAGGCGCCTTCCTTAGGGGAGAAGGGGTGCATGGGTGATGTGGCCTCTTCTCCTCCCTCTTCTTCCTCTTTGTGGGTCCATCTAAGTGAATGAACCCTCATGTTGCCTCCATCAAATCCTGAAGACAAAAAGTTCATAACTTATTATAGTCACGTGCCACCAGTTAGTTGATCTCATTTTCTGCAGATCAACATGGCATTCAGTTTTCATAGATTTATTTCTCTTTATGGATCCAGAGAGTTAAGATTGGAGCAATCTATAGGTTATTTTTGCTGTTCTAGTCTCCTTTCTCAAGTTTTACTTTCCACTGCTTGTGCTAGAGCAGCAAAATAGGAAAGTGAATAGTCTATATGCCTGCTGCCACAATTATGCTCCTCCTGATCCTATGTTTCAAATAGAAGAATGTAAATTCGTTTTTAGTTCCTGCCATTGTTATTATGCAAGTTTTTCCCCCCAATTTCTGATAGTTACAGCGAACATCAGTAAAAATGCCATGATTCATAACAGCTTCGTATCTGTTTATGATAACTGGAACTCTATTGGAGACTAAAAATTTATCCATCTTTTCATTGATAGGTTTGTTCTGACATTAACAAGCCTAATGGACAGTTTATCTTACCGAATGAACGGAAGGCTATATTGACTTTCATATCATCACTCCCAATACGAAAGGTTACCTTTAAACTACACTTGTTTTACAATTAGTTTATTCTTTCATGATATTTTGCTTGCAAGGCGAAATTAAACTCTTGAAATGGACCTAATTCTTGCTGCCACTACATAGTCCATTTGAACCATTGTTATTCCAGTTTAGTATGCTAGCTGGACACTAGGGTTATAACAATTTCCTGTTGTACATGATATATTTTTTTCCTTGGATTGAGTTAATTCATCCCCATTTGTAGACGGCATTGGTGAAATGGATATTGGTGTTTCAGGATGCATTCGGGCCATTTGAGATGATACTTTTTTGTCCAGTTTCCAAGCAAAAAATTCATATAAAAAAGGAAGAAATATATTTACCTTCTCTTTGATGTAACATCATGATCATCAGAATAATCCTCACTATCATTGTCGTGTTATCCTATGGATGTTGAATCAGTTGAATGCATCCAAACCCTTAGATATTCTAGTCAACGTCAACCAGGTGCTAGCGTGGCTCCAAGTTTCTAATCTCCAGTGTCAGAAACGTGTGCAGCTTCGTCAGATACATGGCTATAGTTAAGCTTATCATCATCTCATTGGCTGGCTGGGAGAGGGCAGAAGAAGGCAAAGAATGGGAAGAATGGGGAGAAGGTAGAGAGAGAAGTTGAGGATGGGAGTAATTATTAGAAAAAACCTCATGAGAGAGAACTGGTAATTTAGCCTGATTATGGTTTGGAATGATTTTTTCAGAACTAGGTAAAGTACTAAAGTCACTTGAATGTGCGAAAGTGCTCATTTGCCTCGAGCAGCGCTTGGGAATGTATCTTCTCTTCTCTTTCCAGATTATTAAGACGGGATGAAGGATGGAGGGGTAACGAATGCTCAGTTTTTTGTAGCTTAGTTCATCTACGTATTTGGCTTGTTTGTCTCATAATCTTGCACTCTCTCGTATTCCATTGGCACTTTAAGTTAGATATACATACATATCATGTTTTTTCGCCTTCTTGTAAAATAGAGAATGGAGATTCATGAATTAAAAAAAACGTTTAAGATCCGTGGTATAGTTCGGTATGCTTTTATTTCACAGGGTCGGACATGGATTGGTACATCACCTAGTCCTGGAAAATATCGATTTTGGTGAGGAAGGGCACTTTGATGTTTTTTTATTAGTATATTTACTGAAGAATTCGGAAGAGTAGAGAGAGTTTGAGATGATTATCGACACATGAAGTTTTCCTGGGCAAATCTATTTCTTTTGCTGGTTACTTATTTCTTCTATTTTTTTTCTTGGTGGGGGGGGGAGAGAGGGGGGGAATCGGGGGTCGGTGGCTGTACCATTGATTTTCGGATTCCAATCCAAGTCAATCAATTCCACAAACCTGGGTGTCCAAGGAGAAGGGGAAAGGCCTCTCTACCCTGGAGGTGAAAATAATGATGATCCTGTCATGCGCAAATTTATTGGAGGATCGGTAGTTGTGCCAGTAGTGATTCGACTTTGCGGGTAGAGGTGAGATTGTTTTCTGTGGGTTAGGTTTATTGACATATTTGATTTTTAGCTCGCATGCTTAAGTCTATTTTTTTGCACATACGTCTCTTGTAGACTAACTTTTCCCAGGTTCTTACAGTCTCCTGAAAAACTGTGGTACGTTGCTATGTATAGGCAGAATATTATGTCTACTCTAATTTTAGCAACCTTAGTTTCTCTTTTCTTTCTTATGAGAAGCCATGTGACTCCATTACTCCTCGTTATCTTTGTTTTTACTTTACTTTTTTCTTCGAATGTGCAGTGTGGTTTATTGTCTTTAATTTTGGTTTGACATATTTATCAAAGCGTATGTGCAGATTGGGGGCATTGGGAAGGTCACTGAACATATCCTTCGAGATGTTCTGGGAATCAACACATGTCAGGAGATGTTGAAAAAAAGTGCTTATTTATGTGGACTATTTTCTCCTTGCTCCATTGGTCAGTATATGGTTGAGAATTTATTCTATTTCTACTTGAAAATTTATGATAAATTGTTTCTTTATTCATAAAATGTAAGCAAAAAGGGAGACCAGGCCCCTAGACTATTTGGTTCATGTTTCCTTCCAATTATCAATGTGGAATATATATACCCAGAACAAATGGGATGGTGATATTTCAGATCATAAAATCTTTCCGGCTAAAAGAGTTTAATCAAGAGGTTCGGATGGTTGTACTCAGCACCTTCCATACATGATGATGAATATGAAGACAAACTTTTAATCAGTCTTGAGAGTCTTGTTTGTGTTTTGATGTCTTATCTCTCAGAATAGCTGTCTCCACTTTTGAAATTATCGCAATAAACCGCAATCAGAATTGTCTTATTATTGAGAGAGTAAACAGCATAGAAACGGCTGGATACTGGATATTTCTATGCTTGGTGCATGAGATCTTGTTTATGCCTGGTGCACGATATCTTGTTTAGATATTTTAGATTTATGTATATTGAGATTCCACTACCAACCCTATCTTCTTAGGAAGCCTAAATGGAACATGTTAAGAATTCGAAAAAACTATTTTTTCCTTAGCTTGGTGTCTGTTGTTATGTATAAGTTTCTCTGTTACTAGCCAAACAACTTTTTCCTATTTGGGGTGCTTTTTTGTGACGAAGGAAACTGATTATTACAGTAAAACAATTGCACGTTTTCTGCACTACCTCCGTTGTTGCGTTCTGGGAGCTCATAGGTGGTTTGCAAGCCAACCTACGGCTCGTGAAAATTTATTGATGCAATGGATGGTTCAACGGAGTTCAGTGGATGGTCTTGCAAGGTATACTATTTGATGAAGATCGTGCAAATTTAATAACTGGGGGACGAAGATGTAGAAAGACGACTCAACCACCAACATTAATTGATGCAGAACTCGGACAATTGTTTTTGGCCACTCAAAATCCTGCTTAAGCACCTTTTTGCCGTGGTTTCTCTAGGGAATGAGGTGTATTACAATTGTGAAAAAATGTTCCCACACGGACCTCTTATCTTTTTACTGAGATATGACAAGATTACAATCACTACAAGCAAAAAATGCGTAGAATAGAGAAAAACAACCACACCATAGCACACTAGGATTTACGTGGAACTCACTTACTTGGGAATAAACCACAAGAAAATACCTCAGTAGCTGTGAAAACAATCGGAAAAGCCAAGTTTCTCTTCTCAGTAAAGGAAAACGCCCCCACCAGCACCAGGCAGCATTCCTTAGACGCAATTTTTAATGTGACATGAAGCTTGACACCTATTTCCCAATGACAATAGAGCTCCTCACTAAACTCAACCCATACCTATCGTCACACCCACAGCACCCATGCTGACTATGTCTGCATACGTAAGTTTAAGGCACATATACAAGAATAATGTATGACCATCATCTATGCAAAGTTTATGCCTTTTGTTGTTAGCTTATCTTGTATGGTGTCATCCTTCGATTACCTTTTCTTACATAGTGATATTCTTTGATCAGATTTTTCTTGAACCTATTCCATTATCATCTCATACGTTTTCATTTGTATATTTCCTTCAGATTTTTTTCTATCTGTTGGACTTGGCGTAGGTAACACAGATACTCAGTTTAGGTTGCGAAAAAGCATTAGTAGTGAGAGAACGTTTTCAAGCACTGAAGATCAGTCACTGATTTTCAAAAAAATGGGTAAATATCTGTTTTTATTCGTATAGTCTATTTTCCTTTTTTCCTTTTTTGTGAGATGGTAATATATGTTTCATATGCTTCTTGGATTTGTTTTCTGATTTTTGGCATGAATACGAATTGTCCCATTTAAAAAGTCTGACTGCGTTGTTCCTTTTTTTTTAAGGAAGATGCATTGATTCTTGGGTGGTTTTATTATTGTCATGTCGGACTTTTTCCCCTGGCTGATATGCCCAATGGCTATTGGACTTTTGTTGAATTTCTCATCTTCCCTAGCTAATTACTATAGGATAAAAGGAAGAAATGGCCTGGAGATCTGTGCTACTATGGCTTACTGAATATCGAGTCCGTAGTTGATAGAAAGTGGATCTATTCTGTCTCTTGGCATGGTTGCATAATGTAGTCCGTAGCTTACTGAACATCAGTTTCCGCTTTCATCTGAATGATCTTTTAATTGTTAGATATTTTATGGTGACCAATATGATCTTATTCTGAGGATTGACTCTTCGCTGTACCGTTTAACTCCTGCATAATGTAGTTTGCACTTATGTCCCGTTGAATTGTTTTTTATGTAAGTTCTTTGCTGCGTGGTCCTTCGAAATGTCCATACTGTTTTACTTTGTCGAGGTATAAACAGATGTGTTCTCATTCCTAAAATCTCTCGTGCAGAAGAGATAGCTGAAACATTATCAAATGACATGCAGAAGGAGTCTCTCTTTGGTCGAACACTGACATTGAAATTGAAAACTACATCTTTTGAGGTCTCATATTATTTTAGCATCCTTCACTCTTTGGTTTACTTTCAGTTTTATTATGTTTAGCTTGAATCCTGCAGTCCGTTCTTATTCTCTCTCATTTGAAGGTCTATCTATATTTCTGGTGTTGACAATGTACTAAAATGCATAGTTTGCTATAATTGTCTTTTTTTTTCCATCTGGATGCATGTTCCCTTTCTTTCCTGTTTTATACTGACGCTTTAAGTTCGCAGGTGAAAACTAGGGCTACATCTCTGCAGAAATATATCCAATCAAAAGAAGATATCTTCAGTCATGCTACCAAGTTACTAAAAGCAGAACTTCCCCTCTCTGTAAGGCTCATAGGTATAATTGTTTTCTTGTAGTTAATATTTGTGGGGATCGTTTATTCTTGTGGCAACTTTCCGAGTTTTGAATTCTTTCACTCTTGACGGTTTATTACATTTTATGCTAGTTTTGATATTCTTTCAATGAAAATTTCTGTGAATATAATGCCCTGGGTATTCACTGCCATGCAGGTCTGCGCATGTCACATTTTTGTGTTGGCACGCCTCATTCGGCTGATCCAATGCAAAAAACTCTCAGCGGTTTTATTTTCTCAGGAGGTGCTTCTAGCAGTGCAGACACCAATGCTGATTCATTGATCGACAGTGAGATCTGTTTTTCGGATGATGTAAACGATCTTCCTCTAGGATATGACCATCCAGAACAAGTCGATGAGAAACACCTCACTCATTGTACTGGTGAAAGGAATGAAGCTACTGATGACAGAAGCGTAGCAAAGGTGTGCTTCATTTATATCTATTCATTTTGTACTGATATTTCTGTACAAGGATTTTGAGGTTTAGTTGAATAGAGATTAAGGGGACCACGAAGCATTATTTAATGATGAATTTTCCATTCACTAAAGATGATACATTTGATTTCTTTCCACCGTGAGGGTTTCAAAGTGTGCTTTAATATAGGAGATTTGCCGAATGAGGCGTATTCAGATGATTGTCAAGGGTTCTAGAGAGAAAGTAGTGTTTTACGCTTAAGCTCATAAAGTCATTTCACTCAATCTAACTGATAGATATTGAAATGCCAATTTCTTCCTGCACACAGTCCTTGATGGAAGGGATGGATCTAATGAATGAAGAAGACAAATCAGCTGATAACCGAGCTCTATTGTCACGCACTCAAGAAGAGGTAGTGTTGTGGATCAACGATTACATGTGCTCATTATGTGGGTGCGAATTGCCTCCGAGCTTTGTTGAGGAAAGACAAGAACACTCCGACTACCATCTTGCAGAAATGCTTCAGAAGGAATCCATGGATAATTTTGGCAAACCCACGCAGGGGAGGTACACGCTTATCCTTCCCATCCAGCAGTACATTCTGATTTTGGTGGAAGATCTTCTGGTTGCTGATATGTGTTTCTCTTAATGTGGAGAGAGTTCTCCCTATGAACGGCCCTTAGTAAAGGGCTGGTGTTGCTCATCAGCTCGTTGTAAAACCCACCAAATTACTCTCTTTCATTTTGATTTCACGATAATGCGACGATGATGATTGATGTTCTGGGATGAATCTGAGGCGAATGATCCAGCCTTTTAATAACGTAATGGTTGGCCAAGATGGCAGGAACAACAGTCAATTGATTTTTCTTATTCAAATGTGAGGCTTCTTCAATGCGTAATTATCCAGCCTTCCAACTATAGAACAGTTGCACCGGTGGCGTTAGTTTTAAAAGAGCAGCATCTCGACATATCACATCTTACTGATTATTTTTTATGCATTCAAATTTTCTTGTTCTAGCTGCTCATCATCTGCGGTTATTTAGATGCAAAAAATGCCGTTCATGGGCTTCATGTTCTATTCAATATTCCTTGATCTACTGGCTAAGCTTCCTAAGCTGACACTATTTATTCAAATGCGAGTCAGTTAGTTGGCATTTTATATGAATGATCGTTCTCCATGATGTTATTCGATGTAGACCAATCAAAATTTGGTAGAACCTCATTTTAAAAATAAAAATAAATTAAAAGTTGTTTGATAGCGTGAACCAACCTGTGATTATTCTCTGCTTTTTGTACAGTAATCCCGTCCAGAAATCACCTTGTGTGGGACGAAGTGCTCGGAAGAGGCGCAACAAGTCCGCCCACAACGACGGCAAGCACATCCCCATCGATTGTTTTTTCGAACGAAGTAAGAAAGTCCGACGCCCATAACATGTACCATATGAGCGGTTTCTTTTCAATGCCTGACTGGATGTAGTTCATTTTATTATTAGCGTTCATTTCCCGCTGTGGTTGTAGTATTCTCGGCTAGTTTTTAATCGATGCACGTTCTAAGACCATCAGAAAGGAATACGTGATAAGAACAGATAAATATTTATCGTAGAAAAGGGCTGAGTCGTCGTATAGTTTTTTTAATATGATCCGTCCGGTATATAGTGCAATTTTTAACAGCTGTCATATTTCAATCTTAACAAACGCCCCACAGCGCCCGACGTTCCATCGTAGAACACGGCCGCCCCCTGGTGCCCGCCACTGCTTTGACCTGCCAGCAGGTTTTACAAGTAGAGAGAGAGAGAGAGAGAGAGAGAGAGAGAGAGAGAGAGAGAGAGAATGCTGACAAGATACACATCACGAGCTCAGATTCAGTTTGAAGGAAACGCGCCTTAGATTGTATAATCCGGATCCTGTGCATTGGTCGGCTTTGCAGCTGTAATGGTTGATTGGGGACTAGCAGGGCAATCACGCGAAGGAATGGTGCCGGCTGTGATCGGGCCGCCGCAAGTCCTCCTGCTTGACGCTGTATGGCACGTCCCTGTCCTCGCCGCCGTCGGCCCCGCAGCCGCTGGTGTTTATACTCTCGGAGCCTGACTTCGTCCTCCGGAAGGCATTCCTGAGTCCGCGCAGCAGGGTCCGTCCCAAGCTCTTTCTCTGGTTGGAGATTCCCAGGGACGGCTTCATGGCAGGCGCCGCCCACCCTTCCACGTCCGCCGTCTCCTCCGGCCCGAAGAAGCGGCAGCTTGCCGAACGGACCCGTTCCGGCTGCGAGTCCTGCTCCTGTGGGCTCCTCTCCTGCGACATCCTCAGCCTGCTCTTGATGTCGGCGAGCTCCCGCTCGAGGGTCTGGATTCTGATTCCGGTGGCCTCCATCGTCGCTCTGAGGTGGGCCTCCTGGCGGAGGGCGGCGTCCCGCTGGAGGATGCTGCCGAGGGTGGTGCCGCCCGTCTTGGGAACGCAGTCGAAGACGGCCCGGCGGGTGAGCAGCTGCTCCACCAGCATGGCCCGCACGATGAACCGCAGAGGCATCCTCGGGTTCTGCATCAGGCGGACCAGCTCGTTCGGCGACAGCCTCTTGCTGTCCACTGAGTAGCAGATCCGAGCCTTCTCTTCTTCCGTCAATTTCCCAGGGTGGTTCTGCAGTGGCCACCACCATAATGCATGGGCTCAGATGGGAGGAAGAAGTGGACGAGAAAGAACAAGAGGAAGAAGCGGAGTTGAGGCTTGCTTTACCTCGAGGTAGAAGTCGACGATCCGATAGAGAAGGTCGTGGTTGTGGGTGGATCGCTCGCGCAGAGAGTCCGCCACCATCTGGAAGTCTCGGATCGGAAGAGACGCCACGTCGTCAAGCCAGCCGCGGCCGTCGGTACCGTCGGCCGTGGCAAGCGTCTCTACGCACCTGCTCGCCATGGAGACCATCTGCTCCGTCGTCGGGAGGAGATCCAGGCAAATGGGGAGCACGATCGCTGCGTACTCCGCGAACGGGTGGACCGCTCGTGAGAAGTACTCCTCCGTCCTCTCCACCAGGTTCCATCCTCCGTCGCCTTCGTCATCCCTCATCTCCAGGAGCTCAGCCGCAACCCGCAGGGACACGACGTTGAAAGGCGTGAGGGCGATATCGGCGCCGTAGCAGAAGTCCGCCACCACCGTGAAAGTCTCCGCGCTGATGCTGAGCGGCGGCGAGATGGTGACGGTGGAGGATTCCTCCACGTGTCGTCTGAGGTAGCCGCTGCGTAACGCAAGCCGCTCCTGCAGAGTTCAGAGAGGAGGTTGCAGGAATTAAATTGCCCTGGACTCCGCCATTACTGCTCATGTTAGCTCCTTCCATTTGGTGGTACTCATGACATGTCCAATCCTCCAAACACTTCGCTTCCCGTGGAGATCCATTTCGGATCCTTGTCGGAGAAGTGAAGCTCATGATGGGCTCGAGGCCAAGCAGCATTCGGGAGCAAATAATCTCAAAAACTCTACTGGGCTCTACAAAGCTTACCTTGTGAAGGTGGAAGCAGTGGTCATGGACGTGGACGGAGACGTCGACCTTGCACCCCGTCACCCGCGACCTGAGTGGATCACAGTAACAAGATGGAGGAGGAGGAGGAGGAAGGGGAGGAAAGATCTTATCATTTCATTCGGGACTATTCAGCGATTTATCTGAATAGAAGATGGGTTTGCGAACGTAGCGGATCGTAAAAGAAGGAGACGAGAGGACCCAAATTATAGAGTTCATACCATTCCTCCACTTTACTCTGCAGGGATGACGACGATGGTGAGGAAGAGCTCGGGCTGGCCGTGGAAGGCGTGAAAGAAGGGGAGTTGGAAGCATCTTCGTGCTCTTCCTCGTAGATTGTCTCCACCACGCCAAGGTCGTTCCAGGCCCTCATTTCCTTCGCACCCCGCCGCCGCCGTCTCTTCTTCTTCCCTTCTACGGTGAGAATGTTTATCGACGGTCTGTATGATTCTAGGGTTTCGAGGGACATTCAATGCATGCATGTGGAGGATCATAAATGCGATGCCTCCCGATCTACAGTATATGTTTCTGAAGCTTTTGCCGATATTAGCATTCAGTAATTTTGAAAAGATTCAAGCTTTCCCACAGATTTCGGTACGATCTTCTTTTAATGGCGCCTCGGGCCATTGCTCATGTCGAGACTAAGAGAGCGGGAGATCCGAGTGGAATCGTTCGTCCCGGTAATTTTCTTCTTCATGACTCGGAAGGTCGGGATGGAATTACAAAACCCGGTAAATTGTCTCAACGCGACTCGCGCAACGGTAGCTCTTCTGCTTAAATGCTCACTGTTCGTCAGGAATTTCAGAAAAAACTGTTCACCATGCTCGCCGGGAAGAAAAGCAAGTAGATCATAATGCAAGGGCCCATGGAGGTGTCAACGGGTTGTGCTCTGCCTTGGCTAGGTCAGCCTGTCTGGACTTATTTTTATGATGCCTGGACCTGCTGCAAACGAGAAGAAAAGTTTCGAAATTAGAGGAAAGACCGATTGCATTAGAAAACCTAATGCACCTTTCGAATGCAACTCTCAGGGGGAGCGAGCGAGCGAGCGAGAGAGAGAGAGAGAGAGAGAGAGAGAGAGACTACATAAGCTCACAATGAAACGATCAATGTAATGAGAAAAAAAATATAGCTTTGGGGTTTTAGGCCAGACTGCCAAAACTCAGACCGCGCTTGGATAGGAGCCAATTTCCGGGCAGAATCCTGAAAACCGCTGCAAACGTTTCTTAGATGTATATCTTGAGTGGATCCCATTAGATAAGGCAGTATGTAAACACCATACCCCATTAGATGTCTTTCTACGAGATAATCAACAATCTAAGGATTTGAATGCTTCTTCTTCCTCTTCTTTTAAGGAGAACGTGAAGTATCTAACGTTATCAGATGTGGATAATCTATTTCGCGATCATACTGATTTTCATGCAGCGCCTAAGATATGCGACTTTTAATTTGTATACCTTATTTGATGGATTCAATGTACATGTATGAATTTGATCAATCTCACGTCATCATTTAGATAAAATTTGAAAGTAAAAATTTATTGGAGAAATTCACCATAGCTGTAGAGGATAGAACTTCGCATAGGTGTCCCCCATACAGTTTCTTCTCCAAGAAGGAGAATGACATACCCATTCTACTAGGCTATTTCCAACACAAAATAAAAGGTCAAGCGATGGTGCTTCTGATTCAATTTTGAAGATCATTATACAGCAACATTACCAGCACTGATGCACATTATGATTTAAATTTTTTGTGAAAGTTTTAATTATTTCACTTGAAGAAAATCTGAAGAGAGAATTTTCTGTAGGACACCGTCAAGTAATATTCAAATATGTCCATTACTTGAGACCTACTTTGCAGAAGTCTTAGGCACATATCATGCCCAAACCCTTGATCTCTCATGCCCTTAATCTACACACTATATGCCATCAATGGATGTACATGAAAATCTTCATGTGGGCATCTCCAGTCCTCCGTTTGTTGGGAGGTGTTCTAATCAACTATGATCTGTGAGAGGAGCGCACGCAACTCTCAAGCTGTTGTAGCATTCACATGGTAGAGAAGTTGAAGTCTGAATCGAATGAACTCGAAGATCATCTCACTCATGGCTGGTATACTTCTAGTCTTTCTCCCCATAGTTTTTCCCCCGTATTTCTTGTGTGACGATACAGGTTCAGGTGGGAACAATCTAGTCAAGCTAGTCAACTCCATGGAAATAATCAGGTAGAGTCCTGATTTTTACCGCCGGATGTTGAGGCAGAGGAAGACCAGAATACTAATAGGAGGGGTTGAGACCACGTTGGAGTGATATAGGCTCATTCTACTATTTTGACTAACTTCCTTGCGGTTGACCCGATTCGGTTGAGGGGGGGAGAGAGAGTGAGAGAGAGAGAGAGAGGGCAGGTTTTTCCTCACGCGGGAATCTGGAAGGAGGAGATGCTCCGGTAAACGCTGCGGGGTCATAACGCGTGAAACGAAAATCCGAGACGGCAACCGTGGTACCGCCTCGAGCTGCGTCAAGCTTTGAACGTTTCCAGGGATAATCATCGTCGAAGACTTTAAGCCAGCGGGCCCCACTCACCTCTCCTAACTGTTTCATTTCATCTCTGGGACGCCTTCCGATGCCCTCCGCCAATGGCTGGAGCGGTCGAAATTCGGACGGCTGGATCTGGGTCTGCTAAATCCACCCCCAGCCTTTACGGGGCGGATCACAGAGGGCGGAATCCAACTGCCAAACTGCCGCGGTCTCATTAACAGACTAGCCGCCGGATCTAACGCAAGTCCAAACCCAAAGTCAACGGTGGCACGGGCCTTGCATTTAAAACCGGTGCCAAACGGATTCGAGCGGTGCCCCAACGCGGGGGCAGGCTCACGTTGACGACGGGGGGGGCGCTTATTACAGAAAAGCCCTTACGCCCCCCTCTTACATTTAATAGGGATATGGTTGGGCGGATGGATCTCACGTGCGTTCCACCGACAGAGCATGCGGTCTGTCGCGTTGGCACGTGTGTTGTGGTGGGCCCGATTCCCTCCTCCGCCCCTCCCCCCTTCAAAAGCCGAGCACCGTCCTCCCATCCGTCGCTGCTTTTGTCTTCTTCCCTTCACATCTTTCCTTCATTTACTCTCAGAGAACGATTAGGGTTTGATAGGTTTGGATTGGAAATTGATCGAATTGGGGGGCTGTGGAGAAGCATGGACGGGAACTTCAGCAGCTACAGATTTATGAATCGGAGCTACTGCGAATCCTCAATCGACTCCTCCGGCGCCTTTAGCGACTGCAACAGCGACCGCTCCGGCGAGTTCCCCGTTGAATCTCAGCTAGCCCACCGGGTCCTGATCTCTAGCACTGTCAATTCCTGCAGCTCCGATGAGCTCGTCCGCAACCTCATCGCCGGCCTGAAGTCCGAGTCAGTCGAGGCCCAGTACCAGGCCGCCATGGAGCTCCGCCTCCTCGCCAAGAACAGCATGGAGAACCGGATAAAGATCGGCCAATCCGGAGCCATAAGGCCCCTTGTCTCTCTCACCTCCACCACGGAACAGCAGCTGCAGGAGCACGGAGTGACGGCCATCCTCAATCTCTCCCTCTGTGATGAGAATAAGGATCTCCTCGTCGGAGCGGGGGCCATCAAGGCCCTTGTCCGGGCTCTCAAGTCCGGCACCTCTACCACCAAGGAGAACGCCGCCAACGCACTCCTCCGACTCGCTCAGGTCGACGACCACAAGGTCACCATCGGAAGGTCGGGGGCCATTCCTCCTCTGGTGAGCCTCCTGGAAACGGGCACCTTCCGAGGGAAGAAGGACGCATGCACGGCTCTCTACACGTTGTGCTCCTCCAAGGAGAACAAGGCCCGGGCGGTGCAGGCTGGCATCATGAAACCTCTCCTGGAGCTGATGGCGGAACCCGACTCTGGGATGGTGGACAAAGCGGCCTGCGTTATGAACAAACTGGTCACCATCCCCAAGGGGGTGACCGCGTTGGTGGAGGAAGACGGCATCCCGGTTCTGGTGGAACTCCTGGAGACGGGATCGCAGAGGCAGAAGGTGATTGCCGTTTCTGCTCTTCTTCAGATTTGCGCGGAGAGCGCTGTCTACCGCGGGATGGTGACCAGGGAGGGGGCAATCCCTCCGCTGGTAGCGTTCTCGCAATCCGGCGAGACAAAATCCAAGCAGCAGGTACCTCCCGTTGAAATATTCTTCTCCGCCGGATTACGAAACGTTTTGCAGGAAACCGCGGGCTCGCCGTCCCCGGTGACTTACCGATTAAGCGTTCATCAGAGATAGCTCTCCCATTCTGCAATTAATTATTCTCACTCGATTCTTCTTCTTCGAGTACCGATTAACCAGGTGACTGACCGTCGTTTTCTAAACACGTTTCAGGCCGAGGATCTGCTAAGTCTCCTCCGGCAGCCGAGGCCAACAGCTGACGAGGGATCTCAGACCCGTCCGCGGCGATGAGAAAGGATCGGCAGCGAGACGTCGGTGCAAGACCCCTTCGACGTGGGCCTATCGAGGCCGCCAGTCGCTCGTCCCACCTGAGTCGTCAACCGGGAAACAGACCAAAAATTACGTGTAAATAACCTGAATGGGTTGTGTAGATAGAGAGCGAGAGAGAGAGAGAGAGATCCAGACGAGTAAAGTTCATTAACGAGGGCTTGAATCGCCGACACTTCCGATCTTTCTGTTTTCCCAATTGGGTATGTGATCTTGATTTTTATCCCCACCAGTCTGTAACTATTTCTAGCTGGCCTCGCGTTCACGGGAGCCCAGGCTGAAGAGTATGGGGCAAGGTCTCGTGAGGGATGGACTGTAAAAGGTTGACCAGCAACAGCCCGCCCGTTGACCCCGTATGGATGTAGTTCATAATGCTGCTCGACGCAGCGTTTGCCCACCTGTTTTGACCGTGCGCCAATGAGTCGAAAGAAAATAGTCATAGTCAAACTTTAACGAAAGAGCGGACCTATCGCCGGAGGTGTGTGCCCAGGTGGCGGCTGACGGTAACGCGCAAAGGGACCTTTTCTCCTTCTAGAGATGAGCAACCGCCGCCGGAGGCCGGGGAGACGACGGGACAGAACGGTCTCCTCCAGCGCAAGCCTTGTAGTGAGAAGATCCGTGAGCTAAACTCTTGATTGACTCTACCACCAGATCGTTCCCACGTTCCCTCTTCGCGCACGCAAAACCCGTATAGATTTATGTGCCGAAAGTCCACTCCGAGTATTTCAGAGTGAAGTTAAAACCATGGCTCTGTTTTTCGGAATATAATTCTAACTTATGGGCTTTTAGACAATTGATTTTCTCTTTCAGGTAGAGAGAGAGAGAGACGCCGGAATGGACTGAACGCACTATGGGACATGAAGCTGACCGGTCAGCAATGGGGCCCGGAGGTTAGGAAAGATCCACAAGAAAGTCTAAAGGAAGGCAAGGGAGCCCACCCGTTGATGGTGCATTCCGATGACGACAGTGACGGCGAGAGGAGACAGTGTGGAAAGGACCTAGAGAGAGAGAGGTCTCAGCGGTTCTCTTGGCACCAAGGGTCCATCCAGTGAACCGCGTGAAGAAGAGATAAGCAGAGGGCGGGTGGAGTCGAAAGGGGGGTCGCTTTCTTCTTCTCCGGCCGAGGAAGTTGGAGCCTTCATCCGCGTCTGGATTTTCTGCAGGCCGGCAGACTCCACGCCGGTCCCTACGCCGGTGGCCATCCCGACGTCCGCAGCCACCGTCGCCGACCCAGGTTCCCCCCGGCCCCGCGGCAGCAATTTCCCGGTCCTACTTAGATCTCTCTCGCCACATGATTCCAAACATAAATACTGACCGGTTCAGGAAATAAGTGATGTAGGTTCTGTAGGTGATCTCTCTCTCTCTCCCTCCCTCCCTCTCTCTCTCTATCGCTCACGCTTTGAAATCGAGGGAAGCGTAGCGTCGACTATACTTGCTGCTGCATCCAAGCTATTTGGAAACGCGTTCCGCACATTTAAAGTATTTTCAACGCCCAATGCGCGTCAGCTAAGTGAGAATATTCTCCTAGACCATTACGTCATCCCTCACCCCCTCTTGTTTTTCATTCCTCTACGCCAAAAAGTCATTAAATCACTTAACATATTAGAGATTTCTCGAGCTGAATTATAAAACGTTGACTATTTGGTTTCAAATCCGGTGATCCGCGTTCATCGAAATATATTCCTTGGTCGTGGAAAAGTGAATAAAATATCCCAAATGAAAGCACCAAACCCTTATTTTTTTAAAAAATATATCTCCATATCATATCCAAAAATAATAGCAGATGCCACCAAGTATCCGGCCCCCGTTCCATCTAGCCGTTGTATAAGGGGTTGACTCTGATTAACTAATCAACTCAATAAGGGTGAATCTAAGAGGCATGATTCTAAGGCCCGTTCCATCTAGCCGTTGTATAAGAGGCGTGATTCTAAGGCTCAAACTTCTATGTAACAACTCTTCTCGGAATTATCTCATGGGCGTTTTTAACGAAGCTTTTTATTTTAAACGAAGTCTGACTTATATTTTATGACCCATGATTTATTTAAATCATTTTAGAAAAAATTGACTTACTGAATAATGTACAACCCATATTCCAACAACATATAGTGGCAACATAGATTAAAGCAAATCCATGCGCTTGATAAGAAAAAGATACTACACTATTTTAGGAGAGATTGGACGACCTTGACCACAAGACATTATTAGAGGGAGAGGGTCCTTGCGCGTGCTAGTTTATCATTAGACTGGGGAGAAGCCTGCCAAATAACATTACCTTAAGTCTCTAATGATAGGGTGCGCATTGACCGGAGGGAATGGTGACGCGTAAACACAAAAGCCTGAGAATGTCATATACATCATCCTTTCAGGGCTCTGAACTATAAAGAAAGTGTATGTCTTCTAAGATGACTCACATTAATGGAGAATCTCTCTCTCTCTCTCTCCCTCTCTCTCTCTCTATATATATATATATATATCTACATATATATATGTATGTGTGTGTGTGGGAAATGAGTGGTTGGGTTCAACCTAGAGCAGGTAAAGATTTATATGGATTATCGGGTGTGGGTTCAAAACGGACTGATTGATTAGGGGGGAGCAAATTTGAGAATTTTATTGTCATCGAAAATCAATCCCGAATGAGAAACTCAAATCTCAGCCATTGGATGAGTATAGAGAACGGGCCAACTCGAACCTGCAACCTTCGCGTGATTAACTCGACGCTTTAGCCTACTGGAGCTCATAGGCCTTGCGAGTTGACGGCAGGTCAACAACATTTAGAGACAGACCAAGCGAGCTAGGCACGTCTAATGGAAAAAAGCCGACAAGGAGCAAGAACGGGGAGCCCGATGAGCTGCAGATTTTTTTTTTCCTTCTCCGGGCGTTGCCGTCCGGGGTGGCGCTTATTGTCACCGCTAGCCGTCGGCAGTGGCGGCCCTTTTGGTGGGCCGCGCGGCGGGGCCCGTCACGATCGAGACAGCGCATGGCGGAGGATGGGGACGAGGACGGCGGGGGCGGAGAGGTGGGGGAGGTGGCCCTCGGCGGGGAGGATCTCGACGGTGGTGCGGCCGCCGAGGTGGGCCTTGAAGTAGGCGGCCACCGAGACGGGGACGGAAACGTCCTTCACCCCCTGGACGATGCAGCAGGGGGTGCGCACCAGGCCCAGCACCCCGCGCAGGTCGCTGTTGAACACCGTCCGAGAGACGAACAGGGAGATGTCCGGCCGCATGTTGAACAGCGTGCGGCTGAACTCCCTCACGGCCATCGGCACGTCCGCCCCAACCGCCAGCGGCGCGAACCCCCTAACCCACGCCTCGTAGTTCATCTCCATCGCCGCAAAGACCTTCTCGAGATCTTCCCTCTCGAAGCCGCCGTGGTAGTCCGTGTCGTTCAGGAACCTTGCGCCATCCAGCAATCTCCTTTCAGAATAGAAGGGAAAGAGAAAGGGGAAAAGTGGGCTTGGGTCGGATCTGGGGAGGGACGCACCTGGGGGAGGCGCCGAGGAAGACGAGCTTGGTGAATTGTTCCGGGCGGCGGATGGCGGCGAGGATGCCCACCATGGCGGAGAAAGAGTGCCCGACGAAGGCGCAGCGGTCGACCCCAAGGGCGTCGAGGATATCGAAGAGGTCGTCAACATAGGCATCCAGCGTGGTGTACCGCTGGAAGTCGAAGTGATCGGGGTCGACGCTGCCGGCGCAGACGAGGTCGTACAGCACGACGCGGTAGTCGCGGGTGAAATAGGGAACCACCCTCTGCCACACCGACTGGTCCGTGCCGAAGCCGTGCGACAGCACCAGGAACTTCTCCCCCGCACCGACCACCCTCACGTTGAGGATCTCCAGCAGGTTCCTCCCGCCGTTGTTCACCATCTTTCCTCCACCTCCTTCTCACCCTCTCCGCCCCCTGCCACCGCCTCAAAGCGTTGTGACGAGGGCACCGATTCCGACCGCGAGAGGAAGGATTGCAGCAGTTCCGGCGCCGTCTTCTCCACCGCCACCAACTGCGCGGTGAATCAGAGCGCTATATAGCCATAGCGAGGGAGTTCTCTCTCTCTCTCACCCGCGCCGCGCCCCGATCATCATCTTCCCCACAATAAGCGAGGCATCATCTGTAAAGGGCTGGTGGAAGAGAGGCCTCGTGGTGCTAACCAATCCTATACTGAAACGTGGACAACTTCCTCGGGCCCCCCGCCCGCATGGTCCCCCATCCAGAGCCGCCTTGTCGTTATTCTCCCCCGCCCCGCCCCCAAAACTCCTCATCCGCTCTGTCCCCCCCTCCCTCGGGCTTTTTCAACTGCCGACTGAGCCGTCCCCTTGTCGCACACGTGGCGCTCTGATCTTCCCTCACAGAGGCCAATCAAATGCGTCCGCCTCAGCTTATTCGTCGACGGATGCAAAAATGACAGTCGGATCTCTTCCCTCCGGGGGCGTCAAATTCTATGATATACCACGAGGATCCTCCGAAGACGGAACAGCCTGATTCCGAAGCTCTGTAGATGGATCAGGCAGGAGAAACGCAGCGCACCCGTCTCCAGATTATTAGTTGAAGAGGAACGAGGTTAAGAGAATACGATCCCTCCCCGGGAAGCCTGCAGGCCTTCTCTGCCTGACCGTCACGCCATTGATGGCCCCCACCCGAACTTTTAAAGACGCGCGGTTGCACATTTCCACCGCCAACCCCCCCCCGCCCTACCGCGCCGTCGGCATCACTTTGCCGGATTCCCAGCTCCGATCAAATCCCGTCTCCGCTGGTGGCAGGTCTCGCGGCGTTATCAGACGGAGGAGATGCCCCGCCGCGCGCCGCCGCACGAGATCCGGCACCGCGACGTACGCCGGGATAAAGCAGAGGCAGAGCTGGGGTACTTACTCTCTGTCCCCACTCGGCTGATGGCCTGCCACCGGGAGTGTGTTCGATCATATGCTCCACTGACGAAACTCTGAGCTAAATCGGCATAGCCTGACGTGGCTTCTATCGATCTCATCCAGACTCGAGCAGGGGAGTGCTTCCCTTCCCATTGACACGGTCGCCGGCTTCGCCCTTCGCCATAAGCCGGCGCCGCATCTGGCGACGGGGACAGCTTAGCGACTTTGCCGCGCCGGTCCCAAGTCTAAACTCACCGGATATGGCTCGTGATCTCCCATCACTTCTCCCTACAGCGACAGGAGGGAGTGGGAGAGATCTTTTGGGGCCTCCATCTAGGATCGTCCGGCGTCGATTGGGTTTCGCCTGTCGCAGGCGGCTCGTCTCCGGCTAGAACTCAGTTCTGAGAGGACGAAGGTGGAGTCCCTTTCCTGCTTTATGGCAGCAGAGACTTGGAGGGCGGAGCCGTCGTCACTCCCACCCCAGGTCAACCCTACGGTGGGATCCGAGTCACCCCAAACCAGGTACTCCCGGTCTCTTCCCTGACGCGTGTTCGCCGACGCGGCGGGGACGGGCCCACTCAGCTAGCCTCATCCGATCCCGTCCTACGACGAATTACAACGGAATCAATTCTGACAGAGCAGTCACTCTCCTCTGCCATGGGTAAAATAATAGGAGTTAGCTTGAGGCAGACGACACCATCTGCGGACAAGCATATCTCTTTCTGCGCTATTCTTACGGTGGACTTGAGAGATGACGAAGGGACTTGAGAGATAAGTCAAGAGGAGAAATGGAGGCTGAGGATTAGGATTGAGGTAAAAGAATGGGTTCACTCTGCAACCTAAAAATTAAGTCTGAAGGTAAAAATAAGTCAAACCCGGTCCTAAAATCAAAAAAACATTAGGCCCGAAAGCTCAAAAACGTTTTTTTTCATTACCACGTCAGTATTCTATGATCATCCTCTCTAAACGCTCTCTATCTCTAAGATCGGACTCCAACCCCCGGCCGTTTTGAGGTTTTCCTCTCATTTGTAACATATGTTGGGCCGCAATATCCATTTTGTTATAACGGGCCTCGCTTGGCCAGAAAAGCCCAACCCAAACCCCATAATATCTCTAGCTGAGGTGGACCTGGGTTCTCTCTCTTCATCCTCAGTAATATCAGCTGTAGGATGAAACAGGGAGGCTCTCCGCCACCATGCTCCGGGTCCAGGCGGGAGTGATCCGCCCGGCCCCACGCCGGCTCTCACGCCGTCCGCTTCGCTGCGATGAGTTCTCTCCGCTGGCCCTTTGCGGAATCCGGATCAGTCTGCGATGGACCCTACGCTCGCCGAGTCTCCCGCCCGCGGTGGTGGCGTCCGCAGGGCTGGGCTTCGGCCGGCGTCGATGGCTATGGAGCGGCGAAGCCGCGTCCGGCAAGCGGCTGAGGCGCCGTCGCCACCTTCTGTTGAAGGTACGCCAATTCCGGTTTCCTTGATGCCATTTACGAATTAATTAGACGCCGAAAAGAGTTGCCGGTGACATTTTCCAATGATTACTCACAGAATAAGAGTTGTGACCTACGCTTGCCTCCTGTTGTAGAAACAATCGCATCTGCTCCTTAAGAGCCTTTCTCACTAGAGCTTCTTCTTCCTGAGTGAGTGTATTGTGGACATGGTAATTCCTCGATGCTGAGGTTGTGGTTTGCCTTCGTCATCTTCCTATTTCTGCCTAATCGCTGTACATTTCATCCATACCTCGTCCAGTTATTTATCAGAATAAGAAATACAACATATTACACTCCTTTAAAACTGATAAATATGTCAAATAAGATATGTTTTTATAGTTTCGGAGAGTGAGAGCTCGTATGAATGATTGCTATGCCCCAGAGTTCATGAATTAGAGATACTTTTCTTCATGATCAATACTATAATTCGATGCTCGATGAAAGGAATTTTTTATTTTTATATTCCACTGATATCAATAGTATAATCAATTTTTTGGGAGTCATTCAATGGAGTGGCGGACGCTTTGACCAATAAAGTTTAGAACAAGAGTTTCATTTGAAGGTACCAGAGACTTTGACTGATCATTGAATGCGACTTGGCGTCTAAGATCAGATTTCTGAGAATATTCAGAACGCTCTAAACAGATTACATTTATGCTGTTTTCAATCGTTGGAATGGATTAGTGAAAATCTATGGTGTTCTGATTATCATTTGAATCGATGAAGTGTTCTGTGAAATAGAGGACCAAAATGATGTATTCCCGAAGCTCACAGAACAATATATTTGCTGATTCGTTCAGCTGCATACCGTTCCGACTATCAGAGAAAAGAGGCTCTGCCACCGTCCTTCTGTACTCCCCTCGGGTAGTCTAGCGTCATCAACTCCTCCCCCCATCTCCCCCTCTCTCCTCTGGTTTTCCTGGAAAATTTAAGGCACTTCGAATGGTCATGAAATGGACGTCGGTGAAGCCCGGGAAAACCGTCCGACCCCACCCTCCCTCCGTCATGGGAATAACTTTTTTCTGCCGCTGCATCGTCGTTGGCGGCGAATGGGTTTCCCTAGACTCGCCCGCTGCGTCGGAGTGAACTCCATTGGCAATGGTGCAGAACCTTCTCGCTCAGTGAGGAGGTGGGGTCGTTGCCGCTACTGGTGGCGGTGGTGGTGAAAGGGAGGAGGGGATGGAGAATTATCTGGATCAGACTCTCCGTGGGGTGAAGTCGCCGCCGACGGCCAAAGCTGTGCGGCGTCGTCAAGAATCTCCAGCAAAGGGTCCGCTCTACAGCGAACCGCTCCAAGCGTTCCGAGGCCGAGGCCATGACGAGCAGCAACCGGGTTGTTCCCTCCTGCCCGGTCTGTTTCTCCTTCCCGGCGCTCCATCTCTGCCTTCTGATGGGGTGATCTCCGTATATCTCATGACACGAGTTACCCAAGAAATTGGCCCAGAAATACAATCTCTCGAAGATCACAACGGCCTACAGAGGGCCTGCAGAAGGATCATCAGCAGCTTTGAGGGTCTTTAGCGTCTAGATGTCCGATATCAGTGAGCTAGATCAGTCATCATCTCGTCGGTCGTGAGATTGTCTATCCTTGGAGAAAGTAGTGTATGGGACGAAGAACTCAGCTACTGGTATGATTCATAAATGTATGCAATCACCACTTGGCTATGGCAGTCCGGAGAAGAATCAATCCACCCGATCACAATATCCAGAAAAAGTGGATTTCGATGTTCTTAGCGGGATATGACTCGTGATTAATCCATCCAAACGATATCATGGAACGATTATTTCATCGTTCCCCAGATCAAGAACATCCCTACATCTTCCTATCTTGCGTAATATTTCGTAATTCGGTCAAATGCATGGCTGACCAGGATCCTTTATTTATTGAGTTATTTGCGATTCTTCAGGATAATTCGCTGCAAGTCTCATTGATGGTTTCCTATTACAGACAAACTTGATGGTTACCATTCAACTAAGTCTCTCTGTCGAGTCTGACATTCAACTCATTCTTTTCAGGAGAGGTCAAGTGTTGCTACTGAGATCCCGAAAGTTACTCTTCAAATTGCAGAAGGTAAGGTCCTTCCCTTGTCAGATGTCTGTGAAGATATCAGCTCTCGTTACAAGTACTCTGTTCCTGAGGAAGTCGAGGCAGCAGGCTTCCAGATTTGTGCAAGTGAACTGGGATCTATTGTCGAGGAGAAGGATGCGAAGAAACTAAAGGACCATGGCGGCGTAGAAGGGATTGCCGCAAAATTATCTTCCTCAACTACCAGAGGGATTGCTGATACAGAAGATCAGCTGAGATCCAGGCAAGATATTTATGGAGTCAATAAATTCACCGAGGCTGAGATGAAGAGCTTCTGGGTGTTTCTGTGGGAGGCACTCCAAGACACAACGTTGACCATTCTCGGGGTGTGCGCGTTTGTGTCGCTTGTTGTTGGCATCGGCGTGGAAGGATGGCCCAAAGGTGCCCATGATGGTCTTGGGATTGTGGCAAGCATACTCTTGGTCGTTATTGTCACTGGCACCAGTAATTATCGGCAATCCTTGCAGTTCAGAGACTTGGACGAGGAGAAGAAGAAGATCTCCATTCAAGCCACGAGGAATGGGTCCAGACAGAAGATGTCCATCTATGACCTCCTTCCCGGAGACATTGTGCACCTGGCGATCGGCGATCAAGTCCCTGCAGACGGTCTGTTTGTTTCTGGATTCTCTCTTCTGATAAATGCATCAAGTTTAACCGGAGAGAGCGAGCCAGTCGCGGTCAACGTGGATAATCCCTTTCTTTCGTCGGGAACGAAGGTGCAAGATGGCTTTGGCAAAATGCTGGTGACGACAGTCGGCATGAAAACTCAGTGGGGTAAACTCGTGGCCGCTCTCGGTGAAGTTGGAGACGACGAGACCCCATTGCAAGTCAAACTGAACGGAGTTGCCGGTGTAATTGGGAAGATTGGCCTATTTTTCGCCGTTTTGACGTTTTCAGTGCTTGCCCAGGCTCTCATCAGCCAGAAGATTCAAGATGGTTCAGTGATGGGCTGGACGGGTGATGATGCTTTGGAGATCCTGAACTACTTTGCTATTGCGGTGACCATCGTGGTGGTTGCAGTGCCCGAGGGGCTGCCCCTGGCTGTAACCCTGAGTCTCGCTTTCGCCATGAAGAAGATGATGAACGACAGAGCGCTCGTCCGCCACCTCGCTGCTTGCGAAACAATGGGTTCGGCTACCTGCATCTGCAGCGACAAGACAGGAACACTGACGACCAATCGAATGACGGTCGTTAAAGCGTGCATCTGCGGGAGCATCAAAGAGGTGGGTGATTCAGGGGAGGCCTTGAAAGCGCGCTCCAAGATTCCAGATCCCGCCGTCAAAGCTCTTCTGCAATCTATCTTCAGTAATACAGCCGGGGAGGTCGTGTTCGACGAGGAGGGGAGATTTGAGATCTTAGGAACACCAACTGAGACCTCTTTGTTGGCGTTCGGTCTATCTCTCGGGGGAGATTTCTCATCCGAGCGCCGAGAAGCTAAACTCATCAAGGTCGAGCCATTCAATTCACTGAAGAAGAGGATGGGAGTCGTCATAGAACTTCGTGGGGGGGGGTTTCGTGCCCACTGCAAAGGTGCTTCCGAAATGGTGTTAGCTTCCTGCGAAAAGGTCATCGACCCGGCTGGTAACCCTGTTCCCCTCGATGAAGCGACTAGACAGCACCTTGCGCAGACGATTGAAAGTTTTTGCAGTGAAGCTCTTCGATCCCTCTGCCTGGCTTACAGGGATATGGATGGCAGCTTCTGCGTCGAAGATCAGATTCCTCAAGAGGGATTTACATGTATTGGTATCGTGGGTATAAAAGATCCGGTCCGCCCTGGCGTGAAGGAATCCGTCGCAGTCTGTAGATCAGCAGGGATTACCGTCCGGATGATCACAGGTGACAATATAAACACCGCTAGGGCGATTGCCCGGGAGTGTGGCATCCTGACTGAGGGCGGTGTAACCATCGAAGGCCCAGAGTTTCGTCGAAAAAGTGCGGAAGAGTTGACGGAACTAGTCCCTAAGCTTCAGGTGATGCTTCTCATGAATTTCCCCTTCCCTCGTTGAATTTTTATGGTGTGTCTGACTGATATCTACCGTCTTCTTTCCTGGTCTTGCTCTGCTTGTTTTAGGTGATGGCGAGATCGTCACCTTTGGACAAACTCACCCTGGTCAGGCACCTGAGAACAGTAGGCAATGAAGTCGTCGCTGTTACTGGTGATGGCACGAACGATGCTCCAGCCCTTCGTGAGGCCGATATTGGATTGGCGATGGGAATTTCTGGAACCGAGGTGATCCTTTTCGCCAATCATGTCATTCATAGCCTAAGTTTTTTTCTTTCTCGTGTTTTCCTGGCTCCTACCTCGTCACATCCCAGTCAACCCAAGAAAAGATTCTTTCTTATCTTCATTGATCCGTCATAGATGATATAAAATTTTGTCCGTGATCTTATAATTTTTGAGTCATATTGTTTAGTCTACCCTGCGGTGGTGCATCACGAGAATATCATATTGTTTTCGAGCGATATCACCCTAAATATCGCTAATCCCTTAATATCCTGCTATTTTACGAAGACTTTCCTCAGTTAATCTGGTGGTGCTGGCGCTGACTTCAACCAGGTGGCAAAAGAAAGCTCCGACGTCATCATTCTGGATGATAACTTCTCGACCATTGTGACCGTCGCAAAATGGGGGCGTTCTGTGTATGTCAACATCCAGAAGTTTGTGCAGTTTCAGCTCACTGTTAACGTGGTTGCTCTTGTAGTCAACTTTTCTTCAGCGTGCCTCACTGGTACGAGAGCCTGCAGTTGACGATTCCTGTTCTGAAGATTGTGGGTTGACCTTGGTCCAGAGACTTACCGCGTGTGCGATCTTTGCTATCTAGGGCATGCCCCCCTCACAGCTGTTCAGCTTCTCTGGGTCAACATGATTATGGATACGTTGGGGGCCCTCGCGCTGGCAACCGAGCCTCCTCAGGATGAGCTGATGAAAAGAACGCCGCTCGGAAGGGAGGGGAACTTCATCAGCAGCGCGATGTGGAGGAACATCGTGGGGCAGTCGCTGTATCAGTTCATCGTGATATGCTATCTCCAGACGGAGGGGAAAGATCTGTTTCAGCTCTCTGGGCCGGACGCAGATCTAACGTTGAACACTCTGATTTTCAATGCCTTCATCTTCTGCCAGGTATCTCTCTGCCACTCACCGCGGTTAGTCCCCTTCGACTTGATTTCCCGACTGATTCATGGGTCTCTCTCACAGATTTTCAACGAAATCAGTTCCAGGGAAATGGAGAAGATCGATGTGCTCACGGGCTTGCTAAATAACTACGTGTTCGTGGGCGTCGTATCCTGCACCGTCGCCTTCCAGATCATAATCGTGGAGTTTCTCGGAGATTTCGCGGGCACCACCCCGCTCGATCTGTCGCAGTGGCTTGTGTGCGTATTGATCGGGTTCCTGGGCATGCCCATTGCAGCCGCCGTCAAGCTGATACCGGTGGGTTCCAAGGAAACGCAGCCGCCTCGGCAGGGATGAAGAACAGACAGTTCGCCCCCGCTGCCGACGCCACTTGGGACTGAACCCACAGAGACTACTGACCTCGGTTCCTCCGGCTCTGCTGACTCACCTGTTCATCCCCAGATTCCTCCGGATTGGATAGATTTCTCTCGGCCCGACTGGCTCACCCACCCACCCGCCGCGAGGCCACAATGAAGACGGTGATCACCATTCAAACCCCGGAGCGGTGATTTCGGACCCTCTGTCGCCCCCATCAAGGACGGATCAAATCACCGGTCTGCGGGGGGAATCCACATTGTTGACCGAGTCAGAGAAAGATATTCAATTACCGCCTCTGTTATCATCAATATTATTATTTTCGCCGTCCCTATCGGCGTCTCTTCCGCCTGCTATTTTCATTTTGCTCCCTGTTGGTGGCGGTGGCGGTGGGGAGCTCGCAGAGGGTCGGGGGCAAGAGGTTTTGTCGCCGGCGGGGTCTCAGACGATGAAAATTCTCGCCCTTATTTTACTGCGCCAGTCAGTGCAGTGCCAGCAGGGAGTGTTGAGGCTATGGCAAGCTGCGCTGCTGCGCATTCCTTCTAACAGGTGGGGTGGACGGGGGAGTTACCCGAGGAGGCCCCCGTTGCCGCCCTGTCCAACTGCTCCTGTTTCCGGCAGTAGAGGTGTGGACAAAAGAGCCTGCCCCAGGGCATCTGATGGTCAGTCCGGAGCGTCACACCCCGGAAGAGCTTGGTCGCCATAGCCCTCGTGCCAAGGAAGGAGAAGACCTCAAAACACACCAAGAGGCACCGACGCTGTCTTCTGTCTTCTCCCTCCTTGACGCCTTACCTCAAATAGCTTTGGGCCCCGGTACCCGGGGAGGCCGCCGTTCTGAGGTTCAGAGAAGCAGGGATTGAGGCCTTGTTTCGCTCGGATTTGAGCTGGCAGACGAATATGCATAAATATAATACGGCAATAGAGAGCATCTGATTGACACCCAGATGATACCGATCAACATCCATTTCCTTTCAACATGACTTTCAGTCGCTTTGGACACTACAAGCTGCAGCCCTCCCTGTCCCCGTGGGAGGAGGGTCACACAGAAAGAGAGAGAGAGAGAGAGAGAGAGAGAGAGAGAGAGAGATGAGGGGAAGGAACAGGAACTTGGAAGATGAGAGAAAAAAAATATTGGGTGAGTTTCCATGAATCATTGACGAGGGCTATCAATCAGAAAGGACTACTTGCTAGAGAGACTCCTCACAAACCGTCTCCCTGGGGGCCCCCGGGGTCACTTCTTCCTGTCAGCCTTTCTGCGCTCCGCTGAAGGTTCTCCCTTCTTTCCTACCTCCTCTCCCCCTTCTTCCCCTTTAAACAGTAAACCAATTAGAAAGAAAAAATAAATCACCACTCGAGAACAAGGCCAACCAACCAGAAGCCTACAGACCACCCCACGCTATTCCCGTTACGTAATTAGAGAGATTCTAATGGCACCTCCCGCAGGAAGAAAGAGAGAGAGAGAGAAGAAAGATGCACTCAGGAGAAACAGAGGGTCACCCTTCCCCTTGCCTAGTCGGGGTTGTTCTTCCTGGATGTGGGGCAATTGCAGTCGTAGGAGCCCAGGGTAAGCCTTCTCCTCTTGCTGCAGACGGTGCTCAAGGAGGAGCTATCAATGGCATCCCCGGAGCAAGGCACACACGGGAAGGATGCCGGCGTCGCCTCGAAGGGGATCAAAAGGTTGTGTAACGGCAGGTCCTTCTGCGACTTCCTTGACTCCTGAATCATCATCATGATCAGGTTGTAGCAAGAAAGTGTGCGGTCCTGAGGGGAAGAGAGAAAAGAGAATACGAATTCAGAGGTGAAAAATATCAGTCCGGCCGAAGAGACAAGAGTGGAGCAACGAAGATTTATTCGGCTCACAGTTTCTAACGATCTACACGGGGAGACGGCGCCAATCTTATCCTCCAGCAACGTCTTCGTTAATGGCTGCCCGGCGGCGGCGAAGACTGCCGCGGCCGCCACGGCGGACGGGCGGTGATCCACCAAGTTCATCCCTGATGAGAAATACAGAAGGATCGAAGCGGGCAACGTTAGAATAAACAGTGCGGCAGCGACAAAACAATTGGAGATATCTCATTGGACCAGTGCACTGACCTTCAATTGCGGCAAGGATGAGCTCCGTGGCTCTGGACGGCAGGCCCTTGCCACTGCGGCAAAGTACAAACTTCGACGCAAAGTAATCTATATAGAGAAAGGGTGTTATTGAACCCATCCTCCACTCCAATGTGTTCAATACAAGGAGCTCCATCCGCTGGATTGCCTTGCTCTCGAATTCGCATTCCTCTCCTGGGTACTCCGTCAGCGCCGGAACTCTGCATTCTTCCATCTTCGCAGCCAGCGACAGGCACGCCACCGATAACAACTGAATCGCCCAAGATTGCCTCATCTGCATACGAATAAGGTTCAGGTCTACGCTACTGAATAGAGCGGCCAGAGAAATCTCTTGTGAAAGGCGAGATAAATACGTACATCGATGGTTCGCTTCACGAAGAACCGATCGAGGTAAATCACGGAGAGGTATGCCGTCTGGGGGCTGAAGCCGAAGTACACCCGCGTCTGATTCAAAAGGCAAGAACTTTCTGAGATCGAAAAGATCGGAAAACATATAAAAAGTAAAAACAATGACAATCTGGAGTGGGGAACACCCACTCTCAGAATCCACCGGACGGCGGCGGAGCGCGCGTATTTCAGCCAGTCCACGGCGGGGACCGCCGAGGAGGCGTCGCTGGAGGAAAAACCCCGGCTGTTTCTCCCCTCGAAGCTGTTCTCTCGAGAGACCAGCGTCCCGATGTATGCTTCCTCCTCCTCGGAGATTACGGAGTCCCTGGTCAGCCCAACCTCATCGCCCCCTCTCTCTCCCTCCTCCTCCTCCCCCCCTTCGAGAGAAGTCCCGTCCTCATGGCAAAACAGATTACCCAAGATACCGGAGCAACCCGATTCTTCCATGCCCCTTCCTCCCCCTTCGTCCCCCCTCCACCACTATTTCGCTAAGCCCGGGGAAGCAAAAACCCCATGCCTCCTCCAGCCCTCTACAGCACGATACACGTAGAGAAGACGGGGGAGGGAAAGCGGAGGAGTCGTCCTTTTGTTTCTTCTGGCGTCTCCACATTAACAGCGGTAGTCGTCGACCACCGGATCCGCTGGGAACGACCTGAAATCTGCGCCGCGATGAGCTCGGTAGCGCCGCCCGCTCGCCCCGCCTCCGCCTCCTCCCCCCTTCCCCCACCCCAGAATTTAGCGGGCGGCGAAGCTACTAATGACGTTGATATAGATGCAAAAAGAGCGAGTTTTGGCGGCGTGCGGAGCTCGCTGTTAAAGAGCTCCTCAGCGGCATGGGGGAAGGGGGGGAGCTTCCCCGTGACAGGGAACCCCCTCCTCTCCCCCCTCGATCAGCAGATCAACCACCGTTCGATCCGTTTCCAATGGCTGTCGATGTTCACAGGGGAGCCCAATTACCCACCAACCAGCTCTCTCCTCCATCAGAGTCTTCTTTATTTTTCCAGATGATGTGGCAGCACTCCCCGCAGTCAAACCACGGAACGGATCCCCTAGCTGACGAGGACCACCAGACGGACGGTGCTGATCCTTTAATAACCTATCCATCGGACGGGGCCCCCTGGATGGTCTCGCTTAATGACCTCCCACTGGAGCTGAGACAGTCGCCGTCAGTATCTTAACAGAGATTGGTTTCGTCCGTTTTCAGTTTCCACACCTAAGTGGGACTCCCACGTCACTGTCAGGAATCTAGGGTTATCTCGTTAATCTGCCGGCAGTCGAATCTCGTTGTAGCACGCAAGATCCGACGCATTCTTGCCTCGTAGAGAAATGGCGTCCACACCGAAGATCTCCTCGGTAATCTGGGCATAACGAGGGCTAATTGACGCCGTTGTCAACCAGCGTTAAGGAAAAAAAAACATGAACCTCTGCAGCAGGCAACGCGTGGGCGAAGACCGCCAGCTGGCGTGATGACCACCACATTCATCTAAAAAATTTGTACTTAAAATTCGTAAGGTATGGTTTTTTTAATAATAGTTTGTTTTCTAATGGGATGAGATGATTTTTTTGGAGAAATAATTTTATATTGTTATTTTCTTAAACGAAGAAATTAACAGGAGGCCGACTGCGCCGAACAAAGCTTGCGAACGTAACGAACGAAGATCGAGCATTTTTGCGCGATTAGTAAGCCATGTAATTTGCGCTATTGAGACCTCGTGCCGTTTAATATACTACAGCGAGGAACCACTTGTAGCTCTATTGATCCGCCAGTTTTGCGTGTTCCTCTCAGGAATGAAGGCTGTGTCGGCAGGTGATCCAAGCTCTCTCTCTCTCACGCACACAAACACGTATGCACAAGATATAGATGAAGATTCTCTCTCTCTCTCTCTCTGTACACGGAGATACTCAAAAGGGTACGTGTATATAGAGTCCAAAACAGTGACCGTAGACTGTCTATAGCGGGACGAAGGGCTATAGGAGAGGAAGCTGGGTGAAATGGAGACGTCCAACGGCGACAAAGCAGTAGAATAACAAGTTCCTCGCTTGACGCGACAGGTTCCTCGTTGGAGAGACTCGGGCCTCGTCGTATACTGCCAGTGAGGCTTGTCGTCGTCCCCCCCTCGCCGCAGGCGGGGAGCCCTATGAACGAACTTGCCGGCGGACTTCGGTGTAGCGGCCGGCTGAACTCAGAAACGCGAATGCCCGAGGGCGAACGGCACTGCGCTCGGCAGGGGGCAACAAAAGCCTGTTCTGAAGCAGACCAGGAGCCGGCTCCGGATTCCTCATGATTTCGAAGCTCGCCTTGGGGTCAGTCAGTCAAGCTCTTTATTCATGGCGGAGAACGAGGCCAGAAGTTTCCCTTTCCTGCATGTCCCTCCATGACCGTGGTGCAGTGCTCCTCTTTCTCGCGCGGTCGTAGGAGGCTCCCTCCCCGAGGAGAGAGCAGATGGACGGACGGGGTTTCAGGTGATCTCTCCCGATCCCACCCCACGAGGGAGCTCAGATAGAGAAGTCTGCGACCTTCTCTTTCTCTGCCTATCAATCTCTCCAAAGTGGGCTCCTTTATCACTCAAATACGACTTCAACTTTATTCCTGAGCGCACGATCTTTTCCCTCTGCCGCTCAACAGAGGCATGGAGGCGGCTCCTCCCTCCTCCCGGCCGCACCAGGGAGCAAGCCCGAGGACGTAAATGGAAACTCCGGTCGGTAAAGCTGGAGAAAAAGTGAGCAGTAGACGGACCGGGGTTCAAGTCAGGAAGGAGTGGAGAACTGTGAGGAAGATGACTCGTCTCCCCTTCTGTTTCATTTGAAAACCAAGGGAGTCCGACCCATCACGTGGAGCCGCGACGCCGCCGCATACTGCCGGAGATCCCTCCCGTTATTCCTTCGGTCCCAAACAGTAACCAAAATCGAGTGAATGCGAAGGAACAATTGATCGACACGGTGTTCATATTCCTTTCTTATTTGCAGTTGCTTTTCCAACCAATTGTGTTTACTCCGTGAGGTTTATAATTCCAAGTTTAATCCTACGTTTTTGTTGGGGTTATAATGTGAATTCCTTCTAGACTCATGAGTAATATCGTAACCCTGTTTTTTATATTGCTCTGCTGGCGTAAGTTATTTTCACCGGGCCAGTAGAGACGCGGACAGCCCATAGATGGTCGCGATTCAGACGTCTACTTGAGATATATCTCAAGCGGTTTGGGGGCTGCCCCCACAGCTCTTTGACGTCTTGGCAAAGGTTCCACTTTCGCGAGGAACAGATCGGGGACAGTGCTCGTCGGAACGGAGCACCATGGTGTTGACATCGGTGGCCGGAAGCTACTCTTGCAGGCCGCCGCAGACCGCATAATTAGCGTGGCACACCGTCGAGAGAGGCGGACGGCTCTCCCCAGTGGGCCTCACGCAGCGGCGGCGCCCCCACTAACGTAGAAGAACCCACTCGCAGGCCGAACGCGGTCGAGGGCTCAAACCCTCCCAGCCTCTTGTCATGATCTGGTTAAAATGGCTGCCATCCGTTTGGCATCGGTCTCCCCCGTGAACGAAGATGGCCAAAAGAAGGGGTCCCATTCTGCTCCATCGCAAATCCCTACGTGGTTACCTTTCGGGTTGCCTCTCTGACCCTCACTCTTTCTCTCACTCACTCAGTCACTCACTCACTCCCTGCCGTGGCGAAGAGACCCGTGAACGAGAGAGAGAGAGAGAGATGAGTAGCTCGCAGCCAGTGTGGCGGGAGAGGGGAAGGAAATCGTGGAAGGAGCGGATTCAACGGGACATAACTTTCCGACGACCGAGACCCACCTCCTCTCATTGAAAGCAAGGAAATGCCCGAAGCGGATAAAGCCCGGCCTTGTCATGTCGAATGCCCTCCCCCTCCTTTCGGCGAAGGAGGGCCAGCGCTTCGTACGGCGCCGCCCAGCACCCCCTCGGTGTGCCCCGCCGCAAGCGACCGCCTTCTCCTCGCAAATGTTAATTGCCGAGTGTGGGCTAGCCCTCCACATGCGCGGCGCAACGCCGGCGGCCGTGCCGCTTGGGGAAGCGTGTGCCAGCCCAAGCCGCGAGCCGTCGGAGGCGGCGGCACCGCCTGCCCCACGTTTTACTGGCGCGGCTGGGCACGGGCGCCCAGGCGGCCCTTTGCCGGCCTTTTTCTCACAAAACACGCAAAGCCTGAACCGGGGCTGGGCGACGAATTTTTCTCACGGTCCGCCATCCCATAGATTGACTGGTCAACTCCTCGTGGTACTGCGGAGACCGTCAGCAGCGGAGCATTGTCATTATAACCCAGGCCCAATCCCACCCACGGCCCAACCCAGAAAGCTTAGAGAGAGCAGTCAAAGAGACCAATCAATCGGCTTCGGCCCACCTACGTGACCGCACATTATATTATGGGCCCAATTACCTATTGGACCTCTGTTCCGTCGCTGGCTCTACGGCCCATTAGGACCTCCCGTGAATGGCGTGGATTTATGGATTGTGTGTTACCGGATAAGGAACTTGAAGTCAAAGTCAGAGACGTCTGACCACTCATCTGATCAGCCGGCCGCCGCTAGCAGACGGTATAATAAATAATAAACGAATATTCTGCAGACCATAGATGCGCAGAAATGTTCCGAGGTGCCGTGTGCTGCCGGTGAGCGTACCGTGAGGAGCACACTCAGGCATCGTCTGTAGCGTCGGAGAACAAACTGACGCCAGGGTTCGCACTAAGACGTGAAGTGAAGGCTCAAGAGTTCCCGAGGGTACGGTACGTTTGACCGCGAAGCTCGGGACCGCTTAAAAAGGAGAAAATATGCAATTTGTAATTTATTTTAAAATGGAAAATTCTAGCGAAGGTGGAGTTTCTGACGTCCCCTTAGGGTTCCCTTGGCTAATAAGCTCCGTCCTCCGCAAGTTCAACTTCTTTTCCTTCTTGCCCACCGGAACCTCTGGCGACCTCCTTGCGGTTCCTCGCCCGCTCCTCTCCGATCTTCTTTCGCTTCACATGGATCTATCCCCTCCTGGTCGAACCAAATCTGGTTGTCTTGTCGCCGTTTTAGTGTCTTCTTCCATTTCTAGCTTGTCCTCGTCCGCCGATTCCCATCAAGCAGCTGCTGATCTTCCGTCTTCCTGTCAGTTTTCCCCCGCTTCTTTTCGTATTCGTCGCGCCTGGTCCTGATTACAGCACGTCGACGTCTTCGCCATGGGGAAGAGTGAGCAATTTCTTGCAATTTTGCGACTTTATCATTTGATAATTACGGAATTGACGTTGCAATCGGACCTTTTGCTCTGAAATATTGTCCTATCTGATTTCCTTCTTACCGATGTTTCTTTCCGCGTTTGGTTCGACTCCTCACGGAAGCTCATTATGCCTTCTATCAAACCATAATTACATAATTACATAATTTCATACTGAGGAGATTTGATTTTCTGAGTTGGTATGCCTGTGCAGATCGTAGCAAACGTCGAGATACCAATCTTTTTGATAGCGATGACGATGACAGCATGAGTTCGGCATCTACTGGGATATCTGAACAGACGCTCGCTCAAGAGAGCGAGCGTGTGACCTCCAAGGACCACGAGCTTGACATGTTTCTTGACGCTCTTTATGAGAAGAGGTATTATACATTTCCTGCTTAAAGTTAAAGCGTCGTTTCTTATGTCTGTGAAAACTGTTTTATTTCTGAAGGGGAAAATAATATTTCAGATTGTTGACATACTGGCTTCCGCTCCTTTTTCATTAGCTTTTGTCAAACCGATATGACCAGTGGAAAAACCGACTGTAATGTCCGCTATTTATAAGTTTCGAGATGAAGATCGGATCACTGTGAATTTTTTTGCTATAACTAATGAATGCGTAATAGTAACGACGATCTCTCATGTTAAACTCTGCCGAAGAATAGTATATTATGCTGAGATGACGTTGCCCAACGCTGTAAATACGTTTCTGGTAAACAGTCAAGTCAAAATGATCATCAGTTGATCGCGAAAACGTTCTGCATGTTAAATAACCTAACCTACGTGTACTCTTTCTTCTTGTTTTGGGCGTGCTTCCAATTTTTTGTTGTTGGACCCGTTAATGGCCTGAATTTATTTCATGGTGTACGACTGTCTTTTGTTTGAAAGTACAAAAGTGATGAATTCGTAGTATCCAGAAGACAGAGGATCTTGCTTTCCCGAGTGATCTTCTGCGAGGTGGCACACATAGTGTTTCCTTGTTAATCATATTTATTTATTTATATTGAAAATTTCAAATACAGCATATTAATTCTTACATCTTCCCTCTTTTTGGTGCTATATTTTAAACAACATAAATTAGTGATCTCTACGACATGATAAAATGAAAAGACTGATTTTTCTTGTTGAGATTCGACAATAGAGTTGAATTGGTTGAATCAGCCTTGATGCGTCCTAATGAGGCTTGGATGATCACAATGAAAATGGGATTTTTTTTTTAATGAATAAGTTAAGAATGAGATCGTGATCAGCTTTGATTCGTCTTCACGTTGTCCTCGTAATGTCAGCCTTTGACTACCTTATACAGACTGTTTTCGTGATAAATCTGATTGATATTTTTCGGAATAATCTGAAAATTATTTTCAATTATAGCGTTTTTTTTTTTTTGGTTCAGTACTGTCCGTAATAAAAAAATTTAAATAAAAATAAATGCTCAAGCCTTTTAATAATCTACGACCTAAAATATTATCATCGATCCGATTTCATGAATGATAGGAGGTAGACGTGATGGCCTTACAAATTTTTGTTTATGTACTAGTTTTTATATGAAACTTGTTGAGGGGTTTATACGCATGCTCATTTATAGACATGCATACAATTAATCTGGAAGTGGTAACCAGGTAGATAGGATATGTACACTAGAGCTATTTGAATCCAAAACTGAAAGATATTTAACCTCGTCCAGTTGACAAGTTTGCATCGATGTATAACAGGGGTCCACTGTCCTGCTGAATTTGACATTCTTTTGATGCGTTAATTTTTTTTTCCGTTCTTTACCTGTTTATAATTTTTTCCTCTGTAGACGATCTCCAATTTGATATTTTATGTTTGACTGTTCTGGTGAGTAATGGCATTGTTCTTAGAGAGATTTTTTAAGAGCTGTTATGATACTTTATTTTGAAATTTTCATCTTTGCTGAATCAGTGTTCATATCTGATAAAATTAATTCTACTGCCATTTTTGTTGATCTCAATTTACCACTAAGCAATAGTACCTTTTTTCTAAATGAAGGGGCGCAACGAGAGAAAAGGCGTTGTTGGGGCTTGTTGATGCATTTGAAAACCACGTGCTTCTCGAATTTGTGGAAAACAAGTAAGCTTTACTGAACATATCATCGTTCTCTAGTTCTAAGAGTTTCTAAAAAAACGAGAAAATGGTTTTTAAAGATTTCAAAAGGAAAAACAAGAAGGGTTAACGAAATAGTTCTAGTTATAAAACGAATAATGATGCTTGGATGGTGGCTCAGGATCAGTCTCATGAAAATCTTATATTCCCTGAGGAGGTTCTACCACGTGGAAATGCCCTTTAATGGATATTTAGCTTTAGCTGCAGCATACTTGGCTTATGCTACTTGAAGTGAATCTCTGCTAGTATGTGTTTTGCCAATAAATTTGTGGACGCTGTCCTCGGAGAAGTGTTTTTTTGGAAGATAATGGGCCATCTTTGGCAGTTGTGCCTTGTGAGGGTATATTATCCTGTGCTTAGTAACTTAATCAGGAAAACATTGTGCATAATGTGCGGGGATCTGCAAAAGCTGTTCAATATACCTTAAACACTGTAGATATGATACAAGAATCGTTTGTTAAGGATATATAAATAATTTTCGAAGGTCCTTAGATAGGAGAGAAAAGATCCGACAAAATTAAGTGGAGGCAATCAAGAATTTTATCTCGGAGTAGTATACTTTCTTCACAGCCTCATATGTTGGACTTGTTGATCACTGTGACAAATACATGCATCGTTTTCCTTATATTTGTTGATCATCCAAGTTGTTCTTGTAGGTCTATTACTTTGCTTCATCAGTTTCTCAACTCAATTAAACGGGGATCTTCCAAGGAGGTTTCTTTAGCCTCCCGTGCAATTGGTCAGTTCTTCACTCTTTGGAAGCAGAAGCACTATATATGTTTCTTTTTGGGCCAACCATGACCTCTTTAATTGTGTTTTGCCTCGGAAGGTCTGTTGGCTATTACCATTGGCTGTGGGAGCATTGCACATGAAATAATGGAGGAGTGTATTCCGAATTTTTATCAAGCACTCACGTCAGGGTCTGATTCACTTAAGAAGTCAGCGGTATGTGATGTTCTACTCCCATGTTAATCTGATTTATGATGCCATTTTATTTTTAATTAATAATTATATTTATTATATTTTTTTTTTGTTTATAGATTTTGGATTGTCTGGCTGTCATCTGTTTTGTTGGCGGTGAAGAGGTCGAAGAGAAGGAGAAAGCAATGAAAATCATCTGGGAACTGATCCATCCGAAGTCTGGTTCCAACGTACGTGATTGCTGTTGCCTGATGTGATACGTCTTTGAATATTTACTATACAATATGGGCATTATCGTTCCCTAGCTGGTCTCAAGCCTTTTTCTCGCCTTTGATGTATAAAGTATCCGTTTTTTTCTTTGTAGGTTACACTTTCCAAGCCTATTCCGATTGTACTAGCATCGGCTATATCTGCATGGTCATTCATACTATCTACGCTGAATCCACGGAACATAAATTCCCAAACTTGGCGGGAGTGAGTAAAGACCTGTTGTCGTCTGTCCTTTTTTTTTTTGGAGGTTTTTCTTGGAAATTTTATAATTCCTTTCTTCCGTATGCTATTTCAGGTCAATATCATATCTGTCAACGTTATTAGACAAGGATGATCGATCTGTCCGCATTGCCTCTGGTGAAGCCATTGCTCTTATTTTTGAGTTAGGAAGGCTGGATAAGTTCTCCCAAGAAGATACTGGCTTTTACGAGAATGAAAAACACGAGGGTGCTAAGCCACCCAGTGGTGGATTTACTTATGTGGAAACGCTTAAAGGAAAAATATTGAGTCAGGCAAGAACCCTGTCTATGGAGGCTGGCGGCAAAGGTTCCGCCAAGGTTGATCTGAATAACCAGCGTAATACATTTCAAGATATTGTGGCCTTTATAGAGGTACTTGTTTTTTCCTGGTCCTGTTTGCTTTTGTTTCTACGAGGTGCATGATGTAATGCGATGACTGTGCAATTTGGGTTGGCAGAGTGGCTCTTGTCCTGAACATTCCGTGAAGGTTTTGAATAACTGCAATCATCTGGTAGTATCAACTTGGATACAAATGACGCAGGTGTGCAATTTCTTCATTATTTTGTGGTCTTCTTTCTTGGTTCTCTTTAATTATGCCAATAACTTTCTCTTCTTCTCAGTTGAACTTTCTGAAGCGTTTCCTTGGCCGTGGATTCCTCAAGCACATTCAGGTACATCCCTAATTATGGTGTTGCTTTGAGGATATGATGTTATTTATGGTAACTCAATATATTAATATCCTAAAGATCTTATGGAGTTTATTTTTGCACGTGATGCCTTTTCAGTATATGTTATATCTGTTTGTTCACTGTATTACTATCATTAGGATTTTATATTGCTTACGTATGAGCTGGCTTTTTTTGTGCCTGATGGCTGAAAGGGTTTGCTATTTATCTAGGATAATGAACTTCTCCATGATGTTTTTGACTTCACTCCAAGGAGAAAGGATAACTTGTCAATCAAAGAAAAGGTCAGTTTATTCATTGGAGGGTTTATAACTTTTTCCTTCAAATATTTTTTTGGAGTTTTTTTGATATCTATGCATGCATTTATCTTGGGAATTAGGTTAGTTGAATACAGTTTTTGATCATCTCCATTCATTATCCTCTTTTGGGTTTTCTGGGTGGACAGTCATTTTCCTACTTGGTGCAGTCGTCACTGCAGTTTTTTTTTTCAATGACGTTAACTGTATTTTATCTTATGATCCATATCACGTGGATACTCTGGATTCCAGAGCATGAATATTTCACCCGTATGCATTCAGAACGAGGATTTTGTAATTTATGTGACGATATTAACCAAGTATTTCCATTATTTTCTTTTTTGTATACATTGCTGTTACATTGAAAATTATTTATTTGCATTTATAAAAATATCTTTTTTGGAAGAGAATGATCGTTAATTTGAAATGCCATATATTGATTTATTAATGAAAGCCATGATTGTTATTGCTGGAGATAACGTCGTTCACAAAAGATGTTAAATTTAACCGTAGGTGGAATGCTTTTCCCTGCAATCAATGCCAATCACAAGTCTTTGGTGACAAATAAGGAGCCCTCTAAATTCCGTGGGCCCTCAAATGCGAATAAATTTTTCTTGTAACGACGGGTTGGTCATAAAAACAGCATATCAACTTGTGCGATTGTGACAGACTGAGAATCTTTATGATCATCTGGGTTGTAACAGTGATTTGTGATCTTATCGATATGATGCGCTCCTTAACCAGAGAATTGCAACCGTAAGTTCCATGGCCTTTGAAGGATGCATGGACCTAGGACTGAAAAAAATACACACACTCGTGATGTATGGCAATCTTGTAATCAATGGATCCGCCTTTTATTTACTGGGCATGATATTTGCATTAATTGACCATCAATAGTTTGTTGAGCGTGAGCTTATTGGGCCCTGTTGACTTTATTCCTTTCATTCAAATCAAGCGTAGTATTGAAATATCATCTGCATTCCTTTCAACGCCCAATTCTTGAACCCTCTCCAAAAATCTAGACTCTCTAGAATTGATTGAGCCAGGTATTTGGACGAAACAGTACAGAATTTTCGGCGATGCTTATTTTGTTAGCAGATGGTTCAAAATGTATTGCGGAAATTAACTTGTTGAATCTTCTATGATCATTTGATGGAAGGTGATTTTTGTGTGCGGTGATTTAACAGTATGTTTTTTCATGGTTCTTGCCCTCATCGTAAATTGTTCTCGTACAGAGATTGTTCTTGTCCCCGAACTCTGTGGTCAACAAAGAAAGGACTCAGTACCTCAACAAGCGGCGTTCATGGACAAAAGTAAGACATCCTTGCATTAACATCAGGAGTTGCATGCCATGGCTTTGTAGACCCTCTGGTTCATTCGTGGATGCCTCTGTTCCTTCTTCTGTAGTTAGTTTGCGGCCATTGGGAGTTCTTGCGGTTTAGTTCATGGTTCTATACATTGACCCATTCATGGCTATATACACCCATTTTTAGTATTTTATCATTTGGCGATCTTTGAACAATGACAAAGTTGACTCCGGTCTTCGCTGAGACTGCCGATGCACCCCTTTTGCAGGATTGGAAACAGGGTCATTTCAAGGTGGGAGCTGAAGACGTCTGATCCGCATCAAGATAACACTGGCTGTGAGGCGCCCCCACCTCACCTGTCCCTTCCGACTCCGCTAAGTAATGAAGGAAAACCATATATATATATATATACGTATATCTAAGAAGTATGCTGGACTCGAGCTGTTGTGATTTTCGTGAAGCTCATGGCTGGTGGGGCCTTGGTGGAGTTGGAGAAGTTGGCCCCACCATCTGGCAAATACATATGGATCTGAATCTTGGTCGTGCTGGTTTATTCATGTTGTGGTTAATCTTGCAGCCGATTGACGCCCACATTTGTATATTGACGGTGGATGGCTTCCGCTTTCTTCCGTACATTGAAAGAGTTTTCTCTCGATTGAATTTGTTTTGCATGAGTTTATATTTTTGTGCAAGGGAGCTTTTTTTACATATATATAACTTTCTCCACCAGTTTCTTGCCTTGTTGGGCCCGCCCATTACTGGTCTCGCCACCCATTTGCATCTGAGCGATGGCCGCCATTTTCCAATGTTCCCCGGTTTCTCCAGGTTGGGTGCGGCTTTTAAAAGCGCGAGAGAGGAGGAACGACGAACACATTTATTTCTGGAAGCGAAGATCAAAGACGCACGGAGCACAGAGCCTGTTACTTATTCATTCAGCAGGAGGATCCGGGTTGGTCTCCTGCTCGAGCTCGAAGGCGGAGACGGGGAAGCTTTTCGAGAGCCCCAGTCCCGTCTTGAAGGTGATTCTCTCCGAGGAGGGATCGTCGATATAGATCTCGGCGATGGAGAACCAGAAGAGCAGCTCCTTCGCCTTCACCCCGGTGATCCTCCTGATCCTGCGGTTGTCGACGAGCGCGGTCACCTCGGCGGCGTAGGACACCTGCCGCTTGATCTTCTTGAAGGCGTGCTCGCGTTTCCTCTTCTGCGTCACCCAGAAGAACCCGGTGGAGCGGTTGAGGCCGAGCTCCGATATGTCCTCCACGGGAAGCAGCCCCGGCGGGAGGGAGAGCTCCTTGAGCATCGCCTGGATTTTCTCCCTGCACTCGGCGTCCCCACGGGTGATCTCCGCGCCGTCGCGGTCGCACTGCAAGGCCTGGGACGTCATCTTTCCCCCTCCCCACCCCCTCCCTCACTGGAACCTCTGCTCGCAGCGCTCCCTTCCTACGTGGTAGTTGATGAGAGGAGGTGAAGCTCGAGCGCTTAGTTATATAATAGGGATGGTGGGCGTCGGAGAGACTTTACTACGCACAGTTCGAGAACATGGGCAGGTCAACGGATACGGTTGGGGTGTTTGGGATCCAATCCATTTGAGTTTGACCATTCAGACCGTCAATTAAATTGGGATTCAATCCGTTTGACCCTGATCATATCAGATGATGATCTGGCGAATTCATAAGCCTGTGGGGTATTCTTCCCACGTAAGACTGCCCTAACTTTCTCCTACCCATCATCTTTTACCACGTCCACCGCCCTTCCTCCAAAGCCAAAACCTCTTATTTTGTTCAAACCAGCAGAAGAGCCTTCTTGGAATTGAATAGGTCATCCTTCTTAGAATTGAGATGGGGGCTCTTTCGGTGCGGATCGAAGCCTGTGCCCACTACCCTCCTTCCAAGATTTCAGTTTGCGTGTGTATCCCAGTTGAATCAAATGTACACTCTGAAGACTTGACTCGATCCTCAGTCTTCCTCTTCTTCTTCGGCCTTCTTTATTCTTCTTCAGTAGTTCTCCACCAGAAGAGAGAAGGGGTGGAGTTTTATTCAGGAAGACGGGCTCTCCTCGTTTGAGCTATCGTCTTTCCCGTCGACAGGTCTGTCTAGGGCCGGCGGCATCCGGAATGGCTGGGCGGACCCGATGATGGTCCTCCCCGGCAGACGCGTCTTCTCCACTTCCTTGCAGACGCGCTCCAACAGCGAGAGGAAGTCCCCAACCACCGAGAAGATTCTCAGAGGATGGGCCTCCTCCTCCGCGGCATCCCCATGGAAGTACTCGGTGACCTCTCTCACGAGGGTGAGTGCCCTCTTTTCCGCGGCCTTGATCCGCGCGATCTCTTCCTCTGCGTTCTTCTGGAACGCCTCCATCGCCTCCGAGAACTTTGCCCGAGGACCCGCTCCTACGAGCTGCAAGGCCATTCTAATCTTCTCCAGGCCCTGCTCAAGATTCGAGAGATACCTGCCGAGGACATCCGAGTCCATTCCAGCGGCCTTCTTGACGTTGCCCAGCTCCTTGCCCAGCCCCACCACCAGTTTCAGGCCTTCATCGTCCCTTTTCCAGCTACCATTCGGAGTTTCGCATTCCGATCGAATAATCTCCCGGACCACGAAATGTAGGAGCGTCATCGTGCGGTCTGCCCCTTTGACGTCGGCCAATTTCAGAAGGGTGTCGAGCTTGAAGGCTCTTGCCTGACCCCTGGCAGTGCCCACATTCATCCGGTTCCCCGTTCTGAGAACAGCATCCAGGAGTTTCAGTAGCAGACTGCTTTTCTTCAGCTCTTCGCATGCTACCTGAAGAAAAGAGAAATCGCGGAATAATTTCAATGTTCGGACAAGAAACAGTAGATTAAAATACGCTGTTTCTGTACAGAAAACAATTTACCTCTAAAGATTCAAAAGATTCCCTCAGATACTTCACCTCCGACTCGAAGTTTGATCTGTACAGCATGGCATCGATTCTTCGGTACGCGTGCGGTATGTACAGCAAAGCCTTCAGGAAGCGCTCTGCAGAGCCAAGCTTTGATGGATCCCCGGCGTAGTTTCTTAATGCCAGTTCTTCCTGCTCGGTTGGCTCCATCTTCATCAATGCTTCCAGGAGTTCAACACCCAGTTCTTCGGGATTGCCTGTTCATGCAGAGTTGATGGATCATGAACGCACGACAGATTACCTTAAAAAATTTGAACTCTGAATTTATAATTAATTACAATTTATGAGATAAATTCCTGAGCAGACGAATAATTCGGCTAAGATTTCTGTGGCATCTAGTTTCACGTTCAGCAGGGATTCAACTACTGGTAGTAAGTAGATCGTCAACAAGGTTGTAATACGCATCGATTAAAAAAAATGATCAAATTAGAATCATAGTATGGCTCTTCAAAAAATAACTTTCAGATATTAGGATTCTCCACCAATAAATCAGGGACAATGAGAGATTCAATATTCATTAAAAAAAAAAGACTTCAATAAATTCCAGACTAGCTTCCTTCTTGCATTTTATCAATGAAAATCCAAGGAAGAGTCAATTCACGGTAGCAACTGCATATTGTTTTAGAAATCTTTGGCCGAATCAGTTCAGTCGGCATAGTGCTCGATCAAGAATTCATCCTTTAAAATGGAATTGAAGACTTTCTTTACTGAACGTAGGAATTGCCGCGTGAATGTATAAGGCTCTTGTAATCTATACTAAATGAAACGACGCCTGGCTGGATCTTTCGTGCATTGATTCCTGTTAGTTCGTAGGATACAGTCGCCGAAATGTTCACAGCTTGTTTCAGAGTCCTTATGACAGGATGATGAGAACTTTGCACGATACAGTTCCATACATCTTGACCCATTGGAGATTAGTAATATATTTACTTATATTTACTAACCACAAAAAATTGATGCCAAGTGAAAATATAAAATAAAATATTCCACATAACCAAACTTTAACCGTTCTCACCAAACTTTAACCAAGATAAATAAATCCACCAACTCCCCCACAGCTTCTCCATCTATGGGTCGGTGCCCGCTCCATAATCCTTAAGATCTGATCTCAATGGGGATGCTTAGCTTATATTTTTTTTAGAGTATTTGTCTCTCGAATGCATATAGAAACATGCCAGCGGTTATCCTAGAAGAACACCTTCGTGTCAGCTTCTAAGGGTAAATGACCTTCAAGAGGGAGAAGAACCAGAGAAGTGATTTCTGATCAGGCGGAGAAGAACCCAGGACGATGGTCGAAATCCAGAGGACATAGGATGAAGAAGGTAGGACGGTGCAGGTGAACCCAAGCTCAGTAGGTGGGTAAAGTATCAGAGAGCTCACCATCTAACAGGGCCTCGGAGACCTCTTCTCCTGTCACATTGAAGGCCTTCAGGAGTATTTCCATGTTCTGGGATTTCTTAGGGTCCAGCAATCTGTTCTCTTGTTTAGGCGACGGCCGAGCGCGTCCTCTGTTTCCCTCTCCTGAAGCAACGCTCGCGGAGTTGCAGAATAAGGTCTCAAACGCTTCTTCGTTCAATCTGAGGAAGGAGTGAACGATTTATGAAAGCATCAGATGCTGGAAGAGATCGAGCGGTGAAAGATGTTGATTAGAGCTACGGCGCTTACTGGAATGAGCTAGATTTGAGCTTGTCCCAGATCATTGCTCGATCAGAAGTCGTACGCACCTTGTCCCAATGGAGAGACTTTAAGCTGGGCTTCCGACTGTTACCCACGTCATCATCTCCTCGGTCACCATCCTGGGTAGAAGCCCTGGCGTCGCCATTACTCTCGGTCTCTGCAACAGGAACTAGTATGTCGTTTGGAGAAGTTGGTTTCGCCCACCTTCGCCTGGCTGATGGTCGAGCAGGAGCTGGTAAAGAAGCTGCTTCTGAAGGCGGGACGTCGCTGTGCCGATCGCCTGCTTGCCCTCCTGGCATTGGAGGCTGTGGTGGCGATGGAGATGACCTTGTTGGCAATGGAGGCGGTGGAGGAGGCCGAGGAATTGGTACGTCGGCCGGAGAAGCTGGTTTCGACCACTGACGCCGAAATGGTCGGCGAGCAGGCGCTGGTGTAGAAGGTTCTTCCGAAGATGGGACATCACAATCTGCATGTCGTGCTGGCAATGGTGGGGGTGGACGTGAGGGGCAGGGTGACAGCAGCGGCGGCGGCGGCGGAGGTGGTGGTGGCCGTGAAGGCGGTAGAAAGACACGTTTTACTTCGCACGGAGTGTAACTTGAAAGACGCTTTCCTGAGGAGGTTAACGGGGAACAAGGAGCAGACTCCACTCTGCAGTCCTCGAGCTCCTTCTGACTTTTCCGGAATGACGTGTCCCAGGGACTGTCGATCGCGATCGAAGTCGTTGATCGCCGCTGCGCGCGGAAGACTTCGGTACCAGACGAAGTAGGGTCGACTGACGGAAGGGGCTGGAGCTGTGGGCTCGGCTGCTGTTCCGTCTTCAACCTCAGGTAAGGAGAGCCATTAACTTCCATGGATCCCCTCCTGGGAGAAGGCTCAAAAGTGCCGAGGTAGAAGGGGTCGGAGGCCACGGCCGCACAGACCGCCGGAGGCGGTACATCGGAGTTGTGGTCTCCCTCTCCGGCCAACATCTTGCTCCCGTCTGGGGGGCGAGCTTTGCGCGTGTACAAGAAGAAAGCGGAGAGAGACAGAACAGCCACCGCAGCAACCGCGACGGAGACCCCGACGACGATCTTCCAGGCGGCGCCGGAGAGCCGGCGGGGGGTGTGGGACGAGGGATTGGCGGCGATGGTGGGCACCAGCTGGGAGGGCACGGTGGGGGACGATGGTTGGCCGTAGGTCGCAGGGGGAACCTGCCGGTTCTCGGGCGGAGGCGGAGTCCACTCAATCGGAAAGAGCGGCTGGTGCAGAATTCTCCGGTCGGCGGCGGCGGCGGCGGCGGAGGGCCGGACTAACAACAGAAGGTTTAGAGTCGGCACGACGACGATGACAACGACGAGGAGAGTAGACAGGGTGGTTGGGGCGATAGTCATACAACCACCTCCGCTCGTCCCCAACCCCACTCCCATCTTCGCGAGAGCTCAGAGCTGTCGCAACACGCAGAAGATCCTGGCGGTGTCAGAGGCAGCCGCCATTCTCATTCCCATCGTCTTCTTCCTCCATGGGTGGTGAAACTGCTCTCACACGCGGCATGAGAATCTGGGCAAGTAAATGACCAGTTATGGCAGATGTCTGCGGGAGGATCTACCCCAGGGGAGGTCCGGTTAGGATGTGGGCCGTCGTCGCCGTCGTCGGTGAGGAGCCGATTCCGGACATCTCGACGACCTGCGGTTGGTCGTCACGTCGGCCAGCGTGACTCAGCCGCCTCCGCATGACGACGTCCTGTCCTCCTCTCAATGCCGAGATGCCGCCTTTTCTTCTATCTCTCTCACCTCTCTGCACGCCAAGCATCTTCTGCTGACCGCTCCGGAGTTGGACGCTGGGCCCGTCGTTTTAAAGTAATATTTCCTCAATGTCGGTGGAGGGCACCTCTGTCTCTCTCTCTCTCTCTCACACACCAGCGACGTGAATGAGAAACAAAACCGACATTCAACGTCCTTCAGTGATGAGAGGGCTGCTTCGAAGGAATAAAGCGCACCGAAATGACGATGAATTTTATATACATGAAAGTGCCGGAGATTATTTCTAAGTTAACAAAGATGATGCCTCGCTGCACAACACGAAGAGCTCCGGTGGAGGTGACAGCACGTCAAGGCCCGTCCTCCTTGGGCAGAACCAAGGCGATCAGGCATTCGGAGGGATGAGGCGGGATCGACAGCTGGGAGCAAGCCTCAGAAGAGTTGGGGAGGATGAAGAGCAGCCTCGCCCACATGGAACCCCCTGCCGGGAGCTTGATCACTCCGGCGCACTCCCTCTGCTTCAAATAAGAGGTGAAGTCCCGGAGCTGCATCCACAATTTTGACAACTCCGTTAGTAATCAAGCAGCCGACCCAGTTACTGTAATAACCAGCAGTAGCTACAGTGAATGTCCCATCATACATGGAAAGTAACATCCCATTGTTGACCATGCATTCGTTTCATGAAATTGACCCAACTGGACCATTCTAAAAGTGGCCAACTCTCAGATCACAATAACCATGGCCGACCACAATCATGTGCCTAACAATATTAACTACGCCCTAAATAATCTGATTTTCCCCAGAGTCTGGCAAAGGTTTCCATGTGAATTTATCAGTCTATGGCAGATCCCTAGTATAATGGAGGAGTTAATTGGTTGGCATCAAAGGTAGATACTTGAAAGAGATGAAAAGATTCAGTCAGTGGCTTGTCCTACATGATATTCGTGGGGACAGTTGAGATTGGATGGAGCAGCAGCAGGACAGTGATATAGAAAAGAGGGTAGCTGTTTGCACGGCAGTGTGCAATGATGAAGTGGATTCTGGAGATTCTGTAATGACATAAAATATAAACTTACCTCAAGGAACTAATCAACAGCACAGGCAAATAGCTGGTAAGGCACCCAGGCATACGGGAAAGAAACTCACCAAGGTAAATAAATAAATGATACTACAGCATCTATTATGATCACTGTCAGACTGATTCTAGGCTGAAACCAGACACCCCTTTTCTGGGTGCTGGAAAATATTTATAATTTCGTTAATAAATCGGTCACACATGGAAGCCACGGATTCCCAAGCTGAATCAGAACCAGAACCCAAACCAAAAAGAACTGACCCAGTTCAGAACATGGCTTTGATTACTCGGGTTTCTTGACTTGTCAACCAGTAGATGAGGCTTTTACGAAAGATAGACAATCCACAAAGGGGGAGAGAAAGTTGCAAACAGGCTATTGTGGAGAAACTCTAACATCTTTCTGGCCTTCAAGGATGTCTTTCCTTTGTATTCATTGTATGAGGAAGAGTTAAATACCCAACTAATTTTGTTGAGCATGAAACAAAACCGATACGCTCTTCGTACACAGCAGTATGATAGGAAGAAAGACGATAGTTTTTAGGCATCAATCATTGAAAGCACTCGGCAAACAAAGTGAGCGACAAAAAGCTTCAAGCAGAACGGTATCTGAAACAACATCGAAGAAGAAAACTGCACTGATGCTCCCTGAAGGGGCCTAAAAGCAAACAATTTGGTAAGAGGGTAATATCATTCAATTTTGCATTACCAACCTTTTGGCTGAGATGCCCAGTCACTCGACCACTTTATCATATTTTGTTATATTACGAGCAAATCGACATTCAGAAATATTCCTGCTGTTGTTATTCATGTTAGGGGAAATATCCTACAACGATCTGTCAGATGTGATGAAGAGAGAACGATATGTTAGATTTCTGATAATCCAACATCCACGGAGACGCAGAGAAAACCATGGTGGAGTTGCTCAATAGCAGAGAGGAGGTACTCAGTCCAATTTAAAGAGGCTATGAGAACATAGCCGGGATACTAAAGTTACTCACAGTTGGATCAGTGAAACAGCTGGGGCGCCTATAATCTAAAAAACATACAGGGTACTCCGACAATAAATAATCAAATTCAATTTGAAATCTTTTTTCTGAAAAAACTAATCAACCATTTAATACAGAAAGAATGGACCACATATGTTAAAGGAAGTATATCATTAATATGGCGTATATATAGCGTCAAAAGGTGTTTTAATTACAATAGGAGTATAAAAAGAGAACCTTTTGTTGCATTTTAAATGTAATACCCATCCTCCCAAGCCTCCCAAAACCTAAACCCGAGCCCTTCAGGAATGGTGGATGAACAGGGTTGGGAAATACCGGCTTTCCACCTATTACAATGCCTGGCATGCCGGTTTTAGCCTTAGAATGGCCTGCGCATAGTTTAGAGACCATTCTAATTCAATTTCAGTATACACTTTCCAACTCGGCTTTTGGTTCTTAAGAAGCCCGTCGGAGTTTCGGATCAAAGAAGAGACCGGAATTCCAGCTATGAAACAAAAGCAGTCTCCATCGATTCAGACATAGTATCCAGGAGCTCAGACCAATCCAGAATTATAAGAACCTCTTGAGTCCATCTCCAGAAGTTTCCATCTTCTGACCGTCCGAAATCAGCAGAGTAACCAATTAAGACTCAGATGTTGTCGCATGATTGACATGATAGTTCCCGTAGTGATCAACCATCAAAAGATACCACGAACTCTAAGGGATCCATCAACAATCTCCTAAAAGACTCCAACCTTGATCACTGTACGATGTTACCCTCCATATAACAAATGTTTAATTCCCGATATTTTGTCCATACCTATAAGCTTCAACCTACTTTAATAAAAAAACAACCATTTTCATGAAAACAAAAGGAAACAATAGCCGGCTTAAATGTAAGATGTCTAATAAGAGTAGCACCATTCCAAAAGGAGGACTTACATAACAAAGAGTTCAACAAACGTCACTGCTAACATCAACTGAAAACTGTAGTATGCGATATGAATCTACATAGCATGATTGCGAACAAAATATGGACAGTGAAAAGAGTCGACCAAACAATTACGACATAATTCAAAGACGCATAGGGAGCATACCATTATTATCTGGTAACGCCTAAAATGGAAGCGCAAAAAACATTTCTACAAGAACAAGTACCGTGATACATGATCCATACAAAGAATCGTTTTGAAGGGATATCCATGCAAAAGTAATCTACACGCTTGAATGAAAGTGTAGAGAAAAAAGACTGCCACAGAAAATCAACAAATCGATTACATTCTAAATTGGGTAGTGAACTTACCCCTTTGACATCATTAGCGGTGGATGGCAACAACCGACATACCTCCCTCTACACAATGGTAAGAAAAATATTAGACGAAAAAATCTACATCATAACTAAGCACATTCAAAATGCTGAAGTCTAAATTCAGTAGGGGAAATAGTGTGACAACTCATAAAACAAGTATTGGTGAGTAAAAGTTGAATCGAGTCGCAAAAAGGTAATAGACAAAACATACGTACGGTGGAGACCAAACATTAGTTCAATACCCCGAGGAGGCCACATAACAGTCTAACACTCTCACCAACTCCTTTCTAAAATCCCAAAAACGAATTTGACGACACAGCTTCATGTTAAGTAGGTCTCTCAGCAAAATAGAGAAGCTTGCCATGACCTTCCAACCGTTCTATTTTTATATTTCCGCCAACTCGAATCTGGCAATGCAACACACTACCGGTAAATGGCATTACAACTGAAGTTGCCCTATATACTTTACATCAGTCCACATATGAGATTTCTCACTGGGTCTGGTATCGTTGAACCAAGTATCAAGTAAGCTCTACATTTTCTCTATCACACATCTAGGCAGGGTTATGGAGCAGATCTCATATAATTTTTCTCCACCTGTTGCACGTCACAGACTGTAGGGTCTTCCTGTAGCGACTATAATGCTATACAGCCTGATCTATGGAATCTCATTGTAATCACACAGGTTTGTTCATGGATCTACCGTAAAAGTATCATACTTCTATGATATAACGAGATATTTGTGTGATTACAATGAGATTCCATAGATCCGGCTGCATAGAATTATAGTCACTTGTATTGATATAAGCATCAGCCTCAAGTCCTGTTTATACTATCGATGGGCTTAGGTTTGCCAATCTGCCTTATACCATATGCAACGTCCACTACTGTCTCAGATCAACCTGTTGTCCAGTAGACCTGGATCTGTTGGCAGTATTTTGACATAGGACTTGCCACTTGTGAAGAGTCTATAGCATGCTAAAAGGAAATGGATTTCTAGCCTCTGGATGCACACGATGGATTCGTCCTGTTTGTAACGGCAAATAGCCACGCACTTGTGAACGAACGGCTGTATTCTGAGTTTTCTTTGCGAATGGCATCATAGCTCAGACATTATGTTTCAATAATACTATCATGACATTAAATTACATGGGATTAATTCTTGTGATATTATCATTTAAAAGATAGCTACTCCCATTTGTCAAATATTCATTTTTTTATTTCTTATAATTATTTTTCAACGTTAAAAAAAAAAAAAAAAACCAGCACCTCAACCTATTGTGTAAGCAATAAAGCAGTAGTGGTCATCTTAAAAATCCTAGCGCTATAAGGGAACATGTACAACAGGAGGTCAGTGGGATACGCATTATGGCCGATAAGAATAGGATATGCATGAACATGATTTCATAAGCATACATAAGTATACACATGTATCATGGTTTGTCTTTGATCATTCATAATTATACTGCAATTCAAATAATCAAAGTTCTGTTGAATTTATACCAAGAACAATATCCTCATGTCAAATGATTCACATTTGCATACACTTTTCTATTGACAGGGAATCAAAGCGATTCGATGAAACAGTAAATAGATAAGTCAAAATGGTAGAACTCACTTTATGGGGTTGAGTGCTTGAAAACGTCGTCATGACATGTCTAAAGGCAGTGCGCTTCGTCACATCTAATTTAGACGGCCAACTACGTCATCAAAAAAGTTCAGTTATAAAAAAGGTTCTATAGATAATGGGAATCAAATATAAAAACTATATTTGCACCGAAAAAGTGCAAAAACGAGAACTTATGTTCAACAGGTTTATCGGCATTTGTATATACATTTCAAAGTGTATACTTGCCAACAAATCTACGCCTGCCATAATGTTCTAAGCACACCAAAGCTCAATCATAGATAGACATCAAAATGTAAACAACACATGAGCAACTTGTGGTATACTTCATCCACAACCATAGCATTGGAAAGCGTACAAAATCAATCAACTCTGAAAATCCGCTATATTGACCAAGACCTTTCATCACAACAACACTTTTCCTATCAATTGATAACAAGTTTACCTTCCCAATCCGCCTAGAAAAAAAAGAGAAAAGGTTGATAAAAAATAATATCTCGTTACTAATAGCCAACAGCCTACGTAAAGAAAGCCAGCCACTCAAGTTCTCGTGCCCTATGGCTTTCTCTATTTAAAACCTCAGGATATTTACATCTGTATTGCCTAGCAGACATTTGAATTTTCACATGGAGGATATACTTCCTACCGTCAATCAATTGCAAATACAATCAAACAGGGCGAATCAATTTCGTCATAACATACATGATTTCATCATAACGTTAGTACTGAATGTAAAATCCTTACTCTGCTGGCTCAGAAATAGCACTGGAATATTTGCATTTCCCTGAGTTCTCTCTATTTGCATTAACTGTGCAGTAGTGGACCCCGCTTTTGCATAGAGCACCTTGCCACTGATAATTCGCCGAGACTTCATTGGTCTTCGCATTTGAAATTTCAGAGGATGTCTGAAAATGAGGAGGAGGAGAGCTTGGTGGAGGTGGAACAAAGGGAGGCTGAGAAATTGGTAAAGGGGGCGGGGGAGGAGGCAGAGGAGGTGGCACATCAGGAGGAGGCGGGGGCAGTAAGGAAGATAAAGGTGCACCAGTCATCTGGTCCAAGTGCTGTACTGAACCTCCTGGCAGCTGCGCTAAGGGAGTCACTGAAGGGGGTATAAAGGGAACAGTTACACAAGTATTAATATGAAGGTTATTGTTGGGATTGATGGCTGCTGGCATCTGATTCAATTGTAAAGGAGGATTAACGGTATGCGTATCCCAAGAATTGCAGGGTGTAAATAAAACAGGATGCATGAAAGATGTTGATTGAATTGGTGGTGGTGTAACTAAAGCCGCTCCAGGTATGACAGGTGGTGGGCACGATACACTGTCTGATGCTAATAGTTGATGATCATTTTCACGCTTATCATATTTCCAGCTTTGCTCCATGGCTTGGGAAATTTCATGAACCTCTGATTATAAAAATATAAAATTTTGATAAATTAAAGCAATACTGATCAGAAAGAAACAAGAAAGAGCGAAAGTAACAGTTGCACAAAGATATTCTTACCGACAAACTGTGGTTCTACCATCATATTAGTTCTAGGATCATCATCTCTTACAGCAGTTTCCATCATGTCTGGAGCCACTGTCGCTCCCCATTTGGAAAGGAAAGCATGTTCTTTTTGCTTTTGTTGCCCAACATTTTCCAGTTTTATTCTCGGTGAAACTATTTCGTTGACATTGCTATCAGGTTGATTCGGAAAAGAAGCTATATGTTGGCTCCCTGGTTTAATTTCCATATTAATTGAGCAGAATCCATCAAGAGATTGAAAACGCCCAGAAATACTTTGTGCGCCTTGAGCAATCTTCTGTTCATCGTGATAAAAACCACCAGCAGGACTTCTGCTGAGAAAAGAACATTAAAAGCTGTCACATGTAAACCAACTAAACTTTAAATAAGACGGGGAAAAACATTATTCAATTAACAATAAAGTGATGCTGCGGCATATTTCCACCAGCAAGTTTGAACTTCTGGTAAGAAAGGTTCAACTAGTAACTTTTCAGTTGCAAATCCAATATTCCTGCTGTAAACTGAAAGAAACTGCATAACTATTCTGATAGTATTCACTAAGCATATAATGTACACTTCGTGCGAACCTTAGTACCTGACAGCTAGTCAATCGCAGTAGTTATATGATGGTCATAGGGATGCTATGGTCATGTCCATTGCTTAAAGGAATTAAAATTTCACACCGATAGAAATAGATTCACTGCAATCCATTTGTCATTCCTAAAAGGGTTTTAATATTGAATAAATAACCAAACATTTATAAATTATTCCCTATGTACCCAGAAAGCAAGAATTCACGTTCTCCGTTTTTGGGTTGAGCGGGTATCCTGAAATCCAGCTATGTACAAACAAAACATAAACTTTCCGCATCACCTCTCATCAGTGAATTGCAGCCAAAACTATCTTCAGTAAGAAAAATATTTGCATTATATAAGCAATGTACATGCGAAAGTCTAAATTCTCTTAAATAATGAAAAAAAATAACGCTAGTTTCGCTTATCACAAGCCAATAATTAGGAGAACAATTTGGAAGCGGAAAATATTTTTAAAAATCGTATTTTAAGATAAATTCACAAGATTACCAATTATAAATCCTTCAGTCGGTTGATTTACTCTAGGACAAGACATTGGCCCTACCCTTTATAACCATTCTCTAACCGTCAATCGCTTTATAGATGAGCTAGCCCACGTCTTAATATGTTCATTGTGAATAAAAAATTAAAAATAGGAAAAAACAATGCATAGAACGCAAATTAAAGACAACGTATGGCTTTGGCATGCAATCAGAATAAAATTTTCTCTAGACATCATATTTGAGCGGGACTAATCATTTATACAGAACGGAAGGAGACAAAATCGAAATCTTTGAACGTTAGTAATGATGAAAGATGGCATCAATAGAACTAGACATGTGTAAAAAGCAAACCTGAATGCAACATGCAAGAAAATGCCTGGACAACTCTGAATATTCTTCAAAGCAGCAACTCCACCGTCTACACAGCTGAATTCTACAATCCAGCATGAATTGTGCACATTTGAACGTGTCAGTTTAACAACAGATCCAGCGTTTCCAGCAGCAAAGTTGCAAAAGGCCTTAAGCTCATCATCAAAAGATGGGGAGATGACATCCGGCAAACTTATACAAAGAGTATCTGATGCCACTTGATCTTCATCCTTGATGGGTGCGACATGATAATAACTTGATTGATTAATGCCATATCTTGTGCAGAGAGATGAAAATAAAGCAGACAATTGAGACATTCTACTTCTGTAGTCATTAATCAAGCTGTTATGCATGCTTGAAGTAGAAGGCGACGATACTGAACCACTGCCAACAATTTCAAAGGAACCTGATCGCATTTCAACAGATATATGCATTGAACCAAATCTCACACCATTCAGACGAGTCTTTGCCAGATCTGCAGCTTCATACGAACGAAAATCTAACAAACAAAAACCACTTTGTCGAATAAACTTCCATCCAATAAGCTCACCGAAAATGGAGAAGGCATTGATCAATTCCTCTTCAGGGAGGCATGAGTCTATGTGCCTTACGAGAAGTTGGCAAAATGAGCCATTATTGTCTTTGATACATGGACTCGAGGATAGGCTTGTGTTTCCATGTCCATGGCATCTGCTCTCTTTCCTCTTTTTCCTGATATGCTCCATTGCTAAAGCTGCTTGTTCAGCACTTGCAAATTCCAGCATTATCGCACTTTCACTAGTAAGATCAGTAACTGTGCGGGGGCCATTCAATCCTGAAGCAATTAATCCTTGGAGTAGCTCCTCTTTAGCATGCTGATTCGACACCTTTCCAACATAAACGTGACAACTATCACCAATAGCCACACCATGAATAGCTCCCCTAGCGCCTAACCCCGAATCCATAAACTTAACACGAAGAAAGGCGCCCCAAGGGGAAGAACCACCCATGAATTCACGTGCTCTGACAGCATCCATGATATTCCGGTACTCTATCAATGCAAAATCTTGGGCTTCGAAAAAATAGAAATGCTTGACAGGGCCAAAGTCTTCAAACTGCAGTCTAACTACAGTTTCGGAGGCATCATGGCCAAGTGAACTAAACCATAGTTGCTTAGAGGCTGAGTATACATCCATGGCTGAAGGATCCCCATCAGAATACCAGACTGCCTGACTAGATGGAGAGAAATGCTGCCTAGGAGATGCCAAAATATTTGCAGCACAAGACCCCATGGCAGCTGAATTAACTTCCACGTCACAGAGTGGGTTCTTTCTGTTTTCTGAGACATGCTTTACCTTCTCCAAACCATCATTGTCATCCCACGACTTCCTAGTGACTGAACTAACAAAGCTACTCGACGAGTCCTTACGCAAAAATGACTTGTTCACAGGGGATTCTTCCTTCTCTGAAGTTCCCAATTTTGCGGTCAAAACTGAACCTTCACACTTATCACTGTCACCTACTGGCAAGCTATAAGCTTCACTTGGAACCAGTGACAAGTGAGGTCGCAATGTTTTACTCAAAGCATCACGACATTCATCATTTTTTGCATGAACTCCACCAACAGGTAAGTCATTGGATTTTGAGGCAAGATCTCTAACAGATGTGTCGACAGATTTATCATGTTGGCCAGCACTTTTGTGCGTAACGTACTGGTGATTAGTGTTTTTTGACGAATCAAAATTATCCTGATTAATATCATCAACATTATCTAAGTCCTGAAATATTTCTGGTGAGGATCCAAAGACTCGCTCCAGCAATCGAGTTACCCCCGTCATTGCTTCAGAATTAAGTGAATTGCGCAACCTTTTGCACTTCACAAGTATCCACTCCCTTAAAGACGGTTCCTTGTAAATGACCTGAGTTAAAAGAACAAAATAAGTCGCAATCATCTTGACCTCCATATAAATCTGTCTCATTTCGTAATAAAGATGAAATAAACTCAAATTTCTGCTCTCTCAGTTCTCAGAGGAATAGATTTTATCCAAAGGAATAACACAGAGTTAATCAGACAGAGCGCTATGCATTCCGTTTTAATCTTTCTTTCGATTGCCCAATTAAAGCATTAACTGTCTGCACAATAACATGCAGAGAATAGACTAATAATTATTTTTATTTGCAGAGTTCAGGAAACTTATCCTTGATATTCCATTGGATCCAATCCAGTAAATAGAAAGGGCAAATTACATAAGGAAGAAGATCCATCTTTTTGACCCAGAAAACTCTCATTCCTAGATATTCTATTTTGGTCCAAAATCGACACCAAACATGTAGCCTCATTGATCAACAGAGGAAAAGGATAAAACAGATCTAAATTAGATTTGAGCCAAGAGAAAAAAATCTCATTGAAAATGAATGGCCATATTTTTTGGTCCGTGGCACATTCCAGATCATACAAATTGAGTAAAAGAACCATAGTAATCACAATCATCATAAAAACTATCAAAGCCAACAAACTCCGTTCGACAGTTTTCCATTCCAAAAAATTGTAAGCCCTATCTAGCATCAAATCATCAAGATTCTCTCAGAGATTCAAAGAGAATAAATGCTGGATCATAGGATCCGAAAACTAAACAAGGCAAGGGTAAATGTTGTCCATAATCAGATGTGAGTTGCCGATTTTGACAAAACTAAATTGACACAGAATCAGCCAGCATAAAACCAGGATTGAAGGATTCGACTCACAACCAAAAGGCAAGCGAAGTGCATCCCAAAACGATAAGTATTGCACAATCATATAACATGTTGACTGTGATGGCAACATTAAAAATCTGGCTTATTCTCATTATGGATATGAAGACTGTTCAAAATACTAAGGAGCTCTCTTAGGTGACATTCAGCCTAAGTTAAGGATTATCCAGTGCAAAATACACAGGTAATCTGCTCTTAATGATCTGATGAGATTTCTGATAGTGTGCATCCTACAAGTGAATGCTTTGCCCAAACTAAAGCATATCAATGTAGAATATATGAAACTCAGCTCATTTATGAGGTATCCACTAAATCAGAGAGGAGGATGACGACCTACTAACATGTTGAACCCCCTTGACTAAAAATGCTTACATAAACTTTTTTGAAACGTGAAAATTTTAAATAGTTCTATTCAGCATTCAACGCAACTTATGAATGAGAATACTGCAAAATCTATCATGTCAGCATCTCAGGTCGAATAACCAAACTAACAAGAAGCTCAACTAAGACATCTTGATTGCAGCACAAATACAGTGTAAGTTATTTGATTTTAAAATTAAAAATAATTTTAACTCAAGATGGAACACAGCACGAGCCAAGGAAAATTAAAGAAAATCAGGAGATATGACCCAGAAAAAATGCACAGCATCTGATTGGCAGAATACTTTCAATCAAGGCTTGTACTGGAGAAACAGACACATTAAATGCTTCTAAGAAAAACAATGAGGAATAATAACCGATAAATGCTTAGAAAGATGACGTTCCAAAGGACTCCTAAAAAGAAGGAAAACGATCATGGGTGCGCACATGGACCTTGATCCCACAGCCCAACGGTAGGAAACAGCTATTTCAAAAGTAGACAGCATATTAGGCAGCTAAAAACCCAAGGGGAAACAGGTTCTCTACATTTCTGTCTTTATCCAAGGAAAAAAAACAGAATAGGTAAATGAAATAAGTCATCAACAAATCAAATAAAGAAAACATGACAAGGAAGCTGATATGAAAGTATAATATGACAGTTGTTAAAAACTTTTGGAAAAAATCACTGAACCTCCACATTCCGTGTAAAAAAATACACATGTGACCATTCAAAAATCAAATCTACAAAGTTCGTAAGAGCCAAATCAGCTAGAAGACCGAAATTATAAATGCAGCTGATTTACCGTTTCCAAAAGACAGGCCCTCCGATTAGATAATTTATCATGAACATTGTTGGTAGCTGATACAACCCTTTCTTCATTAACTGTCTTGTCCTCCACGCTAATTTGCATTGAATCTGCGAGTGAACTTTCTTCATTACTACGCCTATTGAGTAACTGACTCACTTCAATCTCATTCAGTTGGGTTGTCACCTGATTTAGGAAGTAAAGCCCTTTATTATGTCCTCCTACATCAGTAGACCCTGAAGAAACAAGCTCAAAGCATGCTCCAAGTAAATGCTTCGGGCAGCAAAAGAGTATTTTCAGCAGACAGAGTGCCCGAAACCTAAACAACCTATCCAATGCAGGTTGGTCATCATCCTCCTTTTCTTGCCTCAACTCACAAAACAAATCCAAAGGTTCCTCAAGCCTATTGATTGCCTTGCTTCCTATCAGATAAATGTCTTGCCCCTCAAATGTGGAAGCGAAGAAACTGAGCACATTAACGAAAACTGTAGAACAGAAACCCTGAATAATAGGCGATGTTGAGGCCTCAGATGATGCTGTACAACAGATGTCAACTAGACCAAAAATACATGCTTTTACAGTCTGATAAGCAACACCATCCAAATCATCCCCTCTCATTATTATAGCCACGCTCCAGTTGTGCATGTTGATAAGAACTTTTGCTGCTGCCTCAAGAGCAGTTGGGCAGAATGATACATAATGTGGAATCAGTTCAGCTACAATGCGCTGCACACTCGTACAGCCTGTAAAGTACATGAACAACAAGAAGAACTATTATAACCAAGCAGCTGATCGAATTGCTATCTCAAAATAAAAACAAAAATTAAATTAAAATTTAAAACATTTACGAAAATAAAAGCTTCTGTACTCCCAATTTCAAAGCTAACCAAGGAGCCACCACTGAGGCTTTCGTCAGTTTTGGTATTCATCACAGTGTGAAATATACATTCGGATTTTATACAAATATTTTCTAATCCAGTTAACATATTTAAATTTATCTACCTGCACAGAAAAATATAAATACTTCAAATTCATACTTTAGAAAGGGAATAGGAAGTTTTCTTGATCCCTCATCCTTAATGGAATATCGAGATATAGAAAACATTTAGACATGCACTTGGTAGGTTATACATGTACATGTATTATTTGAGCCCCAGTTTACGCTTGAGGCTATCAAAGTATAACTGTTCCTACTAGTAACCTCAATTTCTTCAACACACGGAATAGTTGAGAGAGAAAGTTGGTGTTCTTTTGAAGAACTCTATTTATCGTTTCTTCTCCAAAGTAACCCTGCGGAGGATAATTATTCCCATTTTTAATTTTTTTTCTATAATTACGCCCCCATTCCAGGTATTTGGCTAATAGCTGAAAGTCTGGGACAGTAGCAGAACACTTTACAGAAACACCATTTTTTTTCTTTCATTCATTTTATTTTTTGTTTGGGGGAGGGGGTGAACTGGGCAAAACAAGTTGGATACAATTATTTGGATCGCAGGAAGTACAAGAAAATGAAGACATTTCAGATGGACTACATGGGAATATTTTCGTCATTTTGGAGTGAGTAGGATACTCAGCCATCTAGAGTGATTAAAAGTAATAGTTTCTATTTTTCCCCAGATACAGAGGAATTCGGCCATCTTCACCTAGAACGTCGATCAAAGATACAATCACAAAAATTTCTACTTGCACTCATTTATCTTTTGTATTTTGCCCATTCCATAACAGTATTTTTACGAAATGAGCAATCATGTACGGGAACAAACCTCGTTTCCTCTACCAAGGTATGTTAAGCTGAAGACAAACTCCTTCCAACAGAGAAAGAAAAGCGACTGTCCATTTCAATAGATAATCAGAACCCACATCTAACCAGTCAATTAGTTCAACAATTATGCATTATAAGTGACAAAAAACTTCGTCAACATCTCCCTATGCACATTTCCTCTGATTCAAGGCTTTGCACTGAAAATGGTGTTATCATGACTGGAAGATTAATTGGCAAGTTGATGAACCAGTGCCGGATGTTATTAAAAGATAAACAAACCACGAAAGGTTTACCAATGCCCTTATACTTAAGGAACAGAGAGAGAGAGAGGGAAGGAAGAAGAGACGGACCTCTTGAAGCTGTGATTAGATAGAGATATGCCTGCTCGAAATCCGGCATGAGGCGAGAGTCCTTCTGGCCAATGTAAAACCTAATCCTCTTGTAACAGTCGTGCACTTTCCTGATCTCATCCCTGTTCCTGCGCTTCCTCAAAATCTCCTCCTGAGAAAACGGAAGCGATGATGAGACGAGCTCCTGCTGCGAAGGGACCCCGGAGGCCTCCGGGGCCGTCTCGATCAGCCTCCGTTTCTTCAGAGGTTGTTCCATGGACACCATGCCAGGAGGCGCTCCAGGCGGCAGAACGCGCAACCCCACGGCAGGCCCCCGCGCCTAATTCTGACGGCGATGTAGGGACGGAGCAGTCTAAACCCCAACCACCCCCCAACCCCCACCCCCCCCCCAACTTCTCTCCTGCGCGCGCGCCAACGCGTAGGATAGCGGCACCGCCTTCCGAGCACAAGCTTGGTCCACCCGACACCCGCCACCTGGCTCGAATTTTTTTGTGCCCGCCTGGCACAGGTACCTTTCCGGAGCCCATACCAACTCTGGGCTCGAGCCCACCTAAAACTCTTAATTTTCCACGCTTGCCGATTGTCAGCCATTGGTCCTAATGGGCCAAGCTAGCCCGCCCAATCACGCCCTCTCTCTCTATTTATATAATATAATACGATATAATATTATGTACGTATTGTTGGCCCATTACGTCCTAGTGGATCCTCACCCGGTATTGGCATTTCTCTCTCTTTCTCTCCCTCTTGCCCTCTAGAGGACCGAAGGGAGTTCATCTACTGGTCCGCCGTAAAACAGACCATTTGGAATTGCTCTTCAAAGAAGAAGATCCCGGGTCGCAGGGTTCCGTGGGTCCCGAGGTCAGATTCTTTCAGCCGTCGCGGAGGCGTTCTTGAGTCCAAATCATTTCCATGGTCAAACGAATCAAACAATGGTCGGATATTCACATCGTCAAGCACATGAAGCCCCGCCGCCGGAAAGGCAACGACGGCGACAGGACGCCCTCCAAAGGAGGCCGATTTCTTGAAAAGACGAGAGGGAGAGATCTCAGCTTACACGTCCCAACCATCTTCCCGGCGACCGAACTCCGACTTCCGACCGGCCAATCTGCTGCCGTACGTCTTAGAGAACTCGATGAGGCAGTTCATCCTGGCCGGCGAAGCCCTCGCCATCCCGCGGCCTCGGCCGACGGGGGACCCAGAGAGCTCCCACGGATCCATGGCCTCAGCAGGCCGGACAAACTCCGCCGTGCTCGAGGAGCTCATGTTTGCAAAGAGAAAGTTCATGAGAATATCCTCGCAGTCGGAGAACCGGTCGACGATCTTCCTGCCGGAGATCGCTTCCTCGCTCCAGTACCTCCCCGAGGCGAGCTGGCCGTCAACGAAAGCAGCTCCTGCCAGTATCATGTTGTAACCACTCCGAGTTCGAGCAAGCTTCTCGTCCTGGATTGTCAACGGGTTCCCGTCGGCGAGGCCTGGGAAGAACCCAACGATCCTATCCGGGTACTGTCGCCACACCTTGAATCCCCGCTCCAGATCATTGCAGCCAACCATGGCGCCGAATTCGAGCTGAAGAACACCTCTGTTCTTTATCAAGGGGTCGGCTTTGAAGCGGTTGTTCAAGGAATTCTGGGCCTCCACTCTGATCCGGATGGGAACTGCGGAGTGATGGAAGTCACCCGCCGGCGGCGGCTGCCCTTTGTTCCACACAATCACGATCTCCCCCACTGACGGGCATCGCGAGTAGTGCTTCACTAATTTTCTCAGGTTCCGTGGATATGCGTCGCTGGCCATGGTCAGCAGTGTGAACTGAGAGTATTGCCCCTTCCAGGGGTACGCCTCCTCCACGCCGTTCCCTCTCCGTAGATAATACACGCCGGTGCACACTATGACGACGGCTGAGAGAAGCGCGACGCCTAGAACCAAGCGCCCCACGCAGGCTCGGACCCCCACTTTACTCTTGGATGACCAGCTCAACTTCTTCAGAAGACCCAGAAGCCCCACCAGGATGCAAGAGAGGAGAGGGAGAGCTTTTGTTGCAGCGGCGAGACCATCATCCGGCGTCCCTGACTGCGGAAGGGAGGAGCCACGGCGGAGCAGGCACTTGAGGACGCACAGGACCGCCCCAGCTAGAACTACGAGTGCAACAGCCGCTGCTATCAGGGAATAGCCGATGATGAGCCTGCGGAGGTTCTCGCCGGAAGGCACTCGATCCCCATCCATCACGGCGATCCACTCCCCTGAGGGAAGCTGCTGCGCGTCGAGCTGGTGATAGCGAGCGCCGTTCCAGGCATTCCTCCCCTTTTTGGGCTCTTCAATGCCGAGGGGCACCTCGATCTCCCGGTACTCGTCGACCGTTAGAGACAGAATCTCGAACAAACGCACTCGCCGGCCATAGGTTTCGCCGCAGTCTTGTCCAGGGCGGTATAAACTCCCGTTGTAAACGAACGGCCGGCCAGCGTTCCGAGCACCCAAGCTCTTGTCCATGTTGTGGATTGGATTCCGCCCGTGGGGCTTCCAGGGGCCGAACGGTGAGCTGCTGTACCATATCTCCAGCTGCCCGTTCTTTATAACTCCAGAACCTCTCCAGTCGGACCCGAAAAGCCAGTACATTCCCTGGTAGTTCACCATGAACGTATCTATGAGGGGCCTGTCAAGGATGACTTTCTCCAATATCCATTTCAGGGGGAAATCCACCGCCCGATAGAGACGAAGGTCCCCTTTCTTGCTGCCTTCGGGCATCAGATAAATCTGTCGAAGAAAAGAGAAGGTAAGAACGACGAAGATTAATGGAATGATCGACCGGATGAACTGGGCTGGTCGTGCCATTAAGTTGGCTGCGGAAAAAATTTATTGTCTGAATCAAGGTAGGGTTTTTACTTGGCCGCGGTAATTGAAGACGAACGGGTAAGAGAGATGCCACTCCTCATCCAGTATAATACCCAGGTGCTCCCATGTCGATCCATTGTCGCTGCTTTTAGCGACCCCGATGTCTCCTTGCATGGTGATCGAGTTTTTGGTCTCAAAGAATAAATACAGAGAGCTCCCCTGGAACAAGGAGACAAAGAGAAGACGATAGGTGAGATTTTCTAGCTGAAACGCGAACCGAAATCACCTGGAAAAACACCTCAAACACACTAGAGATAGAGAACGAAAGATTAAGATCACACGGGCGCATGTTACATCGGTGATATAGTCATAGTAAGCGTATGAGGGACTGAAGATTTATTAGTTGCTGGATGCAGTCACTGATCGGTTTCCAACCCTCAGGTTTCTTTCCATGCCGGACTCTCAGTCACCGATGAAGTAACGGACGCTTACTTGGAAAGGAAATAGAGGTTGAAGCAGATACAAGCATCATGCTCAAACATTTCAGACAGATACCAAAAGTATTCGCGCTAAAACAGAGTCACACAAGAAAAAACAATATACTTAAAATGTAGGGGATGGCAACTGACGTCGATGTAGAGAAAAGGATCGGCGATGAAGTTACTGGGAGAACCCGCGTCGGAGGTCGAGGCGCAGGTGAAGACGGGGTTCGCGACAGGGCACGCCGTGCTGCTGTTTCTCCAGATGTTCCACTGGTTCGCAATCAAGACGGAGTCAGAGAGCCCGAAAGAGTTCTCAGGAGCATCACACATGGGGAGGGGAAGAGGGAAGGAGGAGAAAGGAAGAGAGGACGCTCACCGACTCGATGGGCTTGAGGGAAAGCGGGGAATCGCCGTAGAAGACTCCGACGGACCACGAGCCTTCCCCGTCCAGGTTGCATCCCGTCGAGTTGGGATTAGAGGAGGCGTAGGAGTACCGCGGGTAGGAGTTCAGCCGGGCGAAGAGAGAGGCGACGAACGCTAGGGCGACGAGACACGAGAGGACGAACAGGAGTGCGCCGCCTGCGGAGGCGAGGAAGTGACGGTGGCGGCTCATCCCTCCCGGCAGAGGCTACCTCCCGATTTTCTCAAGACCGATTCTTCTTCCTCCTCCACAGCTCCGCCTCCTTGCGTGCTTCTCCTGAACCTACTGATGAAGTGCTGCCAAAAGCCGTGGGGCAGTTGCACCATTCCCAGAAGAACCTCCCTAGTTTTTATTCATTCTTTTTTTCCGTTGACGGCATATAAGTAAGAAAAACCAGAGGCGGTCTAGGAGGAAATCGTCTGCTCCCACGGTCAACACCGTCTCCGACCTTGCATGGGAAGTTATATTTCTTCCCAGAATCCAGATGAGAGGCGTCCTGCGACCGGAGGACCGAATGGGTCGCGCCGTCTCCGTGGACGACGGCCCGGGGCGGCGGTGTCCTCAACTTTTTCTCCGGCACGGCAGCATCCAGGAACCTCTGTTCCTCTTCCTTTCCCGGGCTTTCTTCTTCATCACCTCCCCGTGATGGATAAATTCAACGACCTTCCGTCTGTCCTACGGCGAGAGAGAGAAGACAGCCCGTTGACCCACCTATACCAGCTTTAAAAACCATGTTCACGTTATATTTTGACGAGCGCACACGCCGGTTGACACAGAATGACAGGGCCCCCTCTGGGCCAGGCGTGGATAGGAAGAATGTGTTGACCAACATATTCCGTTAAGTGGCACTCTATCTATATGTGTATAGTTAGATTTTACATAATATGTAGCTGCCACAGAGCTAGATACATTATAAATATTTTAGTCAAAAAAGTATGGATTTAATCGAACGGATCGAAAGTCAAAGCATAAAAAATAAGCTACGAAATGGTAATTATATCGGATAAATTATAATCCCGATTTGATAAAAAAAAAATAAAGGCCTTTTGAAAGATAGTACGGAAAAACCAATATCCGAGGCCAAATTAACATCTGATGGAGATCAGCTTCAACCGGAACTCGGCGCAAATCATCAGTCAAGAAAAGTCAAATGGGCAACAAGGCTGACGTTACAATGATTCCGTCCATGAGAAATCTTCGGCTTCATTGGTTATGAAGACTTCTGCGAAGTTTCCAACTGCCGACAATCTGAGCAGACCCAGAACATGGTGACAAACCAAGGGAGGCGGGTCAAAACGCTTTAACGAGGACGAAGAGGGGCCTGTCTCCTAATCTCTCTCGTCCCTGGATAATCAGAAGTCTGCATTAGTCTATATGAGTAAGGTCAAACCCTGAAGGTCGATATCTGGGTCAACGAGAAAAAAATCCGCATTAGAGATGAGTTGTTGATCCGAAGTCAACTTGAGCCTCAAACAAAATTGGTTCCACATTATAGGTAAGGCATTCATTCCACTAATGGTAATATTGAGATGTGTGTGTCACAAAATAATCCCTTGGCACAATTCCCATTAACGAGAAGTTGACCTAATGCGATATGTCAATCTGAAAAGCAGCGTGGATGTCAAAAGACATTCCTGTGTCATACTTTCTAGAAACCTTTTCGCCATTTTATTATTCTGGTCTCGGTTGTGCCTTGCGGATATAACTCCGAACCAATATCAGCACCACTAGCGGGACAGTGGTCTTGGATTTGTCTTCTGGCTCAACCATAATGACCAGGAAAGGGCTCTGATTTCCAATGCTAACATATGTTAATTCTCATGTATGACAAAGCATATCAATAAAGTGAAAACAAAAGGGGGTTTTAGAACCTTTACTTCCCAACTTCTGACCTAAGTCAACCATTTTTTGGGATGTCAATGCACATGGAAATGAGTTCTGAGATTTGGTAGAAATATAATCAGAAATTTGCTAATGGAATATTCCTTATATTTAAATGAATCAGAAAAATTATGAACAGTATATTATATGCTTTCGAGCAACCAGAAAACCTTCTACTGCAGTTCTTCACTATTGCCTTGTGAGATCAAAAGAAGTTTACTTCAGAGGATCAGGTATGAAGCCTTTCGCAACAAAGGCAAATAAAAAGGCAAGGTGCCCTCAATAGAAGCAAAAAAATTATCTTCTTGGTAATTTTAGGTTGTATTAAATTTTATATCTTCAAAATTTTCAACTGCAGAGAAGTTTTCTGAACGAAAAGTAGATATATGACCAAACATGCCGGAAAATACTTTGGAACAAAGAAGAAGACACAGAAGTGCCATGTCAGGTACCAAAACGGAGAAATTGCTACCTTAAAAAAACAAAATTCGTGATGAATTCTATTGGTTTTAATCAAGAACAATCTAAAATTTATGGCCTCGTAAATTCAGGAACATTGTGGCTGATTCACTTTGCCGAGCAATTCCTCTTCGTGACTTCATCGCACAAAAACATAATCATTATGCCTTTGAAGCTATAAGCTATAATGTTGATTTTGTGTTGCCAGTAAACTAGTACGAAAGGTAGACATCTGCAAATAGGTTTAGAAGGTTGAAAGCCTAACCTTTAGTTCGGGTAATTCAATAACACATGCACACTCAACCACGTTCACACCCACACGTTCTGCAAAAGTAGCAAGAGGAAAGGAAGATCAATGCATACCATCTATGAATAAAAGTGAACCAAAAAGGTAGTCCAGTTTCCATGTAATCTGATTAATCTAACGAACTATATCATTTGACTAAAAGCAATTAACATGGGAAATTCGAATGCTGAGACCAAAATTATCAGAGAATCTAAAATATAGGGAATTCAGCGCATATATCATGGATTAGCTAAAGGTGGAAATAAAAAAAATTGCAACCACGCCGGAAAGCAAGTCATTCAAAACGATGCATTTGATAAAAATGTGGTTTTAATGCAAGGTGTGAACAACACCCTACAACAAAAAAATACCATATTTATAGGACATAAACTGCAATATATTGTCCCTTTTCTCAGTCTTGTTGTTTTTCTCCTTTTTCTCTTCTTTCAAGCGAAACAATAAGCTTCCAAATCGTAATTGATTAAAACTTATTCCTGTCGGATTAGTCTGGAATCGATCGAGCCTATCCCAGGACAAACTTGGTCATTCTTCTACCCACGATAAGACAAGCCTGCCCTATCCCCGAGCAGAAATCAGATCGGGCCCTGCTTATTTGAATGTTGTGCCAACCAATAATTACCGTCGAAACAAGGACTAGGAAGGGGCACTTTCTAAGGAGGATACAGAAAAATACTAAAATAAGCAAATATCCATGCATCCGGAACTCGACTCCAGTGACATCTTCCCACTTGAGGAAAACTTCCTGACACATATTTCCCTTGTGGATATCAACCAGATTTCAGACCATGGAAATTGATTACCTTCAAAACGAAGCCCAATAACGAAAAACCTGGTCAACCTGGTTAGATGGTCGCCAATGTCTATCCTTGTAGAATGCACTTATCTCTATGTTTCATACTTGGAATGACTCTCAATTAAAGTGATGAGGGATAACAAAATATAGTAATCCCGATATGATGGCAAACTATACACAATTAAGAAGTTCTCTTGAAACAATGAAATTGCCAGATTTTCATTACATAATAAGATGATAGATTCAAAACTCCATCATTAAGAAATTACCAAGTAGCCTGATAGCAGCACATAAAGTTCCCCCTGTTGCAACAAGATCATCAATAATAATAGCCCGTTCTCCTTCCCGAACGGCTCCTACATGCATCTCAATTCGATCTGTTCCATATTCCAAAGAATACTCTTCTGAAATTACTTCACCTGCAAAACATTGTGTTTTCAATAGATAAGACATACATGGTCCAGGAATGTTAACTGCGAAGAGATAGATTCATATGTTCGTAAAAAAAATAATAGGCCTGGAAAGCACATCGCTGATCCCTGAAAATAGGAGACCTATCAAGGTACAGCGGACCAATGGAAAATGAATGGCAAGAAATTTCAGAATCAAGCTCTTTTCAAATTTTTTAGGCACGCAGAAGTGTGACTTTGGGTTCACTTCTGAAGCAATTCACCATAAAATAATTGGTCTTGACACAGTTGTTGGTTTACTTAAGAAAATGATCGTTGATATCTCTTCAGATAGATGGCTTGACGCTTTCAAGTTTATCTTCATCACCAAAGGGATGAAATACGCATCCTTTAGGGAGCCGATAGGCGTATTAGTTGGTCCCGTATCTTCAGTAGACATGGTAAATCAACTTTGTTTAGAGAAACAGAGCAATAGATTCACAAATTTAGAAGATTAGACACGAAATTTTATACATGGTAATTCAATTCTTCGTTTAGTTTTATAAGTGACAAGGTATTAATATGCTTTCTCGTACTGATAGGAAAATATCCGTATACGGCTCACAAGCCTAAAAATAAATGCGATATCTGTGACGCCCAATCTTCTGTAGTTATCTGCCCATGTGATGTCAATATTGAATTTTTTTTAGCTTATTCGCAGCCTTAAATGATCATTGAAAAGGCCTTCAGACCTGACATAGGTTTACAAGGTGATTGCCGATAGGTATGTCAACTCGTTAAGGCCACTTTGCCAAAGTTGTGTGAAACCTTGCCTCTTGGTTTGGAGAGTCACATATTAAGACTGCACACTGGCAACAAGTTGATACAATCATTTACATGCATGCCGCTTGTACAATCGAGAGAGGAAAACTATCAGACCTTTGTCTGTGTAGTCCTTTTAAAGAAGCATTTGGCAAAGACAATGCAGATAGGCACGAGTAACATGGTCCCGTCCAAACCCCATTTACAAGCTTCTAAGAGAGGAACGGAAGATGAGCATCGAAAATGAATAGGCATAGTAAACATTTTATATCTATCTATGATTTTTTTGAAATTATTGGATTCTCATAGGTTCCTGATCATCATGATTACGAGTGATGCTGATTTGGCTCAATATCACTCCGGTCTGCGAACTCAACATATCCGCAGGGATGTTGGGATTCACATAGGTTGAATCCTAATCTGGCCTCTCTGAATGAGATTGAGCTGCTAAACCATGAGAAAGGGTGGGTTGACTATGGCTACTGCTCAGTAATTATAATAGCACTTGTTGTTATGTAGAGAAAAAAAACTCTTTTTTTTTTCAGAAAATAACGAAGTACGATTTGAACAATTAGACTAATAATGATTTCTGTTGATGATCAGTTACGCAGCAAAATAAATAAATTTGAACGTCATGTATAAAATGAATAATGATGGGAAAAATATGCCATATTACCACGAATTTAAATATCCCACCGTCATTTAGACACGTAGAAAACTCAACCTCTGAAAGTAAGGGAGAAGTCTTTTGTTTCCAGAAGACAAATGCAGTGCACACAAGTTTCTCGTAGCAATGATAACATAGCAGGCTAGTGAGACTTACGAAGTAAATCAAACATGTAGTTTAAATACTAGAAGTTTTCTTTTGAACAATGACTAAAATCTTTATAACCCCAAAGATATTTGAACTAGCATTGTCGTCCTTTTATTTCTGAAAGAGGATAGACAGTTCAGCAATACAAAAAATACTGGAATGATTTTTTTGTCGACTAAGTCAGCTTATCTTTGTATCAACAGGCAACTATAAAACTGATTAAGAAATAGGAAACATGCAAAGAAAAAGAGATACCAGGCAACTTTTTTGGTTTTCTCATCGGGACAAACTTTGCTCCAATGGCCAGAGCAATAGGTGGGCCAAATATAAAGCCTCTTGCTTCAATTCCTGCGCAAAGTATAAACATCAAATTAACTTTACAACGGAACTAGACTAAAGTACGGTCCAGATTTAGCAGCAACTATCTCAAGCAATTCAGTGATGTGACACAGATTCTGCCAATCTTCTCTTCTAGAAATAAGACAGGCGTTTACCTTGATAATTGAAAAAAATGAAAATCACTTTAAAAACAGGAAGATGTCAACATCAGACAATCGAAAAAGAAAATAAAAAGCAAAAGCATCGATAGTTTGTGGCCAGCTGTCATGACTACAAAAAATTACGAAGATTTGAGCGCTTAGAAAATTAAAGCCAAAAGTACATGGTTCACTGCAAAACTGTGAACCATTTTTCTTTCCTTCTAAAATACCCACTTTCTTAGTCAACTTTACTTTAACTTATGTAGTTTTAAAAAAATAGATTTATCTTTTGTCCATTTCTTTTTCAACTAGTTGTCAAATGATGTCATAGTAGGCACGGTACCAGTGATCTTAATTTTCCACAAAAATACAGACCAAAACCATGAAACTAATCTACAAGCATTTTCTAAAATCCAGCATCAATGCTGTCTGAGTCCTATGAATTTTATGTGCAGTTTAGTTCTGGTAACTAATCTTTGGGAACATTGAAAACTGGCTCAAAATCGAGGACTGAGGAACAACTGATTCTGATTTAAATACCAATTTTTATCTATCGTTCCAAAAACGGAGGAAGGATGGCCGTCCGCGCACCAACAATGGAAGGAGAAGAGGAAGAAATACAAGCTTTACAGAACATGCTGGTAGAAAGATGAAGAGAATGAAGCAAGAAGGGGATAACAAATTGTGATTTTTTTTTTTACAATCTTCCGCCATATAGTTTATCTGCCCCTTTTGTATTATGTCCATCTGAACTCGCCCCCCTCCCCGCCCCCAAAGACTGATATTGACCGATCTAATATGATCCGCTTCAGAATTATTACCGTTAATTCCAGGACAGTTACATTGGGCTCTACATGGTCTGGCGGGGCTCGACATGTGGTGAATAAATCTAGATTTCCGCATTGAGGAGGCCAAACCGCCGCATGGCTGTAATCTTTTCATCTAATTTTAGTTCTCATCTTTTCCGAGTGAACTCTGGACGCAGAAGCTCTAGCCTTGACCAAAAAACCTTAAATTAAAGTCGTCAATTCAGACAGTAAATTTGATGAACAACATTTGTTAGCATTTGTTCCTCTCTCGTCTCCATTATTCAAAAATTCGTCGTCAGAAGAAACGAAAAAAAGGGACACAAGAGCTCAAACAATGACTTGTCTAACGCTTGAGAACAAACCAAAAAAAGATGAAACGTAATCCCGGGAAGCTATTACCAGCGACTACTGAGATATTCATGTCCTTATATCTCTCGACAAACATATCGATAGTGTCCTTAAATGCCTTAGGGTCGAGCAGCAGGGTTGTAATATCCTGGAACATTATCCCTGCAACAACAAAAAAAATGTTCAGGAACAGAATCATCACCTCTTAACGTTCCCCTAAAAGAGCGAGTTCGGGGGGAGGGAGGGAATCGGACATCGAATGTTGCGAAAGCCAAACAGGGAGGGAGACTACGCAGCCGGAACGGATTACCAGGCTTGGGAAAATTGGGAATCACACGAATCGCCTCCGCGATCCGAGCCAGCCTGAGATCATCCCCGCCGACCTGAAAAGCCATGACTGCGGCGACTACTGTAGGTCGGTGAGAGGTGATGACGGCAGAAGGGAATTGGAGAGGAGTAGAGCACGCCGATAATCTCGCGCAGAAGGACGGGGGCAAAGAGTGAGCCGAGACGGCTGTGGTCCAATTCTTCAGCGAGGGAGCGCCACACGAACGTAGCAGCATTGTACTCGCATGTGAATATTTGGTGCACCAGCAGGGTCTGCCTCCTTTTTCTTCCTCTGTCGCCTTCCCCATCGTTTCCTCGTATTCAATGTTGATGCGTACACATCGGTTGGCATCATCTTGTACGCTGCCACTGAGAGGTCGCCATCGGTTACTAAAGAATTTTAAGTGCTATGCAAAATTAAATGGGTCAAGTGTGCGGCAAAATCGTAGGTTCTTTAAGATTTTCTTCTGATCATTAACTAATAAACATGAAACCCCTAGGGATCTGTAAAATTATACATTTACATATTACTCAGGGCTAAAATTATAATGTTCTGCCTTTTATACCCTTTTAATTTTATATGAAGGGTTTATTGTTGCAACTTATGGGATCATTCTATCATTTCTCATTTTTTAAGTAAAGCAAAATCTTAGTACAGTTAACGCCATCTAGACACCAATTTATCATATCTAAATTTTTCCTTAGATATTAATATTTTCCAAGTAAAATTACACATTTTTCTTACTTGATCATTACGTATGCTCGAGCTTTTTAAAGTCATCTTAGTATTTGATCTCCATAGTCTACATTGTGATCTTCCGAACAATCAGCGATCGCATGCTAAAAATTTGTTAGGCATCCAACTGATACCCATCCAAGGTCAATTGATAATATTTCAGGATCATGTTATGGGTCATCATTTCAACAATAATTCAAAATTTTGTTGTTTATTTATTTTGGTGATATTTTAATCTTGTTCGTCATGGTGATTGGATAGTGCAAGTTAAAACTATATTTGAAGTGATCCTTGAAATATTGCTTAGTAGATATAGTAGATATTGGTAAATATGAATGTTTGAAAGATTGTAAATGCTTAAAATATAAACCAAAATAGCAAATATCAAAGGACAACAAGGTGCTAACTTATATGATAGAACATTGTGCTAACTTAGTGAATCCATTGATACGCGAGGACTAGGCTAGGGAACAAAGCTAAAAGAAATTTTACAATCATGTTGCCACATCATGATTTATGGAAGCTTAAATTAGATATGTTTATTATTTATTTATCTGTAGGCAGGTTGGGGCGCTAAGTTGAGAAAACATTTTATACAAAAAAATAACCCTACATAAATACATCAAGCGTGTCTATGAGCTAAGTTGTGCTAGTTAGGTGTATGGGTTTGACGTTGTGAAAAACATTGGATTCGTACTTTCGAGTGAAAATCTTTCATAAACATCAATATAATAAAAAAGTTCCACATTAAGAAAGTATTACCTAATCAAGAAATGATGCATACGAAGCCGTGTAGATGTGAAGAAAGTTCAAATCGACTATAAATGTTGATGGGTTAGGTAAGCATGGTGTCTTCGACTGCCTAGTTGGATTGTTCTAGGATAAGGCCTTCAAAAGTAAGTTATTAGGTATAGATAAGTACTCACAAATCCCAAAGTCTAAAGTTTGTGTCCTTTATCGTCATTTCCCTCCTCACGTCTCTCTCTCTCTCTCTCTCGCTAGAGCCCCAGGATTTTTATTTTTTTTGAGAAAACTAACAAAGATGATAAATTATATTATGTACTGATCTACAAATTCACGGGTGCGAGTGCAATTCACATTCGAGCAGTCGGTTTTGGCTTTTCTTGCGATTCTCAGTTCTAATTGTCAACGCCGGCTAGTCTCACGGCATATCGGAAAAAAAGAACCATCCCCTGGTCATGGTAATAGCAAATCGGTAGCGTGATGAGGTACGACGTCAACGGCGAGAAGTATTCGTGCGTCGCAATACATTTTTTTTTTATAAAACGAGTACTAAAGTCTTCGACGTTCCCTCAAGATGAACGATACCGGAGGGTTGGAGCACGTAGGCTCGCCAGACATCCTCTCGTAATCAGAAACCTTTTTTCCCCCAACCTGATCCCTATGTGAAAATGTGGGAAATTGTACGAACCTAACGAGAGTGAGAGAGAGAGAGAGAGAGACCTCTGCTGAACCAAACGCACCTCGCCAGTAGTTTCCAGGGTCCACGTCATCTTCAAAAATAGCGGCAAATATCTGCGGCCACCGAGGGCAAGTCATCTCTTTGCGAGTGTGCTCGCCGGCGTGGCGGTGTGCTCGCTGGGCCCCGACGCCGACGGCCGAGGTCGGCCTGGCCTGGAACCAGCTCACCCTCCCCGTCCGGGCCTGGTCGGCCTACCCGCCACCGTCGGAAACCACGGCCGCCTCCGTATGTACGCAACGTCGCCTTCACACCGTCTTCTCCGCCAGCGTCGGATTAGCTAAGCAGTGAGATCATCGACGGTCGTCTCACTCCCTCGAGCCACACTCTCCCCAACCAGCCCATTCAATGAATACCCTCCCCCAAGGGACGCCCGTCACAGACAAGAAGACGAAGTCATCACTAAGCACCACCGATCGAGCTCCCCCGCCACCAACGCCTCATCAGAAATGGGGCGCTCCGGGCGCGGACGGTTGGTTAGTTGGTGGGTCCAACTGTTCCCCTTCCTCTGCAGACCACGATTCGGTGAGCTCTACGCTGGTTCCAGGCAGCAGCGTGATCCGAGCTAGACGAGATAGACCCAAAGAGACGCCCCCTTCCACGGCTTCGCCGGCAGGTCAAGTTCAGTGAACCGGCCGGTCGCCTCTGATTACCCCCAGCGAGATCTTATCCACCAGGTGGGCAGATGCTGGGAGTCTAATACATCGCGCGGTCAGAGATGACGTTCTGTTCTGGATAAAGATCGGAAGAAGCTAGGGACTCTCTGTGCACTCGCCACCTGTCACGCCAACCACGCGGCAGAACGAGGATCAGAGAGGAAACCAGGCCCCGGTGGCTCGTGGGGGCGGAGCGCAGCCACACGTGAGGAGCTACTGAGCAGTCAAAGCGCCGTGTGTGCCATCCTCCTCTCTCCCACCACTCCACCACGACGTGAGACAGGGAGGCCCACACAAACTAATTTTAGCGGTATTAGTGCGACCGCTACCATTCCCCGCCTAAACCGCCGCCTCTGGATTCCAAGAAGCCCGAGCTCCACCGGAAGGCCGCCCTTCTCCGTGGTTTCTCTCCCGTATCTAAATTGACCAGTTTACAATCTCTCTCTCTCTTGGTTTTGACGCAGCCCTCCCCACGCCGCCGACCCAGTCCTCCGACTCACCATAAATATGGGGCACTCTCCCGTCACTCTAGAAACCATCTCGGACTTCCGAGAAGAGACTCTCTCACTCGCTACCCTCGCCCATTCTTCTGCGTCCTCAGTCCCTCCTGCAAGCAGCACCCCCGCTAATCTCTGTTTTCTTGATGGCCCTCGACGCCGTAGACACCGCCGCGATGCCACCGGCGAAGGTGGAGGAGGAGATGGAAGCGCACCGCCCGGGGGGGTGGGCGAAGAGGAAGCGGTCCCGGCGGAACCGCTTCTTCGACCACCCGCCCACCGAGGAGGAGTACCTCGCGCTCTGTCTCGTCATGCTCGCGCGAGGGGAGACCGCTCGCCAGCGCCTCCGCTCTCCCTCGCCTTCCCGTGCCGCTCCTGAGCTCTCCCATAAGTGCTCGGTCTGCGGAAAAGGTTTTCCTTCCTATCAGGCCCTCGGTGGGCACAAAGCCAGCCACCGGAAGCTCGTTACTGGCCCTGACGATGCCACCACCGGATCTGCCTCGTCGGCCGCCGCCGCTACCGCAGCTACCGCCCCCGCCGGCGGAAGAACACACCAGTGCTCCATATGCCTGAAGACCTTCCCCTCCGGGCAGGCTCTGGGGGGCCACAAGAGGTGCCACTACGACGGAGGCGCCAGCGCCAGCGCCAACGCCCCCGCGGCTTCCTCCGAGGGAACGAGCTCGAGCGTCCGGAACTTCGACTTGAACCTGCCTGCCCCGATTGACCAGCGCCAACGCCCCCGCGGCTTCCTCTGAGGGGACGAGCTCGAGCGTCCGGAACTTCGACTTGAACCTGCCTGCCCCGATTGACTTGGTTTTCGACGCCGCCGCCGCCGCCGCGAGGAGATGCGTGGCCGCGGACGAGGACGAGGTCCAGAGTCCGTTCGCCCTCAAGAAGCCGCGTTTCCTGATCCCAGCCTAGTAGCAACCTTCGCCCCAGCTTCCGATTCTTCGAGCGGCGAACGGCCTGGACCGGCATCGGATTCTTTTTGTACAGGGAAACGGCATCGTTCTTTGCACAACCATGTTATTCTTTTCCTCTTCTCTAAAATTCTATGGTCTCAGCATCTCCACAATTCAGCTCTCCAATCGATTATCCACATTCATTTCGCTCCAATCTTGTTCGTCAGTTCACCGATCTAGACCCTTGCTGATGATCCATATCGCCGGCGACTGGGAAAGTCGTGGAAGCATAACCAAGCGGAAGCCGTCATCCTCGGAGAGGACGAGCCCCCCCCCAAAAGATTCCGTCAACCACGCCGCCTACACACATTCACCTCGAATCCATCTCGACGCGTTGAACTCGTGGCATTCAGTGTCAGCAGTCTCTAGAGTGGTGGCACGTATCTCTCTCTCTCTCTCTCTCTCTCTCTCTCGCTAACGGCGATCGGAACGGGTAGATGACCCGCCACCGAACGAATGTCTAATTAATTAGTCAGGGAGTTGAATCTCGCTAGCGGTTGCGTAACGCGGCACGCTCGAGCGGTCCGCGCCAGCCCACCCATCTGCTCCGGGTCCTCGGTCATCATCCACCGGACATAACGACGGGCCACCCCGCTAATTAAGATGCCCACCTGCCGACGCTGTCGCCGGCGCCTCGCCTAAGCAAAAGGGCACCTCCCCGGTAAACCCCCTCCGTTGACCCCAACCCGGGATTTACCTGGTCTTCGGCGGCCTAAAGACTGGAGGAAGAAGACAGCGAGCCGCCCCCGTCTAGAAACTCCTCCTCCCGTTCCTTCTTGAAAGTTCCCGTGTTGACGACGTCGCCGCCCAGTTTCCTGGCGCTCGAGCTCCGGTCAAACTGGAGGGGGGTTTGCCGGAACAGCCTTCCCTGTTGACTTTGAGGGTGGGGTTCTCCTACTGGAGCCAGCTGCCGTGGCTGATCAGCAGCGAGTGCCCCCCACGCAATCGACTTCTCCAGCCGCTGCTGCCCGTGTGGAGCGATGAATACGACGGATGAAGGCCCTCCGAGGAGTAGGAAGCGGCGACCCGCGACATTCAAACGGCGCAGGGCCGAGGTTAATGCACCGGATAAGAACACCGACGCTTAAGAGGAGCGACGATCTGATCTAGCTCGAGTAAAAAGCTACAACTTTCTCATTTATCTTTGATATTTTGGTCAACTACATGCCATAATTGGCACCTTTTGGCTCGTGGCCCTGGGGGCGGGGGGGAAGAGACTAACCAGGGGCAGCTAAGATCTTGGGCGGTCGCCGGTTTGAGTGTACACTGTTTCTTTTTAACAACCAAAGTTTTGGTAGTCAAGCGGATAGAGCCGCAGAAGTCAACACCGGGGAGCCTTAACTGAAAGTAATTAGTTCACTAAACCTGAATAGACATTGATGGCTGATCATGGAGGAGGGGTGGAGAGGGCGGGAGGGTATGGAGATGGCAGGTGGCGCTTCCAAGCTGGGAGCGGGTGGAGATTCGAAGAGTCGAGGGGACGACCTCCATCGGCGTGGAAAACGTCAACGGCATTCATTGGGGCACAAAATGACGTAGGTAGAGTCGCTCCGCCGGCAAGAAACCCTCTGCCCTTACCGACCTTCCAACTCCCCCACCTTCCCTTGCGCCGAAAGCTTGGTGTTGCCCTTATCAGACCCAGCTAAGCAACGCGCATGTGGATGCCCGCCGTTGACAAAAATAGTGCTGTCATCTCCAAGTCAAACCCTTCCAGTCCCTAGAAAGATATCGGTTCCGTTGAAGGTTCTTCAGTAGTTGGCTCTACTCTCGGAGGCAGCCTCTGATCGTCTGGTGCGGGTATGGCCTCGAGAGGGGATCCCGGCTCTTGTTCGAAATGGGGAATAATTCGATCTTCGCGGGTCTTCATCTGGGCCCACGCGGACTTCAATAGGATCCAGGGATCCAGTCAGTGTACTAGTGGGCAAGAAAATCCCAAAGTCAACCAAAATTTAAAATTCTATACGCGTAGTTTTTTTTGTGTGATATGCAACTAGGATTTATTTATGTATTTCAAAATACGTATTATTGATGGAAATAGACCCGTCGGGTTGGGGTCAACGCACAGTCGACCGGTTGCTTGAGATTGAGATCCAGAGGGCATAATTGCCATACAAAAGTGGAATTGAGGCTGATAGTAGGCACTTTCCCATTCAAAGTTCCTGGGCTGGGGCAATTCAACCCACATTTGGGAAACTAGATTGTCTGGCCCAATTCCAATCCCAGCCCACTTTTACCCGGTTTGGCACCGCATTTTCTGAACGCCCTTCCTTCCATTACAGTGGACGCTTGACCGTGAGACTCGGGAACGAGTCAACATAACGATCGGCGTGCCCTCGTAGGGCACCAGTGAATTCCTCCTCCTCACCGCCCACTGTACAATCCTAGTGATGTGAACCTCTCTCTCTCTCTCTCTCTCTCTCTCTAACGAAGACCCACCGGGGCCAAATGGCGAAGATGCGAGTCAATCGATGAGAAGAAACGTATAAGAGGCGCTCATGATACGCCGGCATTCGGGTTGCAAGAAGTGGGTTTTGTGGTTCGTATGTGATATTGTGAGCTTACTTTGCCGGTACATGACAGAGTTCCAAGAAAATTAATTTTATTCACAACTATATGACGATATGATACTTACATCACCTACACTGAAAGATTGAACGAGAAAGGTTCATCGTATCGACCTGCTGTCATCGTATCGACAAGGGATACGTCGATGTAATCACGAAGTACAGTCCGTGCGATCATCCTGCTGTCAATGATTGCCATAAGCCGGGCCGCCAGGTTGGCCCAGTTGCACCTCGCGCCCACCACCGCGGCGGCAGGCATGCCAAAGGCGGCGACACACCCGGCGCTAGTGCTGTAGCAGAAGCCCAGCCGCGCAGAGCCCCGACAGCGGCTCGGGAGGTCCCGTTGGAAGGAGCTTTCACGGCACGGTACGCAACTCGCCTGGCAGGAGCAGCGATTGAGCTTATCTTAATCGGCCTGCCTGGCAGAAGCAGACGACTACTTGATCAGAACATTCAGCGATCAATTAAGACGACGAGCGCGGAACCTATGACGTTATCGTCCACGGCGCCGCACTGCGCTGGCAGGATCTTCTGACGGGATTAAAGAATAATCGACGCCTGTGATACTAGCTTGCTTTCATGGGCTGGAGCGCCGGCGTGCAAGCTTCCTGAAGGATTGGAGAGTCAGGCCAGCTGGGATCAGTGACGCAGAGGGAACACGGCCAGAGAGGCCGCAGAGGCCAGGTGTGGGGAGGATGCACATTTGATTTAATCCGGCCATTATTGCTGCTTGCTGTCCACCAGATAGCTTGACGAAGCAACGGGGTGTACAGACACAGAAGCGGCGGGGGACTATGCCGACGAATGGTTCGTCTATTAGCGAGACGTGGATCTGTTATGGCATCAATCGGTGGGAACGATCATCGATGTTTAAATAAATGGGAGGAATATTTCGGCGTGGTGCTGACACGAGGATCCTGTAGAGTGGCTCTGGACGAACGTGGTTCATTCTATTTACCCGGATAATCTACTTAAAAGGGATATCATTTTTTTCTCTCCTCATATCTTTGTCGTCCCAGGCTTTCCTGCAAGGATTCCACTTGCCTTAGATTTCATCGCAGCACTAATGGATCTACGGATTTATCTTGCACGACCAAGTTACAGGCCAAGAATTGTCCAAAGAAAACTCATTGTGTTGCCGACGACTCACTATACGCCCCATCGGGCTCAGTTTCGGCTTCTGTTGTCTGCTTCAGCAATGTCTACGGAATGTAAAGTAAATACACGGACTTCCAGTGTGCCGTAGGTATCAGTCACTTCGACTATGAGCACAGGCAACCCACTCCCGTCTCCTCTCAACTTGTGGGCGAGCGGTGGATGGATCCAATCAAGGCCCCTTGCGACGAGAATCCGGCGCCCATTCCCACCACCGCCCACTGATTCCATTATTTTTCTTAAAGTAAACGTCTTTTCACGAGATGTAAATCTACTTGTTCGATTGAAAACTCTCCCCGCAAAAAGCCAGATGCCCGGCTGCTGATCGCAACCCGTTAGCTATTCCGAAAACTCCATACTTTTGGACGCTTGTCGGAACGGCCACTTGCGCACCTTGGAGTCTCCAGGTAGGGAATTGATGGGAGGATAGCCTTTCGTGGGTAGCCATTTGTTCTAATGTCTCCATGGGCGTCAACCCTGGGAAGTCTAGCAGGGAGATACCTCATCAACGAGATTGCATTATCTACAAAAAAAGGTAGAAAACACGATGGGAACATAGCCGTAATACCAAAAAGAATTGAATAATGGAGACGCATTTCGCTGATACTCACCAAAGCAGTGAACGGGCCAATGGGACGGCTTCCGTTCCCGACGGGTCATATCATGGCGGCAGACGGCGGGGCCATGAGTGAGCAGTGCCCCGACGGCGAGGTCAGGCCGGGGCAAGCCTCCTTTTTCCTTGAGTGGGCGTGCGCGCCACCCTTGGCCCGGTGGTCCTGCTCGCGTGGGCGCGCCACTCCCTTGAAGTCCCCCCCCCCCCGGAGGTGCCCGGCGAAACTGCAGCACAAGGCGACGCCCCACATCAGGCCAGAAGCGGCGGGGTAGGGCGGCCGTGGCGCGGAGCGCTTTCACGCAGACTCTGGTTGTTAAGCGACCACGACGTCGGCGAGAGACGCTGGGGAAAGGAAGCCAAAGCCTTCTCTCCATCGTGGTCCTCCTCCGGCCTCGGACTTATGTATGGACTCTTCGCGGGATGCCGATGCTGATCTTCGCTGGTCGAAAACAAACAAGGGTGAAGAAGAAAAAGGGCGAGGAGATGAGGATCTCGGCTGAAAGATCCGCGGGCTTACATGAGGGCACACGAATGCAGGGGGGGGGGCCTCTGGTCAACCCATGCGTCAGGAGCCGTTCAGCTAACGGATGTGGTCTCAGTCAGATCTTATCATGGTCCGCTAGATTCGAGCTTTTGACCACGTGGTTTTCTTGGTTGGTACCCCCGGACCGCACGGTAATAGGACAACGGGGGTGCGGGTCCATGGCCGATGATTGCGATTACGTGATGAGGGGAAGATGAAAAGGAAGAAGAAGAAACATTACAGAACAGTGAAGTAATAGAGGTGTAGTAAGTAGCACGGGAGGACAGAGCCGACGTCACTCTGGGCCATCTCCCCCCCGAGGTTTACTCTCTTGATCTGAACTGCCTAGATAGCATTCTGGATACAATTCTAGTCGAATTTTGTAAACGCTGGTTACATTTTACCTGCGGAAGTATCCAAAACGTTGACTAGCAGAGTATGAGGCCTACCAATTCATTAATTGAACGGCAGAGGGTCCATCAGTCGACGGGTACAAGCTCAACAATAGTGCTTCAATTCAGCCACTGGGCTCCTGGACACCTGGACCAGCAAGCTGTTCACAGCTGCTCCCCTGGACCTCCCCTGGAGCGTGCCTTTGACTGTTCGTCCGGGTCATCCTGTTTTAGTTTCTCTTATCCTGGGCAAACTCGACGTCTCTTCTGTTAAATCAGAGGTAAGATATTACTGACGACGTGGGTTGAGAAAATTTTCCTTATTTTGGCGGAAAATGAGGTTTTCCCCCAGTGAAATGCTCGAAGAGTGGGGGAGAAAAGGGGGGAGCTTGGCCGTATAGAGTTGCGTGTTCATTCAGAAGACAGCCGGCTGATTAAATGTAGTCGAAGTACGCACGAGGGGGGTCATGGTTCCCAGTCGTCTTCCGCTCAGAGAAAGCTTGATGGATATGCCTCAACTGCCCCCCATCACGCGATACCCTCTCTCTCATCAGCTCATGGGCTGCATCGGTTCTTCGTCTTCGTGGGGTCGCACTGAGAATAGCTTCCTCTTCTTAACAGCGGTGGACCCTCGGAACTGGAATTGTTCGGGTCGAGTACTGTGCCTGGAAGGTCGTCCCATCAGGCGACCGAATAGGTCCGCAGGGGCAGTGTGGGGTCTTCCGGCTGTCGACCGCCTTCTTGATCGATTACAGGCGGCTATTTAAGACGGCCGACCACCGACGAGTCTCAGTATTTACATAGGACGGTGTTCGACCATTCTACGACCCCTTCTTCTCACCCTTCGTATTCACGTATTTTTTTCTCTGCGGCCGCAGAAAGGACGGCCATTCAAAGTCCTGCTCGAGTGCTCATGATTCGTCTAGAACGGCGAGAAGGCCTACTCCGCCGGTAATAGAGAGAGTAGGAACAGCCCTTCCGCCCCCTCGCCGCTATTATCTCCCTACACTCTTCTCCAGAAGAAAAGAGGAGGGCTTGACATTCTTTATTGACCAGGGCCGCCCTGCGGGACCCTATGGTGGATGGAGCAAACACAAAAGGGAGCGGCGGAAGGAAGGTGTCTGGGGACTGAAGTACAAGGGGTGAGACAGCGGCGGTCGGAAAAGCCGGGATTTTACGGTGGCCGCCAGCAGTGAATATTCAGAAGTGCGGAGGAAAAGTGTGCGAGGGCAGTAGCAGCCGAGGTTGTGCGGATGTGCAGCATCGCAGATAAAGAGAGAGCCAGAGGGTGGCGCCAGTGAACAGAAGCGACGGCCCGCGAAAGAGACCGGCTTCAGTGTCGACGGTTTTGCGTGAGCTTCTGCAACGTCCGGAAAGTGAGAGGGAGGCAGAAAAACAGTCCAAAGGTAAAAGTCTACGACACCATTGTTCGTTCGCTATCTCCTTCCCCTTCCTTTTTTTCCGAGGGCGCTGTGTGTGTCTGATAAAGAGGGAGAGAAGGTGTTTGGCGCCGTAGGGCTTCACTGGTCGACTGCTGCTGTGGCATCTCTATCCCTTTTCTTTGCTCTCTGGCGATGCTGTTCTCCCTGTCGTCCCTCGTGTGTTAGGGGTGGTATTTGTTGGGTGGCGCGACAGGATCTTGAATCGAGGGAAAGAGGGGAAGGGGGCAGGGGTGGGCTTTGTTGGCTCAGTGCTGTTGGCTGATCCCTGGACATTACTTTGGGAAAAGAGTAAGCATCTCGGGCCTCCCCGGTCCTCTCTCATTCACTCTTTTCCCTCCCCAGCTCTCCTTCCCATTCCCCCCCTCGTCCCCCACTTTTTTTTGCTTTACACCGAAACGTTTGATATGGTATATAGAAACGTATTTGTATTCTATTGGCGCCGTATATTAATTACGTGTTGAAGAGGTGTCGTTTGCTGCCTGCCCATTTGCATGCGACTGTCTGGTGCTCCGGTCAGCTCTCCCCTCATCCTCCCATCTTCTTCTCCTCTGTCTCTATGTTGAATGTCAGCTCTCCTTTTCCCATTCTCTCATTTCTACGCTTCTTCGAATTTTTGATTGATTTCTAATCAGATCCCGTTTTCCCTGTGGTTCTGGGTTCTGACCTGTTCTTTTGGGAGGATTATTTCAATCAGTTTTCCCTGCGGTTCCGACTTTTCAATTTTCAAGCTTGTTGCAGTTCCCCCGCGGCGTCCATCCTACTCCAGCGATTTGATTCCGTTCCACTGTGAAGCCGATTCGAACACTCCGAGCTTGCTCAAGGTGATAGGATCTATCCTTCTATTCTCGGTCATTTAATGCTTCCTTCCTCGCGAAGGCAATGATTCCTCTGACTCTTGCAGTAAATTTCTTGCTCGCAACAAGGTACCCAACTCCGGATTTTCCTGCTGTTTGCTCCAAGGCCTTGTACATTGTGCCATTCTTTTTAAGAACTTCGGACAGAATTGACGCATACAATCGCCCTCACATGATCTGTCTCGCGTTCTTTAAATCATCTCTTTAATTCCTTCCCCAGGTCAGTGTCCCTGCAATTTATTCGGTTCTTGCATTGTGGGGGTTTCACTAAGCAGGTAAAATTCGTTGTCCGGCCGTCTGGTCTCTCTGTCCTCCTTATCTCACTGTCGAAGAAAGATGCTTCCTGTCTGTTGTCTCAGTGGTCTCGCTTCGACTCACTTCGACATGCTGTTGGTTTCGCCCTTCTTTTTTGCAGATGTCTCGGAGGAACACAGGATTATTCTAGGGTTTGGGATTTCTGTGGCCCTTGCTTCCCCATAGCTTCATATTTGGAGGAATCGTAAGAACCAAGCGACGGCGGTTATAATACCAAACAGAAGCAAACGAAGCAAGGCTCGGTGGTGTCAATTTAGTGCTCTGCAGTTGTCCTCTCTCTCTCTCTCTCTCTCTCTCTCTCTCTCTCTCTCTCAGTTGTTAACCTCAGAGTGGAGCTTCGTCCTTTCTTTCTTCCGATTTGTCGACCGGTCTTGTAGCCGCACACTTCTATCATTCTCTTGCCACCCAAGCAGCTGAAGAGATACCGACGCTCACCAAACCCTGTGACGCATCCCTCTTCCCTGTGTAATTTCCTAAGATAGCGGTCCTGGGTCCTAGCGGAGAAAGTTCCTCTTCCCCCTCCTCTTCGTGGGTTGTTCGTTCAATCTCCCTGGAGTTGGCTGAATAGTAGTCGTCCCTGTTGGTGGTCGCTATGGGCCGAGGAAGGGAGAAGGTTTAGCAGAGGCCTTGATTCCTGGTAGAAGGCGGAAGGCGAAGGCAGATTTTCCAACAAGATGAAGTTTATGAAACTTGGATCGAAGCCGGACTACTTCCAGGCTGACGGGAACGACGTCCGGTAAGCTCCGGAATAGATTCCGATTTTCCGGGCTCTCTGCTTTTAATGTCTCGATTTTTATGTTTCCGATCTTCTTATATGAATGAAATACCGGGTATTTTCCGAGGATCCCGCGGTGATCGGTAAGGATTTTTCTTTTCAATCGTTTTACATCGCCCACATTGAGGTCTTCTCGTGCTCTGATCCTCGCTTTGACCCTCTGTATCCTGAAATCGAAAGGGTTTCAGAGCTGTCGGGAAGCGATGTGGATTCAGAGCTTCTTCGGGATGATTTACTCGCCATTCATGTCCGACATTCTAATATTTGGTAGAATTTTTTGAAGATTTTGGGTTGAGATTACGTATCATATTGTTGCCCTGAAGTGGACATCTCCTAGAATGGTGTTGACGTAGTAGCGTTGAATGGAATGCAGAACGCTCTTCTGGTACTCGCTAGCTTTTGTCACGCTCTCTTATTCGCTACTCGATCATTTCAGATTCGTGGCGACTGAGCTACCAAGCGACATCACTATTTGCGTGGGAGATGTGAAGTTTTATCTGCACAAGGTACTTGCAATTCTTTGCCTACGTGGAAAGAATGATCATCCCCGACTGAGAAAACTTCGAACTCATATCCATCTCATCATCGCCCTGTTTCCCTGTTTCTTTTTTCCACCGTTTTAATGGTGGGAGATTAACGAAAACCTAGCGACCTAAATGACCCACATTCAGTCATTTGGATGATTACTTTGCCCCGCAAGAGACGATGACTCGCCATCTGGTCGACCGATAATGCAGTTCCCCCTTCTATCGAAGAGCGCCCTTCTGCAGAGGCTGGTCGCGCTCCCCAACGACGAGGAGGACGACGAGATACGGATCCCGGATATTCCTGGCGGCCCCGTCGCCTTTGAGATATGCGCGAAGTTTTGCTACGGCATGGCGGTCACGCTCAATGCCTACAACGTGGTTGCTGCCCGTTGTGCTGCGCAATATCTAGAAATGCTCGAGACAGTGGAGAAGGGAAATCTGATCTACAAGATAGATGTGTTTCTCAGCTCCAGTGTCTTCCGAGGCTGGAAGGACTCGATCATTGTTCTTCAGACGGCCAAGTCCTCGCTCCCCTGGTCCGAGGACTTGAAGCTGATCAGCCATTGCACAGACTCTCTTGCTTCCAAGATCTGCATGGATACCAGTAAGGTCGAATGGTCGTACTCCTACAACAGAGGAAGACTCCCCTCGGAGAAGGGTCATGAGCAGGATTGGAATGGGGTTAGGAAGCCACAAACCGTGCCGAAGGACTGGTGGGTGGAGGACCTGTGTGATCTGGATATGGATTCCTTTAAGCGAGTCATCACAGTCGTAAAATCCAGGGGGAGGATCTCTGGCGACGTGATAGGAGAAGCTCTGAAGGCGTACACATACCGAAGGGTTGCGGGTTTCAGCAAGGGTGCCGTGCATAGTGGCTCTGCCTTGAAGAATCGGTCGCTCGTGGAGACTATCGTCTGGATGTTGCCCACAGAGAAAGCTTCAATTTCATGTAGTTTTCAGTTCAAGCTACTGAGAGCTGCGAGGTTGCTGGACTGTGGTGAGATGTGCAGGAAGGAACTGGTCAAGAGAGTCGGTCGCCAGTTGGAAGAGGCCTCCGTCTCAGATCTTTTAATGCTCAGGGAGCAAGAGGACGATCGCGTACATGACGTCGACCTGGTGCTGAATGTCGTGGAGGAGTTCCTGATGCAGGAGGACGAGGGCGTACCAACCTGTCCGTCTTCTAATGACGAGCTCCGGGAGACTACGAAGACTGAGTCTGTTTCGAGCGCCTCAATACTCTCCGTCGCGAAGCTGCTGGATGGTTACCTCGCCGAAGTAGCGAGAGATCCCAAGCTTTCGCTTTCAAAGTTTATCGATCTGGCTGAGATGATATCTGGTGATTCAAGGCCCGTTCATGACGGGCTTTATCGTGCGGTCGACATGTATCTCAAGGTAAACCCTAAAAAGACAAAGCCTCCCTCGCTTCCTTCCCTGCACCCTTTTGGTCTGTCGATCATCCTGTTTCCCTCATATTCGCTGTGTACCTGTCCAGGAGCATCCGGGTTTGACGAAGAGCGAGAAACGAAGGTTGTGCAGTCTAATGGACTGCAGGAAACTGTCGGTGGACGCATGCATACATGCCGTCCAGAACGAACGCCTGCCCCTACGGGTCGTCGTCCAAGTTCTCTTCTTTGAGCAGGTGAGGGCCGCCGCTGCGGCTGGCGGGGCTGCCGGTGGCGGCGCTCTAACTCTTCCCGCAGCCGTCAGATCTTTGCTTCCGCGGGAGAATTGCGGTTCCCACAGCAGCTCCATGTCGGGAGCGACCACAAACACCGTAGAGGACTGGGATACGGAGGAGCTGAAGTCGATCAAGCCCGTGAGGTTGGTCAATGAGGGAAGCCTAAGGAGTAGTAGCGGCAGCGGAGAAGTTCAGAAGCACGGGGGGGATCGGCGTAGCCACAGAAGTAAAGGGATTCCGATGGCGAAGGGGATTCTCGGCAAGCTTTTGTCGGGGAAACATCAGGGCGGTGAGAACAGCAGCTCGGATACATCGGGTAGCCCTGGTTCTACCAACTTGGAGGGGCAGAAGTCAACGCCCTCGAGAAATGCTAGGCACTCTGTCTCGTAGTCGGCGGGGTACGATGGGTTGACCCCGTAACTTCGTTTTGAGCCGTCCTCGACCTTCTTGGCCAACTAGTTTGGGGAGCAATTAGTTTGAGGCTCGGTCTCCACGGAAAAAAATGGAGGAATTCCGACGGTCTGTGTGGAGTGTTGATACGTGTTTACTGTGCTTGGAGGAAATCTGGATTTCTTTCGCTTTTCTTTTCCCTTCTGTAGGAGTGATGATGACTCTGTTCTCCTCTGTTCTGGTGCAACCACCACAAGAAGTTTGTAGCAGGACTACTACCTTCTGTGAGACTGCTGTCTGGTCCTCGTTCCCGAAAGAATACCCTCTCATATATATCATATATAAATATATATAAATGAGAGAGAGAGAGAGAGAGAGAGTACTCTGGTTCCCGTGATCGGCGGGATATCAACGACTCTCTGTACCGCTATCGGGCATTCCGGAGGCTGTCCCCGCCCAATCTGTTACAGTATATGGATTCTCTCACCCAGGAAAGATCGCGGGCCGGGCCCCATTCTTGTCCCAGTGCTACCTCCAGTTCTCCATGTCCAAACAAAGAGGGAGGAGGGGAGGCCCTGCCCGACCGTCAAACCTGGACTTTCGTCGTCTCCTCCTCTCCCTCTCGACAGTACTAGACGGGGTGAAGAGTTGGGCCAGGCGACATAAAGACGAAAGGAGGGAGAACCGGCTCCTCCGTGGTGATCTAATCATCGTTATCGTCCTTAGATTCCCTAGCTAAACAGTCATTATCAGACGCCCATCCGCACCCCGCCAGCGACAGACTGTCGGCCGTCAAGCACAGTTCCACGTGGTTTGAGCAGGTTCTCTTCTCTCCACCGAAAGCGGATCGATCTTCTCTCGCACATCTCTCAGAACGAATAGCCCGGCCGCTCCGACCAGGAGATGTTCGAAACCTGCAAGCTCGAGGAGGGAGGGGGTGGGGGAGCGTTTCCTCACTCTGGAAGGAATGAGTAGTAATATCGGCTGCTCAAGGTCCCCATCTACATAGGCAGGAACTTCGACGGGGTGGGGTAGATCGTCCTCAAGAAATACGACCCCCTGGTTTGTCCTGGTGCAGGAGAAAGATGGATCTCCAATCCTTCACGTGGGGGCAGCAGAAGCGACGTTCAGTGAACTTATCCTCCCCGTTCTTGGCTGGAGTATCCTGCGACGCGTGCTCCCCGGAGGCAGTGGCTGAGGAAGACGCGCTCGACACCGGCAGGCGTCGCAGAGGGCCGGCGCACCTCCTTGTTTCGGGAGCCGAGGACATCATCATTGCTACCTTGTCTTGGCCTCGTCGACACTCTGCTCGATGTGCCGCCGGCTGCCCACGGGCCGGAGATGGCGAGCGAGCCGAGACAAAACGACTTGGGCCAGAGGGGCAGACAGAACGAATTAAGGCTCCACGCTCATCCCCCCCTCCGGCCGACAGTAAGATCCAAGAGCTCCTTCGTGTTTGCGGGCGTCCACCCAAAGAGAAGCCTCTTATTTTCTTTATTGACCGACGATGATACGGAGGATTAAGCAAATCGTCTACAGCCGCCGGAAAGCTTGTGGAGAGGGCTCGTCGATGTTGATTGGAAGTGGCGAGGCCGACAATGGAACGCCGTTTCTTTTCTCCAAAATGTGTCAGGATCCCCTCCTGTTCCTAGCATTATGTATTGGTTACTATACCTCCGCACCATCTGTATGAGATCAGGAGGAAGCTGGCGACACGGAGAGGGGAATGGCGCCGTCCATTCCATGGCCCAGTGAGATCGGATGGTGTAAACAATTGACGGAAGGAAGGGAGGAGGTGGGGAGAACGAGAGGAAACAAATCTACGCGAGGGTCAAAACGACGGGACTGAAGGAGGCCGGCAGCGCGCTTGTCCCTTCAGGAAAACGACGGCCGCACCGGCCCGCTCGGCCCCTCGCCACCTACCGTCATCAGGGTGGACGACGGAGGTGGAGAAATCTCTGTTCCTGTCGAGCAGAGTTCATCTCTATCTTCCCGCTACAACCTCGGCTCGGCGGTGAACTGGTTCCTCCTACTCGAGGTCGGTCTCTGTCAAGCCAAGCCGATCGGCCCACGGGAACTCGGCTCCCGAAACATGTGGGCGCGCCCGTGGAGATGGATGGATGTGAGAGGCACGACGGCGACCTCTCGAAAGAACATCCCCCGCGACGCGGACGGCGGGGGAGGGAGAGAACTGATCGGAAGATAGCACACGCTTGCTCACTTACGAAGCTCCTCTGGAATTTTCGCATATCAGAACCGTTACAGGATCTCAGCTCGCGGAGTAGGGAGGGCGAGAGAGAGGGGGAGGGTGATCCATCCATTCACACCGTTACAAAAAAATTTAGAGAGGGAGGGGGAGAGATGGAAAGGGATAGCGAGAGGCCGTCCGTTTACAAAGGAGAAAGAGATCCCCCTGAGGAAAGGAGAAGAAAACAACGAGGGGCGGGCGAGAAGATCTAATCTAATCTAAATCTGACGTAATCTAATCTCAGTCGATCCTCGAGGGCATCATATTCGGGAACCCCGGATCATCATATTTCCCTGGGGTCGACGAAGATGGACGGCCCAGGGGGGGACTTGGTCCAGTCCCCCGCCGAGCCGTCGGTGTGGTCCGCGACCAGGCGCTTCATGCACCACAGGTCTTCAGCGCACGAGAGCCGTCGCCAGTGCGGTATGGCGACTCGCAGTGGCTCGCAGCTCGCGACCTCCGTGGCGAGGACAGCGCACCCGCCCTTCTTTGCCAGGTTGTGGGCGTGCGCGCAGAGCGCCGTGAGCAGCTTCCCGGCGATCGGCCCGTGCCCGCCCACTCCGTACAGGAAGTAGAGACCGAATGGCCTGAAGAGGTTGGGCACGGAGGGAACGCCCAAGCAGGGGAAGGCGCGGTCGAACAGGCGGCTCGTCGTGGCGAGACCTCTCTTCAGCCGGGACGCCCCGCGGACCTCCAGCCGGAAGACGTCCTTGCAGTTCCACACGCTCAGCACCGCCCACGACTCCGGCGGGTCCGCCAGGAAGGACTCGGACCCTGCCCAGGTGTCGGGGGATATCTCCGGGTCCCCCGGGGCGGCAGCGTTCGCCACCGCGAGGAAGGTGCCCAGAGAGAGGGGGTTGTTGAGGACGGCGTCGATGTCGCGTGGGAAGAATTCGACGGTGGAGAAGCGGCGGCGGTAGAGGGACTCAGCGTCGCCGGGACGCAGCTCGAGGACGGTGATCCGCCGTGGGACGCGGACGCGGTGAGCGAACACGGGCTGGACGAGGATGGACGGGGTGCGGAACTTGGAGTAGCCACACCTACCTACGAACAGCTGCTTCGAAGCCTCGTTGTCCTTCTCGGTGGCCATGTAGGAGTACTCCGCCCCCTCCTCCCTGAACCACTCCTCAATCCGGGTTACCAACTTCAATCCGATGCCCATTCGCCTGAGGGAGCAGCAGCACCCAGGAGTTTCAGAGAAACAGAGAGACACAGAGTAGGTGGGTGTTCCCGAGCATTTTTACCGCTGAGGTCATGCCCAGCGGCCGCTTACCTGTGAGTCGGGGAGACGCGGAGGCCGAGAATGTAGGCGAGCTTGGCATAGAGAGGGATGGGAGGCTTCCCGTTCCGGGGGATCTTCTTGCCGCATGTAACTGTCTTGATGCAGCCGCGGATCAGACCGACTATCTCCCTCTTCGCGCCTCCCGTTTCGGCAACCTTTATCGAGATTTTTAAAAACAATGTCGATGAACGCCGCCATATTAAGAAAGCATCAAGGATTCTCAATGGAAAAACAAAATAAAAGCACAACTTGTGTGAAAGCTCGGAAAAAGATGACAGAGGAGCGATCAACCCCCCCTGGCGATGAATGATGCCGGATAGGAAAGGAGAAGAAGAATACCAACCAGCATGAGAAAGGCAGGGGAATGGCGGACGCGGCATAAGGGATCGCCCAGGAGGTCGGTGAAGAGCGAAATCTTGCCGGAGCCACTGGAACCCACCTCGCACATCCTCTCCACCGCCGCGGCGCCGGGACAATCCCGTTCCAGGTCGAACTCCCGAACCACTACAATCGACTCCTCCGGCTCCGCCACCGTCGCCACCATTCTTTGGCCTCGCTTATTCCTCGTATCCACCTCTACAGACCCAGTCATGATTGCCGCAGGGGTGGCGGGGAGCAATTTCAAAAACCTAGAAACGAGAAGGGCGGTGGGTGGAGAGAAGGAAGGGGATGCACTGAGGAATCGGAACTCGGAAAACGGGTGAGAGGAGAAGGTGCGCAGATTAACAGCAGCTAACCTCTTTCTTTTAGGGGGATACAACAGAGTGATTCACGTGTGAAGCCAAGCAAAAGGATGCCGTTGGCAACCAGAAAACGGACACCAAGATGGACAAAAGGAAGGAGAAACAGGGTAGAGATCAGATTGATGTTTCCTTTTGCCGACTCTTCTTCTCCCTCTCCTCTGTTCGCGCCCCCCCCCCCCCACCCCCCCCGATACGAAGGGGCGAATCTTTTTCACTCTCTTCCCCCCCTTCTCTCTCTCCCTCGCGTCGCGTGGCGGGTGCTCTTTCACTCTCTATTCAGTTGTGGCAAAAGTGGCGAGTAGATGATCATTGGGTAGGGGACTTAGGGGGGTACTTATACCCTCGCCAGTGGGGATGATAGGGAGTCCCTCTCTCTCTCTCTCTCTCTCCAGTCAATAAATACTAAATTATAATGATCACAAACAGAGGAGGGGAGTCGACTCGAAAAGGAGAGAGAGAGAGAGAGAGAATTGGCGGCCGAGACAGGCGGCTTTACATTCGTGCCTAATGGTTCAGCTCTACACTGAAGAGCAGTGGCTCCGCGGGCTGCTGCGGGCTACTCTGGCGCTTTACTGCCGCAGCCCCTGCTAGCGCCGTCCTGCTCCTGTTCTGCCGCCACCTCCATCTTCAGGATCCACATCCAAAATCAGTATTCGGTATCCCCGTCATGCCTCCCTCACAGTGGGAGCCGTCCGCTGTGCCCTTCGCCAGAGGCTATGCCCATGCCAACAAACTTCATGGTTCTGAGGCCCGCCAGATGGGGAAAGGGAGAGGGGGCATGGTATGTGGTTAGGTCATGCATGCCATGGGAACTCGGAAAATGAAACAGATGTGAATATATTAGGGCCATGAGATGCTTATTTAGACTGCAGTGTGGAGGAGCAGGGCGGAGGTCATAATGGTGTGCATGAGTGGTAAGTGGAATCACGTCGGGTTGCAAAATAATGCTGAAAGAGTGTTCTTTTCCTCTTTCCGGTGGAAGTTCAAAAGGGCTCGACAGCTGGAAGAGGTAGCCGTCGCCACCGCCGCATCAGCTGAACCGCCGCCGGATAATTAGGGACGTGGCAGAAGAGCCGCCATCGTCCGGCGGCTGTCGGCTGGTCTGGCCTTGGGACACGTGGACCAGCGGCGGAAGGAGCAGAGAACGGCCGAGAATAATTAGGGACGCCGTCTCATTTCCGGTGCCTCGGGGGATCCCGGAGCCGGCTTCCGAACTCGGACGGCACGCGAGGGGCGACGGGCAGCGGGGCATTGCTGTGCGCGGCGGTACGGGCGAGGGTCCGCCGCCGTGGGCGGCGCGCCGCTCGGCCCGTCTCTCCGTTGGCGCCGCCTCCGCTGCCGGCCGGACAATGCGGCGGGCGGTGCTCCCCCGCCTGCTAACGACCTACATCGTAACGTCCAGAGCGAAGCCGTCTGGTACGCGTAGCGATGGGGAGAATTAATAATCATGAGGCGGGCAGTGGTGGGCGCCCATCACAACCTCAGAGAACAGCAGGAGAGGAGATTTCTCTTCTGGTATCGCTCTCGCCCAGGGAAATCTCTCAACCTGTGTGACGCAGGAATTCGTCAAATCCCCCCTCCCCCAACAGGGACGACGACGCTTTTGGGCAGGCCGCGAGGCGGCTGATCAGAACATGACGACAATCTTAGAGATGAAGTCGATGAGCCCCTTGATCACGAGAGCTGCATGGGTGAGGAGTAAAGCTCGGAGGGATGAGGAAGACAATTGTGGCGCGCTTTAACCATTTTTGTGAACGTCTCCCGTGACCTGGCCGGCTAGCCCAGAGGTAGAGAGAGAGAGAGAGAGGTGTGGTCATCTGATAGCGGCAGCCCAACTAATCGAGTTCCGCCGGGGATGGGTAGTTGCGGACGGTGGAAGACGGAGGAGGGCTGGTCATCGCCAGTTCGAGCTCGGCAGGGTGCCTGGCCGGGCGATTCATTGGATGCTTATGAGAGCTACTGGACACTGAGTCGGTTGGGTCCGAGTGAATGTAAGATCCGTCCTCGAATGGCTTTTCTGATGAAGAGTAAACATCATCCTGTGTTCTTATAGCTGTTAAGGACTTGGCTCCTAAATTAGTGCTACCGCGTCTATTCGCCGAGAGATGCCAACGGATAGCTTGCCCTGCAATAAGAATTCCGAACAAGACGTCGCGACGGGAGCGAAGGCGACGGCTCGCGGGCAGCTTCGGCGAACGAGGATGTATTTTGTTCCATACGACGCCGGCCCCGCTGGCGGAGCGCCGCCGCCTTCCGGGTTCGTTCTCTCGCACCAAACCCGGAGAGAGCATCCTTGTCCGACGGCGGCGTGTCCATCACCATGCGATCCTCGCGAAACATGGGGATTATAATTACCTTTGGCAGCCCCGACGTGGGGATGTGATGCAGTCGGCACTCCGTACTGTGGCTGAGCCCAACGCTCGCCACCAATCGGCGCAGCACAGCCGGCGTCCCAGAGACAAATCCCGACGTCGCCGAACAAAAATAAGAACCGGCGAGCGGTGGCGCGCATCCCTACCGGAGCTCCCACGGCAAACAGACAAGATTACGAATAGATAAGCGGGCCACTAGCGCGACGCCGTCATAATAACTCCGCATCGTCTGAGAGCCGGCTTCATTAACGAGGACCAGTAGAGGGCCGTCTTGCGCCGGCCGGAATGGGTCTTGGAGGTTGACCCACACGGGAGAGGGAGCCATGGGAACTGGGTCGGGAAGGGGTGGACGCGGCTCAACGAGGGATGGGGATTCGTTAAAATGGCCGCCTTCCTACTCGTCCCATTTGTCCCCACCCTTGTCCTACCTCCGCAGAACCCAGACCCTCACCCACTTGTTATCGTTTTTCTTTCTCCGAGAGGCTCCTCCTTGTCGTGTAGACATTAACTCGCCCAAGGCACGCGCTGCCAAGATTGCAGTCAGGGAGGAGCACTACGCCCAAAAGTGGTCGCCAAAGTTTTCATTATTCGCGGGTGTAAGGTGTCATTATCCTCGTCAATGCCTAAGCTCGGCTAGATCATCATTCAACTTGGCTGCTTTTAACCATATGCCGGTGCTCGGCTCGAGAGCTACAGCGACCCCTCAGCCAGAATCGCGACCACGTTGGCGTTGTTTAATCGTCCCCACGGGCCATTTTCACAAATTCTCCTTTCAATCAAACGCCACCCGTCGCTCTCCACATCCGTCGTAGCCATGGCCATCAACGCCGGCGGAGAGACGGCCCCGCCGTGCGGAGTACACGAGTTACTCCCGAGCCTTCGTGGGCACGGCCTATCTGGTGATCCGATTGGTATCGCGGGTGATCTCTACCGGCCAGTCCGGCGGGTAATCATGGAGGTATTTCAAAACCGGGTTTCTATCCGACCGATGATTACGACGGTTATGACGACGTGATTCCGATGGAATTGTTTATGATCAATGGGGCGAGAGACAACTATCGCGACCGACGATTAAACTGTGAACAATTAAACGACCAGGATTATCAAATCATGAAATATCGGGTCAAATTGGTCTCAAGTCAGAGATTCCCAGTGAATCTTTCCAGAATTTACATCGTGAGACGTCCATAAGCAACATACTAGCCCCATCGTGAGTCGCTCACTGAGGACAAAATGACACGCTCGATTTCCTATTACATTGTCGATCACTCTATACTAACCCCACTTGACTAATTATAATTCCTACGGCATATGCATAGAATTTCCGTGGAATATATCTCGCGCCAGTGTAGATGAAGTCATCCACGTTTTATGCTGAAATGCGTGCGTGCATTGTTCTCGTGGAACTTTTACCAATAAAGAGAGAATACCATGCACGTTCTGTTCATACGACAACAATCAACATTTTAAGATTTCATAAAATTTACAAGAGACTATTTACAATGACCATTCTAAAGATAAATTACTATAAACCACAATAAATGCTGAAGAGAACTAAATTTCTTATAAGATATTCGAGGGCACAACTCATTTGTTGTTAAATGACCAAAGCCGCAAATACCCTCCGTTCTTTCTCACGTCATATCAGTGCATGAATTCCAGGACGCCTAGACATCGTACACTTCTTAATCGTAGATTGAACGCTAAACTTGTTGTCACCTGAGATAGTAACTCTCTCAAGAAAATCTCAGAATGCTCGATCCTTTCTCAAGCCTCATGAAAAGATAATAATGGTACGTAAAAGGTGCATACAAAACTGAAATGATAACCTAAAGAGATAACAACAAATATTTAATGATGGCAAAATGCACGTGTTCGTAGGTGAAAACCAAAAGCTGTTCTTAAACTTATTCGAAAATATTTAACTATGATGTCTGCCTCCTGGTTTTTCAGAGATGAAAGAAGGAAATTCTAAACGCAATCACGTACTGAAATTAGAAAAAAAAACCCGTTAACTAAGCTGCATATTGTCCTGTGCCGTTTGAAAGCACAGCAAAAATGTATACTTGATTCTCATGGGGCATTATTATGCTCGAGATATTTTGTAAAAAATGACAATCCGATTTGTCATATAAATGAAAATGCAATAAAACGCATGAACACTGATACCCGGGCATATAAAAGTTTCTCAAAACTCATGACAATCACAACTCAAATAATACAGATGGAAAATTGACGCTTCAGCAATGTTCAGCTAAGAGTATTATTCTCTCAAATAATACTCTTTTTATTACAATGCACCGTTTTCATTTGCGATTGAATGGAGATTCTACGCGGATGATCGCGGCATCAAGTCAGATTTAAATAGAAGAGATTGTGTGAAGAATATCCCCAGAATATATGATGCATCCCCCTTTCAGCATTTGTCA